CATGATACCCTCACATGATACCCTCACATGATGCCCTCACATGATACCCTCACATGATACCCTGCTATTGCCTTGCTGCAGCTGCTGTTTTTGTCACTGTATGTATATAATAACATAAATAATTCATTTTATATAAATTCTATATTAATATAAATATTTTATTGTAGTATATGTATGTTATAATATACAGCGACTTGTTTAGCTTTCGCTGTTCACTACAGTTGTCGCTCACAGACGTCCCTGTCAAGCCTCCACCTTGAAGGTAAAAACTCTTACTCTTACTTCCTCGTTACTTGCTATTTCTACGCGCGTGTTCTACGTGCAGCTCTACGCGCGTGTTCTACGTGCAGCTCTACGCGCGTGTTCTACGTGCAGCTCTACGCGCGTGTTCTGCGTGCAGCTCTACNGTCACGCCCCCGCGCATCAGTGCTGGCACAATTACGATATTTACCGTCACGCCCACGCGCATCAGTGCTGGCACAATTACGATATTTACCGTCACGCCCACACGCATCAGTGCTGGCACAATTACGATATTTACCGTCACGCCCACGCGCATCAGTGCTGGCACAATTACGATATTTACCGTCACGCCCACACGCATCAGTGCTGGCACAATTACGATATTTACCGTCACGCCCACGCGCATCAGTGCTGGCACAATTACGATATTTACCGTCACGCCCCGCGCCCCGTCCGCCTGTCATGGCGCCCAGGGGCCACCAATATTTAATACTATTATTAATAATAATTATTAATATTAATTACCAATAATTAATATTAATTAATATTTATTATATTATCACACACGCTGATTATTTCCATTCAGAGGTTATGGCTGTCATGAGTTCTTTAGTGTTTGAAACTGTAATATTTGTTCTTTTTATCTCAATTATTGATGAGCAATTGTCATTTGATGATGGCCAATAGCCAATTGCAAATGACGATGAACAAGTGCCAATTAGTCTTACCAACTGGCAATTAATGTTGTCAATTGCCAATTGATGGTGGCCAATTGCCAGTCGTGTCTGATAGTCATACGTTTGTTTTCTAATTTTTTGTTCAAAATTGATTAATCTTTCTCCAGAGCTTCATTAATGAAGTCTTGCCTCTGGTATATCATGGAGCCACGTGTTGAATTTACTTCGTATACAATACTCTTATTATCAGTAGAAATGTCTTCTATAATTAACAATTATGTACTTATATCACGCATAAATGGACGTGTTTCTAAATATTTCAATTAATGAATCATCAAACAATCATGGCCTTCAGCATCTTTTTTATTTTGCAGCGTTTTTTTACATTTATTATTAACTTGAACAGACAGCGTTTGAAGTGGCCCTTTTACTGGTGTGTCTGTCTCAACCCCGCAGGTCTGTAACAGACCCTCAGGTGCAACATGTGACGTGTGTCTGTCTCACCCCGCAGGTCTGTAACAGACCCTCAGGTGCAACATGTGACGTGTGTCTGTCTCACCCCGCAGGTCTGTAACAGACCCTCAGGTGCAGCATGTCTCTGTCTCGTCCCGCAGGTCTGTAACAGACCCTCAGGTGTAACATGTCTCTGTCTCACCCCGCAGGTCTGTAACAGACCCTCAGGTGTAACATGTCTCTGTCTCACCTCGCAGGTCTGTAACAGACCCTCAGGTGCAACATGTGACGTGTTTCTGTCTCACTCCGCAGGTCTGTAACAGACCCTCAGGTGTAACATGTCTCTGTCTCGCCCCGCAGGTCTGTAACAGATCCTCAGGTGTAACATGTCTCTGTCTCGCCCCGCAGGTCTGTAACAGACCCTCAGGTGTAACATGTCTCTGTCTCACCCCGCAGGTCTGTAACAGACCCTCAGGTGTAACATGTCTCTGTCTCNATCACCACTACTGCACCACATCACCACTACTGCACCACATCACCACTACTGCACCACATCACCACTACTGCACCACATCACCACTACTGCACCACATCACCACTACTGCACCACATCACCACTACTGCACCACATCACCACTACTGCACCACATCACCACTACTGCACCACATCACCACTACTGCACCACATCACCACTACTGCACCACATCACCACTACTGCACCACATCACCACTACTGCACCACATCACCACTACTGCACCACATCACCACTACTGCACCACATCACCACTACTGCACCACATCACCACTACTGCACCACATCACCACTACTGCACCACATCACCACTACTGCACCACATCACCACTACTGCACCACATCACCACTACTGCACCACATCACCACTACTGCACCACATCACCACTACTGCACCACATCACCACTACTGCACCACATCACCACTACTGCACCACATCTTATACTTAACATCACCACTACTGCACCACATGATATAATTAACATCTCCCACTACTGCACCACTTGCATTCAAGTGTATTTCTCGTCAGAAAAAAAACGTATAATTTATTCGTCTACGTAGTGGTTCCTATGTTCTTATTTCCAAAAAAATTCACATTCGGCGCTGTACGACATACCTTACCCACATTTTAAAATAAGCTGTACTATATAAGTACGTTGGCCCATATAATTATTATATAAATATATCAGTCAACTGTCACGACAAGCCAATTATAGACTCTTATATCATATATAAGTGTCTAGAGCGATAGCCTTGCTAGACCTACTGCACTTGCTATACCATTAGTAAATAACGAAATTGAACGAATGATGAATCATAACTATTGTCATTCAATACCTCAACTGTGTAGTAAGCTAATAACTTTTTACGTTAGTGGGACCTGTTTTATTCTTTTCTGAAGTGCTGTTGTCGAAGTTATTTTTGACGATCACGCTTTTCCTGTTGCCAGGTACTGAGCGCTCTGGACATCTTACAACCTCCTTCGCTCGACAGCTTCCAAGAGATGTATCCTTTACATGCTCCCAACTTAACCAGCTTATAATTGTTTATCATTATAAGCTATAATATTTGAGCTGGTTTTATAAACCAGCTTATGATTGTTCATCATTGTAAGCTATAATACAGTGGGGGGAAATAAATATTCGTACACTTGAAAAATCGTATTTTAATGTATGTAAGTACACAAACTTAACAGGAGAAGTGATTTATATTATGTATAGAGACGCATAGTATTCAAAAATACTATCAAAAGAAATTAAATCTCAATGCAACAAAAAACAATGCAACATGTTTACTTTTCGGATGAAAAAGTATTCGTACAAAACAATAAATCCGCATTATTTTAATTTAATACTTGGTTGAATACCCTTTATTCAGCTCAACAGATACCAGTCTATTTCTATACGTCTCGACCAATGATTTGCAGATGCTGACTGGTATTTTATACCATTCTTCTTGGCACACCACCTTAAGATTGTCAATGTTTGTTGGGGACCTTTTCTTAATTTGAATCTTCAAATACCGCCACAAATTTTCAATCGGATTTAAGTCCGGCGACTGGCTTGGCCATTCCATAACGCTGTCTCTTATACACATCTAGATGTGTATAAGAGACAGGATTTAATTTCTTTTGATAGTATTTTTGAATACTATGCGTCTCTATACATAATTTAAATCACTTTTCCTGTTAAGTTTGTGTACTTACATACATTAAAATACGATTTTTCAAGTGTACGAATATTTATTTCCCCCCACTGTATATAAGCTGGTTCTATAAACCAGCTTATATTTGTTTATCAACATATAATTTTATAACATCATTATATAGTCACTGCTTTTTGTGTAAACCGTCAGTTTATTTTACCCATTCCTTAGTGTTAAGCGTAGTTTCGTTCGCTCTGTTAATATTTCAACACTTATTTCGAATTGTGAATGCATGAAAACAGCTCATCTTTCTATCTTACGACAGCCCGTGGCTTTTGTGCCTCTAAGTCTCAAAGGACACAGACATGCATATCCTTAAGGCATGAATTCACTGTCTTACAAGCATTATCATAATCATTATTACTGTAGAGTACCTTAAGACCATCTTACAAACATCATCAGTATTATAACTGTAGAGTTCCTTGATACTATCTTACAAAAATCATCATAATCATTATTACTGTACAGTACAGTACTTTAATACTATGTGACCAATACTATAATCATTTATTATTGTAGAGTGTAGAGTTCCTTAAGACCTCCTACAGCTACGTTATGACGGAGCTCATGGAGTCTGATCTGCACAAAATCATCGTGTCGCCTCAGAATCTATCATCAGACCACATCAAGATCTTCCTCTACCAGATACTAAGAGGTCGGTACTCTAACTACCAGATATTGAGAGGTCGGTACTCTAACTACCTGATACTGAGAGGTCGGTACTCTAACTACCAGATATTGAGAGGTCGGTACTCTAACTTGAGAGTTTGGTACTCTAAGTAGCTCTCTAACTCATATAAATGCTTTTTATGCAGTCGAGCACCAAGCCGGAAGCGTTGTGTTTCGTAGGGCTAGAGTTAAATTATTATAAACGTAATGTATCTAAGTCAAGTACGTCCTGTGGCTCATTAATATATAATTATACTAACAAATTTGTATGCTTGTCATGAAGGAATAAGTGTTGTTTAATGATAGTGTGAATATAATCAGAAATGAGAATTTTAAAAGTAAGAAAACTTGAAATAAATTCACCGTATATGTTTGAAAACGTTTCGGTGACCAGCTCAATCATTAATAAAAAACACAGCGGGCCTTAGTTTTTCAAGTGTGGGTGAACTTGCGATTTAAGCAGACTAATGATATATAATTAATAATTAGGAACAAGTACATAGTGCGGTATCAAACAGTGAAAGTTGCGACATTGACGTGTGGTTTGCACGCTCCGTGTTCATTGCGTGAGTCACTGCGTGTGTGGGTGACCGAGGTCACGCATGAGTGTCAACTCATGAAATGGCATCAGGATTTACGTGTATAACACATAATTTTTACCATTGTTTTTCGTGTAAATTTTTTACTTTGGGCATTTTCTCGGATTTTTTTTCGTGTTCGTTTGCAAGGATTGTTCCCACGCACGCGACTGCGTGGCCTCCTGCTGCGTGTAATTGTTTGGTTTGTTTCTGCGTGTTATTTCGTGCGTGCGTTTCCTTAAAACTTACGAGTTTTGCTATCGTAGTGAGTCACAATGTTGACCCACGTTGCTTTGTGAGTGACATGCTTACACAGTTATTTATAATATAAGAACTCATTACCATTACACAAGTACTCATTACCATTACACAAGTACTAATTACCATGGGCCGTGTGCAGGTCTCAAGTACCTTCACTCTGCCAGGATCATCCATCGCGACATCAAGCCTGGCAACCTCCTGGTGAACTCCAACTGCATCCTCAAGGTGATTATGGTCGCTCCTGGGGGGATGGTGTCCATAACTATCATATCTAGGCCTTTTTCTGGGAACACATCAACTATTTTTCAATGCTATTCGTACCGAAATGCTTGGTGACGAGGACCTGGGTTCCTCGCCCTTAACCCTCACCCCAGACCTCGCATTCACCCCCATACTCTGCCCCCTGTAACCCTAGCCCTAACCACTCTAACCCTGACCCTTCTAACCCTATTTCCTCTAACCCTAACCCCTGTAACCCCGACTCGTGGTCCCCAGATCTGCGACTTCGGGCTGGCGCGAGTGCTTGAGGAGGAGGGTGGTCGGGAGATGACCCAGGAGCCATAACCCCTCTGACCCTTGTAACCCCGACCCCTGTAACCCCAACCCTTGTAACCCTGACCCGTGGCCCCCAGATCTGCGACTTCGGGCTGGCGCGAGTGCTGGAGGAGGAGGGAGGCCGGGAGATGACCCAGGAGGCATAACCCCTCTGACCCCTGTAACCCCGACCCCTGTAACCCCGACCCTTGTAACCCCGACCCGTGGCCCCCAGATCTGCGACTTCGGGCTGGCGCGTGTGCTGGAGGAGGAGGGAGGTCGGGAGATGACCCAGGAGGCATAACCCCTGTAACCCCGACCCCTGTAACCCCGACCCCTGTAACCCCAACCCTTGTAACCCCGACCCGTGGCCCCCAGATCTGCGACTTCGGGCTGGCGCGAGTGCTGGAGGAGGGGGGAGGCCGGGAGATGACGCAGGAGCCATAATCCCTCTGACCCCTGTAACCCTGACCCCTGTAACCCCCACCCTTGTAACCCTGACCCTTGTAACCCCGACCCGTGGCCCCCAGATCTGCGACTTCGGGCTGGCGCGGGTGCTGGAGGAGGAGGGTGGCCGGGAGATGACCCAGGAGGTGGTGACGCAGTACTACCGCGGCCCTGAGCTGCTGATGGGGGCCAAGTACTACACGCAGGCCGTCGACGTCTGGTCCGTGGGATGTATCTTCGGCGAGCTGCTGGGGCGCCGTATACTCTTCCAGGCGCCTACACCTATACAGCAGGTCTGTGTGGTCATACAGCAGGTCTGTGTGGTCATACAGCAGGTGTGTGTGTGTGGTCATACAGGTTATATATAACGTTCATCCCGTGCCACGTTATATCTCCCAATTCTTACCAAATTTTAGATGGTTAATCAATTACTCTAAATTAACCAGAGCTTTATAATTAGATCATCAATAAATTACTCTAAATCAACCAGATCTTAACAAATTATATCACCAATTAATTACTATAAATTAACTAGAACTCAATGAATTAGATCATCAATTGACTACTCTAAATTAACATAGACTACTCTAAATTAACTTGGACTACTCTAAATTAACCAGAGCTTTATAATTAGATCATCAATTAATCATTCTAAATTAACCAGATCTTCCTAATTAACCCCTCTTGTCCCCACAGCTGGACAGGATCACAGAGCTGCTGGGCACCCCAGACCCCCACGAGGCCCGTCACGGTGCAGAGGGCGCGCGTAGTCACGTGCTGCGGCGCCCCCGCAAGCCCCCCGCCATCAACTCCCTCTACGCCCTCGGCGCCAATGCCACACACGAGGCCGTACATCTCCTGCAGGCCATGCTCGCCTTTGATTATGTTAGTCGTGTTAAATATCGTTATCATTATGTTAGTAGTCATGTTAAATATCATTATCATCTTATTGCTGAACCATTTGATTATATTAGTAGTGATGTTAGTTATCATTATGTTAGTAGTGATGCCAGCTATCTTTATCATCTTGTTATTATACCATTCTCGCCGCCATGCTAGCTTTCGATTATGTTAGTAGTCATGTTATATATATTATTATCATTATGTTAGTCGTGATAGAAGCTATCATTACCATCTGATTGCTATACCATCCTCGCAGCCATGCTGGCATTTGATTATGTTAGTCATGATGGCAACTATCATCCTGCTGCTCCTTATCATCACACATCAAGTACTGCCCCTCACCCACACTCCCCTCACACGCACCCCTCATCCCCCACCCCTCACACCCATGCCCCTCTCCTACCCCTGTCTCTTATACACATCTAGATGTGTATAAGAGACAGATTGAGAGGTCGGTACGGTACTCTANTGGGGTGGTGTGAGGGTGGAGTGACGTGGGTCTGAAGGTGGGGTGAGGTAGGTGTAATGCTAGATATTTACTTCTCTCTAAGTTTATTCTTCGCGAAACTACTATTATATTTTAATATCGCATAAAACTACAGAGTAAATATTATATTTGCACGCCTAAACAAGATTATGTCCCCCAGATCCGGTCTCTGAGAGAGGTGACGTAGGTGTGACGCTAGACTTCTACTTCTCTCTAAGGGTTATCTTCCATATAACTATTATAATAGTTTAATAATACATAAAACTACTAAATAATTATTATATTTTCATGAGTAATTAGGGTTATGTCCCTTAGATCCGGTCTCTGAGCGAGGTGAAGGAGCGCATGCACAAGTTCATCAGCAAGCAGATGAGCAGAGACCGTCTGCCTGTCTGCATCAACCCTCAGTCTGCTGCATACAAGAGCTTCTCCAGGTAAACTATTCCCTTTATTCCAGGTAATGCCTTCCTGGTATCTTGCCTTCCTGCATTCCTTGCCTTCCTTGCCTTCCTGCCTTCCTGGTGTCCTGCCTTCCTGGTATCCTACCTTCCTGGCGACTCTGCTGTACTGCCTTCCTTGCCTTCCTGGTATCCTGCCTTCTTAGGGACTCTGGTGGCCAGGTAGTTATTTGGACACTGTTCTAGTGGCCGCTACTTCAGTGGCCGATTATCTATTGGCCACTCCTTCACTGGCCGCCACGTTACTGGCCTGCTCTTTTACTGGCCACTTGTATACTGACTTGCTCTTTTACTGGCCACATGTTTACTGGCCACATGTCCACTGGCCGCAACTAGTGGCCACATCCTATTTAGCCGCCAGCACACAGCTCGGTGAAGGCTTATTAACTCTTCTCTTGTTAATTTTTTAATTGCATCCTCTTAAATTATTGATTACTTAACAGCGAATGCAGTCTATTCTATTTTTGGACTCATCAATCGAAGAAATGAATGTATCATATTGCGCAAATAATTCTGAACGCCATTCGCCAATATTGAACTATTTGGTACGTTGCATCTACTTCTTTGAATGTAATGTACTGTAATGAATGTCATGTAATGGATTTATTTGGGACTTCGATGGCCATTAAAGAGCTTACTCTTGAATATCCAGTACAATTTTATGAAGACTACAGCTTGAGTTTGTACAAAAAATGTTGCTGTTGTTAATAGCGCAGGATGAAGGAGGGTAGGAAGCAGCGATGCATAAAGTCAAATTACATTGAAATACTGCAGGATTGAATTGAATCAAATTATTTGTTGATATATTGCATTAAAATAGCATTAACAGAGTTCTATTGTATACAAGTAATTGTCCATAATTAAAATTTTTTGTATGTATTAAAATAAATTTCAACGAAACATTTACGTATTAAAGTAAACTTAATGGTAAACTCACCACTAAGAGGCCATTTTGCTAGGTATTTTTGCACTCGACGTTCTGTTTGTCAAGAAAACCTCCATTTTTTACAGCTTTGCACGCTCAACATTTTGCTCTTATTAAAATCTTTATTCTATTTATGCCATCACAAGTTATTTCTCTATTATCTCTTGTATATGTTCATACAGTGGGGGGAAATAAATATTCGTACACTTGAAAAATCGTATTTTAATGTATGTAAGTACACAAACTTAACAGGAAAAGTGATTTAAATTATGTATAGAGACGCATAGTATTCAAAAATACTATCAAAAGAAATTAAATCTCAATGCAACAAAAAACAATGCAACATGTTCACTTTTCGGGTGAAAAAAGTATTCGTACAAACCAATAAATCCGCATTATTTTAATTTAATACTTGGTTGAATACCAATTTTTCAAGTGTACGAATATTTATTTCCCCCCACTGTATTAACTGCTGGCTTGGTTACAGTATTTAATTAGTTGGTGACTTTGCATACCTCTTACTGGCCTGGCACACTACAGAATACATGACATTAAAATTTGTTTTATTTCACGTGCAAAATAACTGTGTTTAAAATGTAAATGAAACGCTTGTTTATTTAAATTTCTAATGGTTTTGAAGCGAGATTTTCAGAAAGATTTTCAGATTCAGAAATGGAAAACCCGGCATTCCAATCTAATGCAAATACTTCCAATCAAATGATGTTGGTGTAGAAACGATGATGAATAAGACTTGATTTTACTGAAACAACGTTTAATCAACGTGATTTCAATGTCGTATGCTTGGTGGGAAAAAATTCAGTAATGTGCCGACTGCTTTTGGTTGTTGAACTGGTCACTCTGCTTATGGCTGGTCTCTTGGTACTGTTAATTCGACCTCTAATATCTCATTAACTATTAGCTTTGACTTGTAAAAATGAATTAGCTTCTCATTAGCTTTGACTCGTTACAATGAATTAGCTCCTCATTAGCTTTGACTCGTTACAATGAATTAGCTTCTCATTAGCTTTGACTTGTAACAATGAATTAGCTTCTCATTAGCTTTGACTTGTAAAAATGAATTAGCTTCTCATTAGCTTTGACTCATAACAATGAATTAGCTTCTCATTAGCTTTGACTCATAACAATGAATTAGCTTCTCATTAGCTTTGACTCATAACAATGAATTAGCTTCTCATTAGCTTTAACTTGTAACAATGTATTAACTTCTCATTAGCTTTGACTTCTACAAATGAATTAGCTTCTCATTAGCTTTGACTTGTAACAAATGAATTAGCTTCTCATTAGCTTTGACTTCTACAAATGAATTAGCTTCTCATTAGCTTTGACTTGTACAAATGAATTAGCTTCTCATTAGCTTTGACTTGTAAAAATTGATTAACTTTTCCTTTGCTTTGACTTACACTTGACAGCGCTTGTGAGCAGCAGGCTGAAGCTCTACAGTTCTACTCAAACCAGCCCCACTTATTGATCAATATTGCTCGTCTGTTTAAATTCTTAGTGACTAACATTGTACCATCATTGTACTCTCCCTCGGCTAACACTGTACTCTCCCTCAGCTAACACTGTACTCTCCCTCAGCTAACACTGTACTCTCCCTCAGCTAACACTGTACTCTCCCTCAGCTAACAAAAACTCTCCCTCAGCTATCATTGTACTCTCCCTCCTCCCAGTCCTCTTGTTCAACAAGATCCACAAAACATGTACAAATAAAACTATAATTTCAGTATTCTGCCATTGTACTCTGCTTCCCATATTCACGCTCTGTAATTCAACCCTGTATAATAATACAAAAATCTCCATGAATACATACTTTGTAACTTCACCCTGTATAATAATACAGAAATCCACATGTATACATGGAGCTGAACTGAGACATGACTAAGCTGCTGTGTGTAGTTCTGTTACAATGCTGCTATTTCTTACAAACTCGCTCTTTTTAACTGTGTTTTCCTGCTCTTGAAATGCATTTTTTACTATTAAAATGCATTTATTGCTATTGAAATGCATTTTTTTACTATTAAAATGCATTTTTTTACTATTGAAATGCATTTTTATACTATTGAAATGCATTTTTTTACTATTGAAATGCATTTTTTTACTATTGAAATGCTTTATCGCCTTGACGATGTTATTTGGTACATAAAAAGTTAGCTTTTTTATCAACTGAGTCTTGCTTCGCTTCCTGTGCAGCGTGTGACGGTCTGCAGTGAGTGACGCTTTCTACTGTACTTTATACCTCTACTATACCTCTACCTCTACTGTACCTGCTTATACTTCTACCTCTCTACTGTACCTCTCTACCTCTACCTCTCTGCTGTATTTGTACCTGTACCTCTACCTCTCTACTGTATTTCCTTATACCTCAACCTCTCTATCTCTCTACTCTACCTCCTTATACCTCTACCTCTCTACTATACCTCTCTACTCTACCTCTCTACTGTACCTCTCTACCTCTCTACTGTACCTCTCTACCTCTACCTCTCTACTGTACCTCTCTACTGTACCTCCTTACTCCCCCACCTCTCTATCTTATTATTCTCCTACTGCGTTTATTCCGTTAACTTCAATTATTTTATTTTCATAGCAACGACTTAATTTCTCTCTCTCACTTCGAAATTTCTCTTATCCACGTTCGTTAACTTGATTTTTTTTCAGCATTTGCCTTCCATTGCGCCTCATCGCTTTATCTATTCAGTATTGTTACGTTTCTTTCTTATGGTTTCAAAGTTTCTTCAATTCTTCTTGTTCTGTTGCTTGTAATTTTCTTATTATTATTGTTATTACGAGCATCGCGTTATTTATCTTAATTTTTTTGCTGCTATCGCACGCTGAAGGCCTGCCTTCATCAATAATTTATTTTTCAAATGTAAGACTTCTTTCATGCATGTAAGAGTTACTATGTGTACATTATTTCGATTTTTAGCGATGATACATGCATCAAAAAATTGCATCATGCAGTCGTTGTAGTTGTAGTATTTATGTTTATTTTGAAAGAAAAACCAAGTTTTCAGTTAATATAAGAAAGAAACCATTTCTCATTTGAAAAAGGCACATTAGACCTTCCGTAAGTTGCGAAACGCAGCTTGCTAGTTAGCATTAATGTGAATAAAATTGAGGATGAAAGTGAAGTTCAAGTGCCAGATGATAAATATGTGTGTGGTGATACTAGCTGATGATGATGATGATGATTGTATTAGTGATGTTAGTGGCGAAAATATTATTGATGACATGGCCTAATATTGATTTATTTATCGTGCCCCGCAACCCTCGCATCGGGCGTCCAGTGTTTGGTAACTAACGAGATATTTGGTGTTGAAATTTCCCGTAATGTTACGTTTGATGTAAGGCACATGTAACCCTGGCTGTAATGTTACGTTTGATGTAAGGCACATGTAACCCTGGCTGTAATGTTACGTTTGATGTAAGGCACATTTAACCCTGGCTGTAATGTTACGTTTGATGTAAGGCACATGTAACCCTGGCTGTAATGTTACGTTTGATGTAAGGCACATGTAACACCGGCTGTAATGTTACGTTTGATGTAAGGTACATGTAACCCTGGCTGTAATACTAGTTCACTTGGGAGATCTAGATGCACGACATGACATCTAGATCTATGTAGATGCTGGACATCACATCTAGATCTAGATGCATAACATTACATCTTTATGTATATAGATGCATGACGTTAAATCTAGATCTAGATGTATGACATGACATCTAGATCTATGTGGCTTCCGGACATCACATCTAGATGCATAACATAACATTTAGATCTATATAGATGCATGACGTTAAATCTAGATCTAGATGTATGACACGACATCTAGATCTATATAGATGCATGACATCAAATCTAGATCTAGATGCATGACATCACATCTAGATCTTCGTATATTAGGCTCATCTCTAGACGGTTAATTCAGCCGCCCTGAGCATTACCCGTGCTGCCGTCTGTGTATAGATGAATTTAAAAACCTAGCTAAATGCATTTTGTAGCAAATTTAAACACATATCTGACATATGCATTGCTGCTTATGTTGCAGCTCGTTGTTTTGTACTTGCATTAAATGTATGTTGCATGAGTATGTTAAATGTATGTTGATGTATGTTGTATATTAATGTATGTTGCTGTACGTTGTTGTTTGTTGTTGTATTTTGCTGTATGTTGTTGTACGTTGTTGTTGTGTGTTACTGTATGTTGCTGTACGTTGTTGTATGTTGTATGTTGCTGTATGTTGTTGTACGTTGTTGTATGTTACTGTATGTTGCTGTACGTTGTTGTATGTTGTTGTATGTTGTTGTATGTTGCTGTATGTTGTATTCTTCTTGGTGCTTAAATCAGCATTAACAGTACTTTAGCTAGTGATATAGCCTAGGCTAGTGCTAACTTGTAAGGCATCGCTATATATAATCGCGTTGCTGTGCTGATGCGTGTTTTTCGGTTAATAAATCATTTTTATTATGTTGGGATTCTGCTCGCCTCGCTCAGTGAATGTGAAGGTATGTATGTCTCAATTCATCAATGATGTTGTAAACGCAACGTGAATGTGTCCGTAGTCGAAACTATATTACCTACTATATGCTTCCTTCAATACATCAATTCACGAGGTCTGAATGTATTCATTGATGTGATGTTAGGATACTCACAGGAGTTGATGTATCGTTTGATGGAGTCCTGCTATTCGCTTTCGATGTTTTGTCAAGAATTGGCCTTTGATGTGCAATGCGTGTTGGAACATCGGTGGTAGAATGAGGTTAGGTTGTAGCGAGGTGAAGTTTTAATTGTAACGTTTGTACAACGTGAAAAGATCTTGTATAATGGCACACCTTGACCTTATAACGAGTTTAGGACTACGTAGTCCACGGTCAAGCTGATGCGCCGCCTTCGTCGTCCTTCCTCTATAAGTTGTCGCTAGGCAAGTCGTCTTCGGGTCCCGGATGTAACGTTGGACGTGTTCCGTATGTTTGCCCTCCTTTGGGCCAGCTCATGCAAGATACAGTTAACGTGTATGTAACTGTAACGTGTATGTAACGTAAAATGACGTTGTATAATGGTACTGTTACGTTGTTGTAACTGTAACGTGTATATAACGTAAAATGACGTTGTATGATGGTACTGTTACGTTGTTGTAACTGTAACGTGTATGTAACGTAAAATGACGTTGTATAATGGAACTGTTACGTTGTTGTAACTGTAACTTGTATATAACGTAAATGACGTTGTATAATGGAACTGTTAACGTTGTTGTAACTGTAACATGTGCTGTACCTTGTATACGACGTAACATTACGTATCGCTGTACAGTGACAGTGTAAAGTTTTCCTGTGCAAGAAATAAACTCCGTTAGGTGCAAAAACATGCAAAGTTTATAGTGAAAGTGTCCATATTTGTTGCTCGATTGTTTTCGCGTGTTATTTTCGTGTGTTTATCTGAAAAACGTACTTGGGAACGAAAAGTTGGAGTGCTAAGAAGCTGTTGCTGGAATACGATTTTTTTTCTTGTTTTCCATCGACTGTTTACGATCCTGGATAGCTTATTAGCATTACTCTTGCTGAAAAAAATTTGACCTTTGGTCCAAAAATTTGGCAATGTATTTGCCTTTGGAATTTTTTCGTCGTGAGAATGACACTTTGATGCATTACGGCTTGTCGTGAGTGGTTCGCAGAGTTACGAGAAAAATTTTCCGCACTCTAATGGCCTTGTTAACTGCCTGATCTTCCACTCGAATGGCCTCGTTAACTGCCTGATCGTCCACTCTAATGGCCTCGTTAACTGCCTGATCATCCACTCTAACGGCCTCGTTAACTGCCTGATCTTCCACTCTAATGGCCTCGTTAACTGCCTGATCGTCCACTCTAACGGCCTCATTAACTGCCTGATCTTCCACTCTAATGGCCTCGTTAACTGCCTGATCGTCCACTCTAACGGCCTCGTTAACTGCCTGATCTTCCACTCGAATGGCCTCGTTAACTGCCTGATCGTCCACTATAAAATAAGTGTGTCATGTTGTCCAAATTTTGACACGCTTTCTCATGCAAAGCACAAGCAAAGAGCGACTGTAGCGCACTAAGACACAATTTAGCCTGGTCAAACTGGGTCAAGATAACCTGGGGCCATACTTTCAAAACTCGCTAAGTGAACGTAAGTACTTACGCTCAATTTTCTTGGCTTTGATTGGGTGGATTTTGCTTGAAAGGCCATCAATGATTGGCTGATGAACTTACGATCTCTTAACTTTTTTTGAAGGTATAGGCCCTGCACCAAACCAAAAAGTGCATCGTTATTTGGACAAAGTGCCACTAATTTCTCTTAGTTACTGCATGCACCGCAATGTGATTTTGGCAGCACGAAGCCATCGCTTTAGATTTTTTTTTTTTGCCATTTTCTTGCATGCGCATCGATTTCTCTTTATAATAAAATCCATTGAATTAATCAAGTAATCATGATTATATATAACTTTGTTGTAGCCAGTAACTGCACTTCAATTGAGTTATTTGTGTACAGTTAATTTTGTACTTGTATGTACAAAAATGTACGTTGTGGACGTAATAGTGAATTTGTACCAAACAAATATTTTAAACGATATGCATATGACAGTATTAGATCGCTATTCTTCTAATTTTTTTAATGCGTGAAATAATTTTATTCATTTTATTTTTTTTTTCACTGAGGTTTCTTTTTTTATGTAATTTTCCTGTTAGTTTTTCCAGTATTAACTTTTATGTCACAAATTTACATTAAAATCTTAACTTTACTTACGATCTTCATCTGTTCCTTGATTTTTCACATCAATATCATTTCTCGTCATCACTGATAACATCAATTGTTAAGTGTGTATATAGCTGCTGTGCTTGTATTAACTGTTATAATTGTCTAAACGTTGTTAATCATAATTTCTATGATAATTTGAATAATTTATTAATGGATTTCTTTTATTTCAGCTCGACAGTCGCGCACCCCTCCGAGCTTCCCCCGTCACCCCACAACTGGGATTGACGCCAACACAAAAAATAGGAAAATTAGGCCGAAATTTTCAGCTTATTAGTTCTCTTGATCCAAAATATGGCCTCCTGATGCCTGTAGTTTAACAAACCTAATCCTCTAGCCTACAAAATACGCCAGGCTATTAGCTAACCGAGACCTATGCATAATTCGGTGGTCTACTTAGACCATTTATTTAAAAGCCTAGCAAGAGTTCAGCCCCGTAGTGCTCCGTTTGACCTAAGGCGCTTGAAGATAACGTAAGGTTCAACCGAAAGAATATCTTAAGGCAATAATAATTACTTAAATTTGCCTATAATAATAATATCTTCAATTTAATCGCACTTTAGCTACAGTTGCTTAATGTGCTGCAATGCTATGCGTGTAGAGGGGCCGTGATTTGGGCTGTAGGAACGTAATTTATAGTTTCATTCAATCGTGCATCCATTAATTTGTGCATGGAAGACGTGCAGTTAATGCGATAATTATGTTAATTACAAGAAATTAGTGATTATTCTTGATGCTCGTGTTGAAATTAATAACAATTTAGCTCATAAGATTAAGAAGTGAATGGAGAGCTTGACGCTTGCCATTCTTGTTCTTGATCAGCCTTTCGTCTGTAGCTGATATAATTTTTCAATACGGAAATTTCTTATGAAATTGTCGTTTTTTAATGTTAGACGTGTGATCCTAGATGCCAGGAATTCTTATAAAATTTTGTAATTCTCACTATTTTCAATTTTAGTTTGAAGCTGAGGTCCGCTTAGCGGCAGCTCGCTCGAACGTGGTTTTAGTTCTGGACTTAATCATTTGCGTGACTTTGATCCCCGCAATAGAATATACGAGACTCTGTCGCACTATTTGTAAATTAATACGGTTAAAGTTTAATCTTAAGTTAATCATGTTTAAGGTCCAATCTTATGTAGCCGTGCACTTTAAAAGCGTTGCAATGTAACAACGGATGCCTCAGGCCGACGCTACGCACGGTAACGTCAAGCTTACAGGTTAATACTGCCAATCAATTTTTTTAGGCACAAGTACATCGAACAAGTTTCTAGAATTAGGCTTCCTTTGTATAATTCTCTCTAATATTTTTATTGCATAATTTTTTTGCAATCATGTGACCGGATTTGGTGACAGCGTTTTTTTTCAGACCTCAACATTATTGTGGATGGGAACAAGAATTTGCATTTCTGACGCTCAAAAGTGAATGAAAATTGTTCACTGAAATATAAATCATCAATTACGATTTAAACGTCGTATTTAAATTCTAGACGTTACATTTAAAGCCCCTAAAAGGTCAATCTATCTGAGTGTAAGGGGTATTACTTTAGAGAAAGCGTGTACACATCTGCAATAAATTTAACGTCTGTAATTTGATAAGGTCATACAAAATCGTTGCAGTTAATGCGGAGATTTTCTCCGTTCTTGCAATATGTTACTTTCAAGAGTTACATGGGTTGTGCTTGAATTTACTGGCGTATTGGTACGCCTTTCATGTGTTACACTTCTTGGTAAGAAAAAATGTTAACGGGTTAAGAACATTGAAAAACTAATGCCTCTAGTAATATTAGGTACGAAGTGAACTAATCTTGTCCGCAGTAATGTGCATCATTTAGTTAAGTTTAGTTGCAACCTAACACAGATACTCGTTTTCGAATATCGACTAGTTCTTAAGATTTGATATGTAAGTATGATCAGCTAACGCGTTCACGCCAACAACTCTCTCTAAGCGCTCTCATTCATCGCAATGAATCGCTGGTGCGATTAATTTTTTCAATTTTGAGTATAAAATGCCATTTTGACACACTCGCTTGTGGTGCTAACCGGGTTTTTTTTACGTACACATTGCACTGAATTTGTAGAATTTAATTTTCGTGTTCGATTCAGCTTAGATAGTTGAGGCAGCAACTATCTAAGAAAATGTCTTTTTATTATTTTATTATTATTATTATTATTATACTTTTTTATGATTCGTCGCACCTCAAACAAAAATTTGAAACTAATTTTAATGGATTCCGATCAACTTTCAGTATTAGACATTAAGTGGTTACTTTATTCGCTAACGCTCGTTATTCATTTACACATTTCGGAAATGTTTAACTTGCTTAATGATTTACGCATAAGCCTTACTTCGATTGCCCTGTTTGACGATGGTTGTGTTTTACTGGAATTTGAATGCTGCAAATTGGTACTTATTTCATTCATATGCTTCTGGTGGCAATTAAAAATACAGTAATTGTTTGTATTCAACATTCATTTCGATACAACGCTACGATCCATTTTTTTATTTTAAGTGCATCTATGAGTTAGTCTTGAATTGCACTTATAAGATTCGAACGACGTGATTGTACTTGCTTCGCTCTATAGCCTTATTAATGGAGTTAATATTCACCTTTGTAATGCCCCTGAGATTCGTCCAGATTTTCGAATGTCAAATCAATCGCAGCAATAAAATGGCGTTTTGTTTGTATATTTCTGTAGTAATGATGCCGCTCACTCTGCTGGTGCTCACGCAGCCTGATCTCATTCCAGCATTTAGTTTAGAATTATCGTTAGTTTTTGGCGCTCTTACCGTTTTTTCTTGTGTCTGTATTTCATCCACTGTCATACAAATGACATATCGATGAGCTCATGGTGATCTCTGGATTTTAGAAGTCAATGAATCACGATGAATTTTATTGAAAATGTCCAAGTTAGCCATGACCGATTCGAAATTTGCTTTGTTTCACTGCAAAAGTATTCAATTTAGACCTGTGTACGAGAGCCATTTTTTCACAATGCTGCTTCTTCATACCAGAATTAAAATCAAATATAATTCATTGATTGGATTTACGAAGTTGTGACATTTTATTTAACAGCGTTGTAAATAACATGTGTTTAAAATGCTCAGGTAGAAAGATGAAGGTGTGACCTCTAACACCAGATGTCATAAGATAATCCAGCTCAGGTGATTGTGCAGATTAAGGACAGTCACCGTGTGTTATCTTGTTCTTGATTTTCTTTACTGCTTTAAATGTGGCTTTAGACCGCGCTCATGCCAACAGTTGCACTTACCGAGTTATTGGTTTAGCTCCTCTTAACAGTTCGTGAAGCTACGCATAGCAGCGTCGAGCTTATTTTAAGAAGCGTTTGTAAGTGATGGTTCGGACAAGTACGACAGAGAGCGATGTCTCTGTGTCGTGTTTCGATGCGGTGTCATTGAACTGATTAGTCCTCTTTTAATATCAGTATTCAGTGCTAATAGGATGCGCGAATTAGTTGTGTGGTATTACACTGTGGTGTCATCTTGCAGTGACTGCTGCTTCTTCTCATCTCAGTATTCAGTGTAAGCACATTGTTTTTGTAATAGCCATGCTCATATTTGTATTTCAGTGAAATCAACATGAATTTTGTGTAATTTTTAAATGAAATCCAAATCGTTGCTCAGTAGTCGCTCCCTGAAATCCTGACATCACTCGTGCCGCTCTTTTCCGCCATTCTGAAAGTTTACCGTCTTTCTCAAGTCTTTGTGACCAAGAAAACTCAAGTTGTGGCATAACTGTTCCTATGAAAACTTAAGTCAACCTCAGAAAAACTATAATTATCTTAAACTAAACAGTACCCTTTTTCCCTTTTAACCTAAATTTCAATTTACACGGACATCTTACCACATTGCTACTTTTGCATCTAAAATCCTTCCCTAGCACTTATTTCAACGGCCACACTGTTCACGCTGTTCCATCAATATCTGCTTGTCACGGACACGACACAAATCTGTGATGTACCTATACTGCCATTGGCCCGCTCAGCCGAATAGTGTCTCTAAGTCTTTCAGTTGTTCAACGTTTGAATTACTGCGTCAATTTTCGAAGATTTTTGTCAATTCTTATAATTGCGCTAGTTTTATTTCATTCGATACGTCTTTATTTGATTGAATTTTAAATCAACAGAATCTCGAAAAATTTCTTGGAAAATTCTGTCCCGTCTTTGGCAAGTGTGTTAATTTCGACTACATATGCCCTACGTACTTTTTGTGTTTTTGTGTCGTTTATCCATTGATATGATCGGATATTAATAATTTACATCCGGACAATTTTAGTTTGTGTGTGAGGCAAATCGCGCGGATTCGTTCGGAGTATTTAGGCAGCTGGGAATGCATGTTCAGTTTTATGTAAGTGGAATACATGTTTAAATCTGATCGAGGTTGACGAGCCTCCGTTCACAATTTAGTTTCTGCACACGCATGATGTACTTTTCAAAAGTTTCTACACTTTGTTTATTCTTTCAGTGTAACTGTGATTGAAATATCTGTAAGAAATCTTTTGCTACATATGCCGTTTTTCTATCCTGATAGCACTCCTAAGATGGTAATGGTTTTCATGGCAATTTATGAACAAGATTGGGAATTGAGCAAGTAGCTCTCATTTTAAATCGAATTTCCGCGGTACAGAAAGGGTACAGTTTTCAATAAAGCTCAACAGCGACTAAAATCATCAAGCAAGCTATAGAATAGAAGTGTCGGCACTGAAGAAATAGGCCCATGGCCTGTTGCTATGTCTTAATATTTTTTTAATTTATAATTAGAAATTGAGGTCGCCCAGGAGTTAAAGACGGGCCAACACTTCATAATTAAAGCTGACTCCACTATATTTTATTACTGTTATTGAATTGGCGCGCGGTAATGCTTGGCGTGATATACATAGACGGAATTACCTCACCATGTTGCTGATACATGTTGCTAACGTGATTGAATGGAACCGAAACCAGTGTTGATATGCTACCTCAACTAAAGAACTCCACTCAAAAATATCTTATTACGCATTCATTGTAACGTAAGTTTCAAGTGCAACTGCGTAAATGAAATTGTTTTATTTTTATTGAATCGTGTTTGGTTATCTTGAGCCTAAAACGTCAAAAAAGCATACTTTTCATTTGATTATTATTGAAGTCAACGCAGGGGAATCGAACATTGTTTATTTTAGTGTTTCTCACCTGACTGGCTCAGTGAGTGGCTCTAACACTGAATTGTAACTGAAATGACGTTGTAAAAGCCGCCACCTTGCGAATGTTATTTCTCAACAATATTATAAGATTTTTAAATGACTATGCAACGATTTATCAGTTTTGGAATTCACTTTAATCGGATATTCGGTAAAGAAATCTCACTCAATAGCAGCCAGCATTCCCATAGAGTTAAGTTCTGTTCAATGTCTTCTACCTACTGTAAAAATGCTAACACAACTGGTCACCGGTGAGTATAATTTTTCTTTTTTTTACATGTAATTTTATACCTTATAGTCATGTTTGGGTAATTTATCTTATAGTGGTTATATACACTAAATGACCAATATCCATGGAATGAATCCCCAGATGATGGGATGTTGGTAAAATCAGGCAGTTGATTCTGGAATCATTCTCTTAGTAGTTTTACTAACAATCATATCATTTGTATGATATTAATTTTGCCTAGTAGAAATTAGATCATAGTACTCTGGTCTGGTAGATATTTTCTAGTCTGAAATGTAGCTTAATAAGCTTATGACTTATGAAGTTATGAGATATATAGGTACCTAACATGTTTTGTTGGCTAAACATGCTCTGTCTCTAATTTGAATTATACTGGAAAAATATTTCTCCTAGAATTGCATATGAAAACATTTTTTGTAGCTTCTGATTTACAAAAATATGAGGTGCATATGCATAAATGCTATTATAGAAGATAATTCAGACATGCAGGGGCAATTTTAAATTCATTAGGGTTCTGGCTCATTCAATGGTGGTTTCTGGCATTTAATTTTTCATGTTTAGCACTTCTTGACTACTATATAGCAACTGTGGCTGCATGGGGCATTGATTAAAACATTCACTCATCATTTGAATGAGATAATTTCTTAAATTCAAGAAAGCCAGGCCTGAAAATCTTGTGTTTCAATGTGCTTGTATGTGTGTTATAAAGCCATAAAATTTGTATCTTTTAAGCTGGTAGATTTTGGATTAATTCTAAATATGTGATTTGTTTTTTGTTGAGCTGCACAATTTCTTACATTTTATCTTTCAATTTGCATGAAGATTTTGATATCAGGTCCTGTGAAAGTATAAAAATTTACCTGAAGTTCTTTCTTAATTTATAGTTGCTTTACAACTGATTATGAGCAATCATTCGTTTAAAAAAATTATGCTAATTTGAATATGATTTTGTTTTGTTTAAATTGTTCCATCATAAACATATTCAGTACCTATGGAATTATAGAGGGTAGTAAATTTGCCAAGCATATTAGAAAGCCCATCACACAACCAATCACAGACTAGAGTGGATGACATCACAATTCACAACCAATTACAGTCTGGCAATGAACATGCATCTGTCAAAAAATAACAGAAGCTTTATGCACTATCCTAGAATTACTGCCTGAATTGCTATTTATATCTTCATTTTCAGAGGCACTTCACCTTTACCAGCGCTGCCAGTACCTGAGCACCGGGCCACCAATCTGTCGGCTGTGAGCTTGGCATTGCTGTCTCCCCGTGCGCTGCACAGCACGGATGCCAGCCCATTACCTTCTCCCTGTTGCTCGCCTCCTCCCTCCATCCCTCGTTCAGGATATCTTTCTGAGGCCAAAGCTGCACTTGCTACTGCAATTGCAAAAAGGAACCAAAAAACAAGCACATTAAGCATTGATGTGAGTCTTGTATAAAATTTTTATAATATTTTTATGTTAAATTTTTTATCATATTTGTTCACTGTTCAGTGCTTTTACCACTATCCTTCATTTTGAAGTATATGGCAGTAAAAGTTGTGGCACTGTGTCTACAATTGGAACCTACTGACCATATTGGTCCTGTTATCAATGTTAGCAAATACTTCATACCATTGGCTTTAGGCAATTAGTATGAAAGTTTAACACCTACTGTCATGTAGAAAAGACACAACAATCTGTAGAAGCTGTAACCTGAGTCTGCACACTTGACCTTGTTATGTTTTAAAATTTCCTGGAGTGCATTTGTTGAATGGTTTGTACAACATTATTGAAATGTGCTGAAAATCTAATATAATCTCCAAGTAAGCAAAAGAAGCCGTGGGAATTAAAAGTATTTGCATGATGGTTATACAACATTTAATATCTAACAAGAGCAGATTCCAAATCTGTACTATTCAATCATGTTTGTATATTCTCACAGGAAATTTTCTGTTTTTATTTTGTTTTTAACAAATTAGGTACTAAGATATTTAGCTAAGTTTAAAGTAACTAAAACCACTTTGACAATTATCTGAAAATTTCGTTTCATTGACAATTTTGACAATTTAATTTTATTGATTCACCATAAATTGGAGGACTCATGTCTATTGATTCATTATTTTTTAGGAGGACTCATGTCTATTGATTCAATCCTTTTTAGGAGGACATGAGGGATATGTGTCAGTACTACAACCTTCTTGGCACGGAAGAAAAGGAACAGTTCCTGATACACCTCTGCACTGAACACAGCACTAACCACTCAGCTGTTCTTGAGACTGCTGCCAATCCTCCCCAGGATCTCACCCAGGTTTGACCTTGTAATCCCTGCTAGATATTTTGGATGTAGCAGTCCCAGGCCATGCTGTATCACCCTTCAGTATTTTGCCACCCTCAGCCCCCGGAAGTTATTTAGGTTGTCCTTGCTGCCAAGGCTTGGTGGCAGTAGACCACAACTACCACACATCTACTCATATTCTTACTAGATATTTTTGATGTAACAGTCCCAGGCCACACTGTATCACCCTGCAGTATTTTGCCACCCTCAGCCCCTGGCAGTTAGTTAGGTTGTCCTTGCTGCCATGGCTTGGTTACCACACATCCAATTACCACACATCTGCTCACAATTAATTCACGATGCTGTTCCTTGCTTCTGGTTGGTTTTATGACCAAGCTGAAGAAATAAACATTTCTGTAGGTAATTAGCAGTGTCATCTAAGAATTCACTACATTCTTTGAACAGCCTGAACTATGACTGGTCCAATTATCAAACATATTCATCACATCAAGTAAATTATATTTGTTGTTGTTGAGATATTTTGCTAATCCTTTCCATAAGACAGAACATTTAATTTTGTCATGTAATACTCTTTTGTGATATCAAACAACTTGCATCTGAAATAATGATCAGTAGTTTGTAATTAAAACGCTTTTTTGATCATCACATCAAGCAAATTATATTTTGGTATTGAGGTATTTTACTATCCTTGCCATAAGACAGAACATTTAATTTTGTCATGTAATATTCTTTTGTGATATCAAACAGCTTGCATCTCAAATAATCATCAGTAGTTTGTAATAAAAACACTTATGTGATTTTACAGCCCGGAGCACTCAGTCGATGGGAGGAGAGACTGCGACAGAGCCTACAGCCTCCCCATGCGTGGGTGGTGACGCAGGTCTCGCGCCTCACCGGGGGTGTTAAGTTCTTGGTGGACCTCAGACATCATGTGCTCGTTAGTGGCACATCTGCTTTTGTTGAAACGATTACTCATGGTATTATAGATATCAATAGATTATTACTATCTATTATTATAGATATCAATAGATTATTACTATTAATAAATAGATTATTATTAATGATCGTCAGCTCACTAATAGATATCAAATATTATTATTAATAGATTATTATTATTATTATCACTAGATTATTATTAGATTATTATTATATAGATATCAATAGATTATTATATTATGGATTATACTATATTAATAGATTACTATTAAAGATTATACTCATGGTATAATAGATATTATTAGATTATTATTAATCGTTGGAGTGGATAAGTAATCATTAGAGTACATTAGATAACAGTAGATAAATGTAAGCTAATTGTTTGGTTCATGATTCAAAACTAGTTAACAAGTAACTGAAAGCGCAGTGTATTATTGTTTTTTTTTTTTTTTTTTTGCATTGGTGATCATCAATTTAAGTGGATATTATTTCAAAATTATCAACTCAAATACAATGCAACTCAGAACCATTGATTATTTATAAAGAGACCCCAAGTAACAATTGAGATAAAGCTTTAGGCTGAAGCTTATTAACAATCATACTGAATCCATTTTGAAGATAAATAAACATTTTTATGGCAAACAACTTGAGATTTAATTAAAATAATTGAAAATTTGAGATTTAATGAAAAACGGTACAAGAATCTGGTAGGTATTCACTGTGCTTCATATATCTGAACAAATGCAAAATTGGCTCACAAAGTTTGAAAAATTATTAATTTGAATGAACTAACAATTGCATGATGTATATTGATTCCATTTTTTTGGTTGCATATTATATCAAATGTAAATTATAGTATTTTGATTTTCATTTATTGAGTACTAAAAAACTAAGTTAAAAACGATCTTTAGATTGAATTGTTTATTCTTTGTGCAAGCCACCAACTAACTGATCCAAATATAATGAACTAATAAGTTCATTGCATGTCAGTTATTGCACAATGAAGAAAAGTTTATTGCATGTAGTTTATTGCACAATTAATGAAGTTCATTGCTCAACGAATAAAGTTTATTGCGTGTAGTTTATTGCACAATGAATATAGTTCATTGCACAATGAACAAAGTTCATTGTGTTTTATTGCACAATGAATATAGTTCATTGCACAATGAACAAAGTTCATTGCACAATGAACAAAGTTCATTGCACAATGAACAAAGTTCATTGCACAATGAACAAAGTTCATTGCACAATGAACAAAGTTCATTGTGTTTTATTGCACAATGAATATAGTTCATTGCACAATGAATAAAGCTCATTGCACAGTGAATAAAGTTCATTGCACAATGATAAAAATTCATTGTGTGTAGTGTAGTATTGCACAATGAAAAAATTTCATTGCATGTAGTTTATTGCACAATGAATAAAGTTCAATACACACAGAAAAAGTTCATTGTGTGTGAGTACAAAGCTTCTATGCCCCGTACAGCAATTGCTTCAGCGCGGCCGCGACACGCCGGAGGAGGACGCGGCTGTACGGGAGCTGGACGCGACGCTGCGTGAAATGCTGTCGCTGTGGTTCACTGTGGGGCTCCTGCAGCTCTCCAGGGTCACGTGGGAGTCCTCCTGCTCCATGCTCCAGAAGGTCAGGGTCATGTGGGAGTCCTGCTCCATGCTCCAGAAGGTCAGGGTCAGGAGTCTTCCTGCTCCCTGCTCCAGAAGGTTAGGGTCACGTGGAGTCGTCCTGCTCCATGCTCCAGAAGGTCAGGGTCACGTGGGAGTCCTGCTCCATGCTCCAGAAGGTCAGGGTCACTTTAGAGTCCTGCTCCATGTTGCAGAAGGTCAGGGTCACGTGGAGTCGTCCTGCTCCATGCTCCAGAAGGTCAGAGTCACGTATGAGTCTTCCTACTCCAGAAGGTCAGGGTCACATGGGAGTCCTGCTCCATGCTCCAGAAGGTCAGGGTCACGTGGAGTCGTCCTGCTCCATGCTCCAGAAGGTCAGGACTGATTTACTGCTGCATGACATGCAGAAGCGGGGAGAAGAGCAGACTCTGCGTTCAAAAGAATTCAAAAGCTAAGAGAACGCCCTGTAAAGATCAGGGAAACTACTTGATCTTTGCTCTTAAATTCTTGGGGAACTTGCAATTCGAGCAGACTAATGATATAAGTACGGCCAGCCTATGATTTTTGTTACCGTGTTGCTCAATTCAAACTGAGTCAGTAGTGCTGTTTACACACGCAGTGGTAGTTTTGGGCATAAAAATATATGGAATAGCTTTGTTCTTTGTAGTTTTTTCGTCATTCCTCATGATTTTTTATTAGTTTGTGGTGTATGCACCACTAACTAACAGTGGTGGTTTTGTTAGTGGTAGATAGTGTCATGGTGTATTGTTTTGCTTCTAAATCTTAGACTGTCTCTTGATCCCTCTCTTAATAATTAATAATTGTGATATTTTGTTATCAATATCTTTTTGCCCAGATATCTGAGTATGAAGCGGTGCACCCGGTTCGCAATTATCAACATCTTTTTGCCCAGATATCTGAGTATGAAGCGGTGCACCCGGTTCTCAACTATCAACATCTTTTTGCCCAGATATCTGAGTACGAAGCGGTGCACCCGGTTCTCAACTATCAACATCTTTTTGCCCAGATATCTGAGTAAATCTTTCTGCCCAGATATCTGAGTATGGAGCGGTGCACCCGGTTCGCAATTATCAACATCTTTCTGTCCAGATATCTGAGTATGAAGCGGTGCACCCGGTTCGCAATTGGACGGACCTGAAGCGACGCGTGGGGCAGTACCGCCGGTGCTTCGTGTTCACACACTCCTGTATGCCCAGCGAACCGCTCGTTGTGCTCCACACCTTCCTCACCGACTCCATCTCCAGCTCCATGAACGTCATAGTGCAGAATCCGCGCTTTGACCGAACACGTTCGTGCCTTTTTCGGTGGTTTTTGTATAAAATGTTTCATTTTCAGCCTATTAAGAATTCTGGTCTGACTTTACGTTTACGTATGAATTCTAATCAAAGTTGCATGAATTCTAATCAAAGTTGCTTAAAAATTTTCCATTCTTAACTAGAATGTGTGAAGCACAATGGGTATGTTTAATGGGTACGTGTGAAGCACAATGGGTCTTTTATAAGGTAAGCCTTATAAGAGAAACGAAATTCGCACGCTCTGAAATAGGGTATAAAAGAAATTAGTAGCAATATTTTTTCATATACTTCCTTTTCCCTTTCCATATGAGTCTTGGACTTGTCTGTGTACCTTATTTGATTGGTTTTATAAGACCAGTCAGCTACAGCAGTAATGAAATTTTCTATAAATACTAACTGTATAGTAGATATTTCAAATGAAAATATAATCAAATAATGCAACCTAAGATCGTTGCAATTCATCATTCTAAAGTATTGATGACTATACGCTGCCTTCTGACGCCTATTATTTGATGTGATGATTTTCCAGCGTCGGAGGATCGCGTGGACATCCCTGAAGAGGAAGAGGATTCCAGGACCATCACCGCTGCCGTCTTCTACTCCATCACGTCCACGCAGAAAGGACTTCAAGTACGACCAATTACCCACCAGTCCACTTACCTACTAATTTTCGTTCTTCCTTATCCCGTAGTTAATGGATATTGCTTTACGGTGTGGAAGCATGGAATGGAGAGAAATGATACTCTCAAATTATAAAATAAATAAAAATATAAGGTATGAATGTATGTATGAGGGTAGTACGGTATGTGTGGGAACTGACGGAATGCGAGGAGGCAAATGTTTTCACTTGTGCAAATGTGTGATGGGAAATTAAAGGTAAACTTCCACTTTATGGTGGAAAAAGGAGCGTATGAGAGAGAAGGACATTCTCTGATTTACCGTAGGTGATTATAGATGAACGGGTTGAGAGTAGTAGAGTGGGATTTGAGCGAACAAGTGACGAGGGGATTTTAATGATCACGGGTTAGCTGAGGGAGCAACTGTGGCTATGATTGATAGTGTAAAGAAATGTTTGAGGAGCTTATGAAGGCTGACTGAGAGAAAGAGGTTCGAAAACCAAGTTAATCGAACTCAATATTTGTACCTTTGCGTAGATTTTTTAAGCAATTTTTGTCTTGAGATATTTTCGTAAATACATTATTAGCATAATGTTCTAGCTCCTAAGTGGGGAAACGCATATTTTCTATTTTGTTCTTCTTTTTGAATAAATGAATTTGTGTTGCGTAGATGACTGGGCTAAAGGTCTGACCACTGGTCATGGCTATCCCAATTCCTAACATAAATGGGGAGATTATAAATGAAAATTTTTGGACCGTACTTGAACTCACACGAGAAAATGCATTCGCCATATCTGTATTACCTTTACTCGAGTTATGCCCTGTTACCCGATCAATTAATGGGATATTGATTTTCATGAATAATAGAATTAAATAGTCAAACCACGTTTCAAATTCCATGCAGAATTTCGATCGGTGCTATGTATTTCCTAAGGAAAATGATCGGTAACAGTAATTTCGATTCTACTTTTTTCAGAGCATCGAGCTAGGGAACTACTTGATCAAGCGCGTGGTGAAGGAACTGATGGCTGAGCTGCCCAGCCTGTGCATGTTCTCCAGCCTCTCCCCCATACCAGGCTTCACCAAGTGGCTTCAGTCGTTACTGGGGCGCGCCGCTAGAGGTAGGACTGCGCCAGGAGGAAAGGAGTCAATGAACTATTGTCTTTTTCAAGGAATAATCTGGTGTCATAGTTTCAAAAGTTCACTTAAAATTTTAAAACAAAGGAAACGCCAAGTTCATATCTTCAATGAGAATGTTTTGGAGGCCAGCTCTATCATCAGCAATTTGAGCAGACTAATGAACGCAAGTGCGAGTGAAGTTTGTGTGGGCAAACGCCGCAAATTTTAGAGTAGTAAAAGGCATTGTTCATTATTTGAACTCACCAATTGTTCACGCCGGGACCGATCCTTTTTTACAGAAAACTTTGGTTTGTCACAAATTTCGTCTGTGGTCCGCCGCCACTAGAATAAGCATGGCTTTATTCTTCGCCGTCGATGATGAAACATTCAAACTCTCCAATTGTTCACGCCGGGAGCAATCTTCCTTTACAGAAAACTTTGGTTTGTCACAAATTTCGTCTGTGGTCCGTCACCGCTACAATAAGCATGGCCTTATTCTTCGCCGTCGATGATGAATCTGACCTGCTTAATTATCCTTCAGTGCTGTATATCCTAGCAGGCAACCTCAATGCCGTTAGCCCACTAGCTCTATCCTAGACTATGCGTTAAGGATATATAACTCATCTCTCTTTGTAATGTTTCAGAGCTCTGTTGTTTTCAGGTGAAATACGCCTTTTTTCGGATGCTGAAATATCAGAACTTGGGCGACTGCTAGAATCCTCATCAACGCTCGAGCTTCCTACTGCCGACAAAGGGAGTCCTTCAGAAGGACGGCCGAGGCCTTCTGACGACGCCAGTCGTCCTTCTAGTCCTGAAAATAATGCCGAGGATGCAGACGACATTAGGGATCCCGTCACCAGCCACGAGACAAGGACGGTGTGCCGCAGAGTTCGTCAAATGCTGGCCACAAACAGCTGGGCGCAGGACGAGGCCTTCAGGAGAGCTCTAGAGGCGCCGTTCATGCGCCTCTGTGCCCATTACCTCTATGCTGAGAAGAGGAGAGGTTATGCGCTCAATAGCGTTGGTTAGAAACTCTTCTTGGTTTTAGCACTAATATATTTTAACAGATTTCTGATTATGCGCTCAATAGCGTTGGTTAGAAACTCTTCTTTGTTTTAGCTCTAATATATTTTAACAGATTTCTGATTATGCGCTCAATAGCGTTGGTTAGAAACTCTTCTTAGTTTCGGGATCAAATTATTGTAAACGATTTTTGTTGATAAAATTCATTTTATAATATTTCACGTAGTTGCTAGAGAAGTGAAAATAAATTATTTGTCATATTTTGTACGCATATGTTAATTGTGTTGAGTTCATGATTTGATTATAACGCATGCTGTCAGTTACCTGATTCTATTTTTGGGCAGCACATTTCCACCTGAAGAACGGAGCAGTGATGTGGAGAATAAATTACGAAGCCGATATGACTCCTAGAGGCCTTTCAAACAGCTGTGGCATCATGGTCAATTACAGGCGAGTTCTCTACACGAAAACTCTGACTTGACTTCAACTACACGAGTTCTAATAATGTTAACGTGATGCGTACATCAACTATTTACAGAAACGTCCATTTCCAATTCTTGTTCACGTGAGAACTTTAAATACGATGTTACAACAGGCTGAACTCGAACTTTGTCAGGCTTACTACGTTCGAGGCTATAACTTGACTGTGTCAGTGGCTATAACTTGACTGTGCCAGTGGCAGCGACTTGACTGCGTCAGTGGCTGTAACTTGACTGTGTCAGTGGCTGTGACTTGACTGTGTCAGTGGCTGTGACTTGACTGAACTTGACTGCGTCAGTGGCTGTGACTTGACTGTGTCAGTGGCTGTGACTTGACTGTGTCAGTAGCTGTGACTTGAATGTGTCAGTGGCTGTGACTTGACAGTGTCAGTGGGTGACTTGACTGTCAGTGGCTGTAACTTAACTGGTGTCAGTGGCGGCTATAACTTGACTGTGTCAGTGGCTGTAACTTGACTGTATCAGTGGCTTTGACTTAACTGTTCCGGTGTTCACAGATTAATAATTTGATCTAAAGAATAAAGCTTGGCGTGCAGGTATTTCTTGCAAGACAGTGAGAGCAACAGCAGGGAATATCAGGAGCATCAGATGATCACTGCTGACCCGTCGGTGGTGACGCTCGCAAGCGCCGCCCTGCAGGTCATGAGGAACGAGCGCCCGGTGAGCCCTCGGCTACAGATGCCGGCCATTGAGCTCACTGTAGTGGACTGATGGTCTCTGTAGTGGACTGATGGTCTCTGTAGTGGACTGATGGTCTCTGTAGTGGACTGATGGTCTCTGTAGTGGACTGATGGTCTCTGTCTGAACCTGTCACTGTAGTGAACTGATGGTCTCTGCCTGTCACTGTAGTGGACTGATGGTCTCTGCCTGAACCTGTCACTGTAGTGGACTGATGGTCTCTGCCTGAACCTGTCACTGTAGTGGACTGATGGTCTCTGCCTGAATCTGTCGGCTGTCACTGTAGTGGACTGATGGTCTCTGCCGAACAAAAACAGTTGGTTTATGCATTTGGGTTCAGTCTGCAGATAACGTGGCATGAAAGATGAAAATGATTTGTGTTGTTCATAAACTAATGATTTCCTTTGTCAATGACCATCCTGCAGTATAAAATGTTGTTCTAGTCTCAAACGTGCTACTCACTTCTAGTCATTTAGATAATAATGAGCGCTGCTTGTCCTCATGTTAAAATGTTTCCGTCCATTTCATCAGTGAAGAACAATGACTGATAGGTTTTTTGTGGTCTATCTGAATAGCAATGAAACGAATTGGAAAGTTTATTTACTAGGCATTTATATGTACCAATGAGGTTACGAATTGAAATTATATAGGTTTTAAATTAGTACTTTGATCTTCATTTCGGCTAAGTGCGGTGAACGAGGCGCTGTCTGATTTGCAGTTTTTCAGAATTTTGATTTGTGATTAAATTAGTAATAAAATTTATGGCGCTCTCAGGCCAACGTTTACCAATTTCAGTGGTAATTGTTATCTTCCTCCTTCTCTCCCTTGCACCCTGCACTTGTTTTCCTGTATCCAGTACATTGCTGATTTTAATTATGTGATTGACAGTTGAGGCTCTTCTTGTCTTCATTTAAATATTCGATAGATTTTGATTTATTGTCAAGTAATATTTTTGTCTCGTCAGATTGCGTTGCCTGCGTAACCTCCTGCGTGCTGTAACCTTCACCCTCAACGTTTTATTTTGCTGACATCCGCCCAAACAAACGAAATATTTTATCATTACTGCCTACACTCAGAAAACTGTTGGATCATCATTCCAAATGACACACTACATTGCACTTTGCACTGGCGGACCCTTTTCCTGAACCCAACTGGGTCAGGATGACCCACATAAATACCAAATTTGGATCGGTATTTGGACAAATCTCCTTCATTTCTCTGAGAGCATTGTCTGGATTCGTTCGATCATTACTCTGAATTTATTTATGTAATTTTACACTTATTTGTTGACTCTTTCTTCAGTCAAAGCTACAAATTACGCTGTGCCTTATATCCACCAATCGAAAAAATAAATAGCGACACATTCTTATTTATATGACAAGCAGGAAGTGGACGTAGTCCTTTTGCACGAGCCAAAGTGGGTCAAATGGATTCATTCACATAGGACAAAAGGGCGTTGCCATTTGCACAAAGGCCCACTAATTTTTCAGAGTCACATATTATACATGGTCAACTTAGTTTTAGAAATTACTCAAGTTATCGTACCATTCCTAAGCTTTGCTTGTGCCATATCCCTCGTCAAGCTAACTGTGCCTTGTGTACGTGGCTGATTGATGTGTGATTAAACCACGTATTGTTGTGTGGTGCAGTATTTTGTTTGTTGTGGAAGCTTATTGTTGTACTTATTCGAAAAATGTCCTAAAATGCAACGGTATGAGTATTGATTGTTTTAATGTTAGTATTTATTCTCACAATGTTACAATTTCATTTTTAATATAATCTTTTCCTTTCATGCATTGCTCAATGAAGATCACGGCGGAAAGGTATTGTTGATTTTAATTTAGTTAATAGTCAGTAAGGGTGATATTGTGATGTTAATACGAACACCGATGTGGAACAGAGATGCTGTTCATTTATTACACGAGTCAAATATGACCACGGCTCGCGATATTCCTGTCATGGGAAATGTTGCTTTCGTTTGCAATTAGAAACCCATCAAGTAGCAAATATTTCTTTTCGTATTTTCACTTATCGTGGTTCTAGTCAGACGCGCACAGTGATGGTTGTGTCCGTAATGTAAATAATCGATTTCTATATATCTATAACCATTACTTTAATCGTGATAACAAAACTTTTGCATCAGTTATAAAGACCATATGTACATCGGTCTCCAGCGCAACAATTGTAAAACAAGCGCTCAATCAGACAGAAGCGATAGGGAATTTGCCAATTTCTGTCACTGTATTAATTTAATTCACCAAAGTTTGTATTACTATGACCAAAGGAAATGTAATCACTTTTCAGTTCAAGTTTTTAATTGGAAATATAAATGTACAAGTATACATTAGAGCCAGTAGGCATTTATTCCTGCCACGGCCACTTGGGGCGTGCCCCTCGCATCACTGAGTTGTCCTCCCGCTCGCTGCGCTGCTTGAGGTGGTCGCGGCGCTCAGGCGTGAGCGTTGCCTCCATGCGCTGTAGCTCCTCGCTCACCTTCACCAGGTTCATGTGCTGCCCGTACGCAATCCCTGCACCCAATGCAATCTGTAACCAGTTTTATTATTCATTATATGAACGGCCGTGTATGAATATTTGAATGTTTTATTATTGAGCATATAATTAACTAAGGACTTGTCTCATTTGTTGCTAGCAATTTTGTATCTTATTCAAAGAGCTTCACCAATAAGTCACGCGAGGACTGACGAGTTTCAGAACTAGATTGGTCATATATTTAATCTTCAATCGAGTAGTAACTATTACATAGAATGTTCAAGCGCCTCGTGTAAAATCTTTTACATTGTATATATTAGTTCCTCTCGCAATTGCACAAATAAAACATTTCGCACACGCGTGATTTAATTACCAAATTACATGTACAGGACAAGAATTTTCAATCTTTCACTCTTTTAAATTCTTTGTACATGATAATAAGGCCTACGAATATGAACTTCAGATTGCATGATTTACTTTTCTCCTTGCTTTTGACGACCACTATAAAATTATACCGTATAGAAAAAGGAGTGACTTGAAACTTGGTAACTCACATTGAATGCTGTGAGTATGCAGATATTTCTGGACATGGGCTTAACGATGGAGAGATATTTTTTGAGTAAGAGTTTAGGCTCAGGCCATAACGGCGGGATCACTGCTGTCATGTAACGGTCAGCGAACTGGAAGCACACGATGGGGGCCAGCAGCAGTGGGTAGAGTGTGCTGCATGTCGTCTGCCAAGAAAAAGAGTACAGATATCCGAGACTAAACCCATTCACAGGCTATGTATATTCAAGTTTCAAACCGTATTCTACTCGATTCAACACATACCTGTGCTCAAAAGATTCTTATAAATGATGTTGCTCACATCGATTTGTTACTCCATATACTTCACGTAATATACTTCCATATACTTCACATATACTTCAATTAAAAAAACTTTCTAACTGATTACTATAATCATGCAATTTGTGATTCAAGCATTGAAGAGCTATGAGAATACCACAAAAATTCACAATATCTTGAATAAAACTTATATAAATGCATAAAATATAAAAATAATAAAATTCTATAAGCAACAGAATTTGATTTTAAGCTGATATTCTGTAACTGATACAATGAAGTCACCCTCCTAATTTAAGAGTATAATTTTCTTGCCAGCCATTTTTATATTAGAAAATATGTTCTCCCTGTGCATTTGCCGTCGTCTGTAGCTTATAAAGTTGTACACAACATCAACCAGTGCATGTTGGTATAACAAAATGCAAGTTCTATTCCAGCATGTAGTGAGTGACAACCCAGTGAAATAAGTAAAATTAAGAAATATGAGAAAGAGTTACACAAGGGAAATAATTTCAAAAAGAATACCTGAAGTACAATACTCCTTGTCTCAAGGCAGAGTGGACACACAGGCTTCCCTGACAATGATGGAGCAAGAACAAACTGCAAAGGAACAACAAGGAACATTGCAGTGATATTGAACACACATTAAATAATTACTTAACTAAATTACTGCAAACAAATAATGGTACCGGTACATTTGTATGAATGACACTTTATAATGAAGTATGAAAATGAATGCGCTAAAAAAATCTGTTTAGCCGTATATAGACAATTAAAACATAATTTAGGAAGATAAGACTCCAAAACCCCACAAATTGGCTGCACAAAATTAAAAAAATTTAAATTCATGAAAAATTCGGATTTCTGTGCAATTTACATCACTAAATTGTGGTTGGTTGCAACCATATATTTTCAAAATTAATGTATAATTTCATATGCACTCAATGTTGTGGCTTGCACTTACAAGTTCAGCTTCAATTGTAGATAGTAGAATCAATAGATTGAGAGACTACTTACATCTCCATGAAGAAGAGAAGCAAGGGTAGCAGGAATGCAAGTAGTGGCAATATATGTGGTTATAAAGACAAAGCTCCGGAGCTTCAGAGCTTTTCTGAATCTGTAGTTGATGTAGCCAGCTGAGATAGCAGTTGAACTAGATAGGATTGCTGGTCCATACAAATATGCCCATCTGAAAATGGAAATTGAATAAGTACCTATACATATATATTGAAATTATGAATCTGTATATATACAGTCAAATGGGGTAAGACAGGATCGCAGCCTTTATGGGGTAAGAAAGGACCGGCCCATGGCATGCATTCTAATTGCACTGAATTTAATTTGGCAGAAGAATTATGTTAGAGCAATCATTTCATGTCATTTCAGTGCTTGTTTCAACCCTGTTCTGCAAATAATGAATTTTTTGTTAATTTTTGAAGAAAACCTATGTAAAGAAGGGTTACAAAATAGTTAACCCTATTTGGGAAATAAGCTCTGTCTAATTACAAAAAATTTTTTGACCAGGTTTGTGGATGTAGGCTGGTAACCTCAAGTAACAAGAACCTTTTGAGACATACTAGTACATACTACTATCTGCTACCATCACTGCCTGACATCTATTCTAAAATGGAGTAAAAAAGGACCAGACATGGGGTAAGACAGGACCACTAAATGATCCTATTTTACCCCACAAGTGGTCCTATCTTACCCCACAAAAGTAATGTATAAAATGTTAATTAACTATGCCAGCTATATAATATCATCCATATTTTGCGCTCAAAAGACTAAATGGATCATATGGTCACGTTTAATGTTGGGGTCTTGTAAGAGTAAGACCAAGTGGACTACAATTTATACAATTTTAGTGGACAATATATACATATACAATTTTCAATGTTCCTTACTCCTATACACTATTTAGTGACCATAATCACTAGAAATTATAAGAAATAAAAATTTATGCGCTTTAAAAAAATGTGCTTGTTAAAGAGTTAACAAAGTTTTCTCGTGACAAAAACTCCAATGTGACTGATATTAGAGTTGACTTCCTGCAACAAAAAACAGTAACAATTGGTTGTTTAATCAAATAATGTGTTTCTAGATAGATAATATTGAACATCAGATTTGTACTTTAATTAAAAACCTTGCAACATAAGAATTACCATCTGGTCCTGTCTTACCCCAGCCTGGTCCCATCTTACCCCAGTGGGGTAAGATGGGACCAGCTCACTTTTTAGCGCATTTTCTCATTTATGGAAAAAATGCACTATTGTGCTCGCCATGTCTGTCTGTCCGTCCGTCTGTCTGTGACCTCAAGTTTTCATCGACAAGAAAATGTGCTCTCTGTCACTCACTGCAGTGAGTACTGAGTTATATTTTTTTAATCTGTACACAAAACTGTTTTGTATGCAAAAAGTTTGAGTTGTAGCTTTGAAGCCCATTGCATAACTACACCTTGTGATAGGTTTAGGGTTTTTAGTTATTCATGGTATAGATGCTACATGCTTGTTAGTGATTTCGGTCCTGTCTTAACCCATCTGACTATATATATATAATGTGGATTGTTCACAAATTAATTCCGTAAAAATAAAAACTGCATTAAGTAATGGTACCATACATCAAGCTCTAATCATCAAGCATGAGTCTATAAATTTACACAAGCTATAAATTTACTAACTACCAGATTTGTAAGAATGTCAAAACTGTTCTTGTATTTCAAGCTTCAATTTCAATTTGTATTAATAATACCCTATGTTTGAACCCTCATTTCAAAATTTCAAATTCAGGTTTTGCAAAACTCTTCCTTTACTTGATAACGAATAAAGTTGCATTCAAAACATCCTAAATTATAATAATATGACCTTGAAAATGTGATATTTGAATTTTCAATTCCTATCAAGAGATCAATTTGCTAAATAGAGAAAAACAATTAGAAAATTGTCAATAAGAAATACTCTCTGGGTCTTCAATAAAACCTGCATTAAATAATATTTTAAAGTCATAAAATGTGAAACTGTAAAATATCAAGTCTGGTCTCCTATTATCAACTTTGAAAATAATTTAGAACTGTTACTAAGCGGTAAATGTGTCATTAAGCTGGTTGACAACCCCTAATTAAACCCATCCTCCTCCTAGTCATTAGCTACTATGCAGGTGGAGTGTGTAATGTCTGTGGTCAAACTATGATAAAATCTTGTCCCTAGAATTTGGACATTACCCAAAAACAATCTACCTCTCGTCCCTCGTCATTAGGCTGTTTGCGCACGAGTGCACAAATCCTCTGGGGGCACTTAATGAACCTCCTTTACCAAGAATTCCACCATGCACCCAGCTCACCTCAACATGATAATTATAATGTGAATAAATAAACTCAACGATAATTGAATTTCATGTTTAGCAATACACCAGCCAAAACTTCCATATCTGCAAAGGTTTCTGCCAATTCATTTAAGCTCCCACCTATGCACAGGATAGGAAAAATACTTATTACTAAACAATTTTCAAAGTTGGTGACAATGAGCTATTGATTTAAATAATTTTTATAAATATTTTCATATGTATGGCTCTGATTTTCAAAGAGGGAGCAAAAGGTGGGGCAAGATGTACCAGGAAATAGTCTAAAGATGGTCATTTGGCAACAACAAAATAATATTGGCTTGTCTTCAAGTGAAGAAAAATGTTTAAATTTTTATGTTATGGAAAAGTCAATAGTAACACATAAAATTTAGGGCTTTAAAAATAATTTGCAGCTCAAAATCAACTTTAGACTCGTAAATTAAATTGCAGTTCAATATATTTTTTTCATGACAGTAAATAAACCCAAACTCATGAGAGAAAGATTTTCCACAATACTAGCACTATCTGAAATATTTGCACCTCATAATAATTAAGACAATGCATTCTGCAATCCAGTCTGGACCTATGACATGTTGTGCATTAAAATAATATTGGCAAACAAAATAGTTGAAAAGAACGGTAAATATCATAATGATGTACATAAGATATTGAACAAAATCTCAATGTGGATCAAGAAACTAGAAATGAACTGGATTATGAAAATCTTGTTTGCCACTTTGCTTTATCTATAATTTGAAATGGTATTATGCCATATTATAAAGACAAGACTTAGCCTACTGGCACAAAACAAAAAGTTGACTTACACATCTGACTTGGGCTTCCAAGTTGTTATCACTTCATATGCTTCATTATTTCCTTCAAACCACAAAGAAGTCATCCTACTTGATTTAGAAGTGTAGCACTCATAAGGACTAACTACTCAGTGCTGAATACCCAATCTGGAATATTTGACAGAATTTTCCAAAGACATAATTAAAAAACAAATTACCCAGAAAAACATAATTTTCTGGGTAATTTTCAAAAGTCACAGGCAAACTTATGCAGTTTTTCTTATTCTTAATGGAAAAAATTAGGCAAGGGTCATAAAACTAGGTGAAATTGACCACAAGTCCACAAGCATACCTAGGTGTTTTTGTCTCATTCACAGCCGGAGCACTCCAGCACTACTCACTTGAGGAGCAGAAGAAGAGGGGTGCAATTCCTCCAATTGGGCTATTTGCTAAGGATGGGACACTTATTTGTTAAGGAAATGGCAGTTATTTGGATGTTGGAGCGCTGAAATGCACGTATCCTGGACCCTGCCCTCCTGCTCCTATTGGAGATGGAGTGGAATGAGCACACTGCCGCAGGCCGCTGCTGCCAGCCTGCTTGTATTGGAGCGTGTGGCACCCCTGCTGCTCCTATTGCAGTGGGACAAGCTTGCTGCAGCTGCTGCTGAACTGCCTGTATTGGAGAGAGTGCGCTTTTATTTTTGGCCACCGCGCTCCTCAATTACATAGATAAATGGTCATTTAGAATTAGAAGCTTATTTTGGTACTCCTGAACTGTAACCACAACCACTGGGTCACCCTGCCACAACTTGGTACACTTATTCATTAGGACCTAACAGTCTCCATATATCTGTATTAGACTGAATAACTTGCAAACAAGAGCAAAAAAATTTTCACAAGCTAAACTCTACTGCTGAGACTGGGAGGTTAGGTTTTCACATACAAAGATTCATTCAAATCTGTTCAGTATTTTAGGAGAAATTCTATGCTCACTGCAAATTTGAGCACGTACTGCTGTTTAAATCATGAATGAGGTAAAAGTAGAATAAAACAAATAAAAAAACTTTTAAAAACCATGTTTTCTTAATGGACAAAAAAGAAAAACATTTACTCTTACATAACATTCAAGTTAAGTAAAATTTTATGTAATGTTATGTAAGAGTAAATGTTTATCTTTTTTGTCTGTTAAGAAAACGTGGTTTTCAAAAGTTTTTTTATTTGTTTTATTTCATTATTTTTAGTTTTGTAAAACCACAAAAATGTGGTTTTTGAAAATATTTTTCATATTTATTTATTTTCTACTTTTTAGTTAGCAATTTTAGCAATTCAAATCAATTTCCAGGGTTGGCAAGTATGGATGTTCAAGAAAAAACTCAATCCCAAACCGTGAATTTTTAGTGTTTTTATTCATTTTTTTAAATTAAAAAAAAAATTTTAATTATTATTTCTGATGATTAAATCTTGAATTGTTAGGCAGCATAAACATGCATGCCAAATTTCAACTTACTAGGATGTTTAGAAGTGCTCTAAATTAAGGTTTGAATTTTTGATGACAGATGGACACGAAACAAAGTCAAGAAAAAAGTGGTAAAAAACTCGCAAACATAGGCAAAATCTACAAAATTGTCACAAGCTAAACATCACCGTTGTCTTGTTGAGCGTTAGGCTCCCTGCAAATGTCATGCTCCCTGCAAATTTTGGCAATGGCACGTATCATCACATAACTCATGAATTAAGGTGAAATTCCAAGAATGTTTACAAGCTTAACATCACCGTTAGGTCCTAATGAATACTTGTACCAAGTTTTATCGAGCTATGTTCTTTATTTTGGGAGATATTCTATGCTCACTGAATTTCTTTAATTGGAATTTATGGGAGCCTCTGAAGACTGGTTCAATGCGGCCCCATGTCAGAACAGTTCAAGGAATTTGACTGAATTTTGTTTTCAGGCACAAAAAAGGGTGTCTCGGAAAAAAACTCATTTCTCAGTGGCTGAAGGGCTACAGAACGGGGCCACCAAAATGGAGACCACACCGGGGCGGAGAGCACCACTCCAGGGCAGAAAGCCCCACTCCAGGGCAGAAGACACTAACCACTACCTGGGGACACTAACCACTCACCTAGTCACCTGGGGACACTAGCCACTCACATGGAGGCTGGGGACACTAACCACTACCTGGGGACACTAACCACTATCTGGGAGGCTGGGGACACTAACCACTCACCTGGGAGCACTAACCACAAACCCAGGGGCACTAACCACACATGAAGCGTGATGAAGGCATCTTAAAATCTTTGTAACAAATTTTGCAGTTAGATGCCGGGAGCATTTATAGGTGTTCGGGAGTTAAACTTCACTTTAGCTGGTCGTACCTTTTGCTGGCTCAACGCCCTGGAGCGGGGCAGCACAGCATTTTCAAATTTCAAAGTTCGAGAAAGACAGTTCCAGAAAGATGACGTAGCAGCCGGCCAAAGCCGGCTACTATCATGGGAGCTCAGCACAAAGAACCTCTTTCCTCAACGGTTAGAACAGAACTCCCCCTCACTGAATTTGGACTGAAATTGGACACCAACCGTGAGTCCGGCCGCAAGACCGGCCTCAAATTCGGCCGTAAATTTGTCCGAGACGTGTAAATAAAACATGGTAAAGGGAACAGCAAAAAAAAAATAATAATAATAATTGCGTCATGCCATGGCTGACTTGACATGACGCAATGGTTCGCGCTATACGATGTTCTGCATAATTCTATACATTTCTCTGTGACAAAACTTGCCATAAATAGTATAGTATAGTGGTATAGTATAGTATCTTTGGCATTGAAGAATAGGCCTAGGCCTGTTGCCGATTCTTGTACTTTTCTTGGCTAGACTGGCCTTTTGATCAAATCTTTTCGACGGACAATAGATTTAAAATCGCTTCTAGATTTCAGTTGTTCCGTGGGATACGAGGCATTCTAAGACTAAACATATGCTCCTGCATGGCCTTCTCTAGTCTGTTCTTGAACGCATTCACACTCAGAGTGTCAACAATATCTTCAGGCTTTTCCACATGTTGGTGACTCGAAGCAAGAAGAAATGTTGTCGTGTGAACTGTGAAGTTGCACCGCAGTTTTTTTTAGTAGCTAGTTTAGCAGTAATAAACGTCATTTTAGTCATTAATATGCAAAAATTCATCTATTAGAGCTACAGGAAGTAATTTTGAAAAAAAATCACACCATTCAATTAATAAATTTATTACTTCAATCCATCAATTTCCCATAATTTCTCATTATATAATGTATGGAGTAAGAATACGGCTTATAATTCACAATTCATATTGATATTTATTATAGAGAAATTGACAATGAAGTCAAAACCTAATAAATGTTAAACATCATTTTACAATTTGGTCACGAAGGAAACATCCTACTGAAAGTAGGGCCTATAGGATGTTTTAATAATTGGGTCCCAAAGGATCCCCAAATGCAGCGCCCCAAGATGAAGATTGGGCGTAACCGTTCACTAGGCTAGTCACCGACTCACCGTGTGGCCGGCAACAGCCACATAAGAGAGAGAGACCCCGCACGAATGCGCGGAGTCTCTTCCCCTTCTTGGGGTGCGGTGCCTAACTTGAAACTTCTGCCCCGCTTTTGGGGCTCTCTTCGAGACCTACGGCTGGAACTGTCCGAGGTTCGCTACTCTGACCTGTCTTAGGTCGACGAGGAAGAACTATCCTTGAGTCAAACTCGAAGTCCAATCAAAATTGTCCTTGCAGCCTCATGGGCAGGCATTTTGTTCCTGAGTCGAATTTTCGAGAAGAAAATCGTCAAAGTAAAGGATTTCGCCGAGATTTTGGGACCAGGCTTTGTGTAGTCCGGTATTGTGGATATGCAACGAAAAATACCCCTATATAAGTAAGGCGAACCAATGGTTGGGTACATGGTTGAACTAGTTCAACCATGTACTAGTTCAACCATGGTTGGGTATACCTGGAAGTGCAGCAAAAGTGAGAGCGAGTAAGTATGAAGTATTGAGAGAAGTGTGGAAGAGTGTAGCAGTGCCAAGCATTATGTATGGATTGGATGTGATAGCATATAGTGATGGCGAGCTAGATAAATTGGAATTTGTACAAAATAGAGTGGCGAGATTGGCACTAGGAGCCCCCAGGTGGACTGCAGTAGAGGCCATGAGAGGAGACATGGGTTGGAGTACCTTCAAGGAAAGAAGAATGAGAGCAGTTTTGAGGTATAAAGTGAGACTGGAGCGAATGGATGATGAACGTTGGGCTCGAAATATGTATATGTGGAACATGAAGGTGAGCAAATGGGCACGCAGATGTCGGGCAGTGGTGCGTAAGTGTGGCATGCATGAAGCATGGGTGCGCCAAAGGCCCGCTGGGCCAAAGGACGAATGGGTGGTGACAGTACGGGTTGCGATTGGGATAGAGTGGGATGAAAAAGAGAAATAAATGAGCGAGTGAAAGACTATGGGCTGAAGGTATGGAAGCAAGGAATGGAGGGAAAGGACTCTCTAAGACTGAATCAGATGAAAGCGATGCCAAAATATGAATGTATGTATGATGGTAGTAGAGGTGGGGACCTTCTGTTTTGTGTTAGGGCAGGCGCGCTAGGTGTGAATGGACGTACATGCAGGTGGAATGAAAGAAGAGAAGATAAATGTTTTATGTGTGATGGGGATGAGAAGGAAACTGTAGAGCACTTGTTGATGGAATGTGGGGCGTATGAGAGAGCGTCAGTCTATGATTGAGGTGATTCTGAATGAGAGGTGAGACTAACGAGGTGGGGCATGAGAGAACAAGCGAAGAGTGGATGGCGATAATTACGGGTCTGTCTGAGGGAGCAACTGCGGCTATGTTTGAGTGTGAAGAGATATTTGGAAAACGTGTGGAGGAGGAGGATGTTATTAGTGGGGTCTTGAGGAATGGAGGGTTGAGAGAGGGGAGGGTGGGAAGACGTGTGAACGTGCCGAATTGTTTTAGTACGTGGTTTTACTTTTTTGCGATTGTCAAATTTTACATTTTTTCTTAGGACAGCTGTGAATATGGTATATTTGAACTTTTTTGTTAACATAAGAGTGTGAACTTTTAATTTTTTTTTTATGCTAGTAAAAGTTTTTAGGCAGCGTGTATGACCGATTTAAAGGTCGTGACCGTAGGTCACCACGCACCCCAATTTCATAATGCATCTCCAAACAGCAGACAACTTTACGGGAAATTCAAGGCTCATCGGACAAGGAACAGCTCTTATGGTCAAAAAATTGCAATCCTAATAGTTTTCGAAATAAGGTCGTTTAAATTGAAGAAAAAGTAATTTAGACCCGTTATTCACTGGGCAATGATAATTTTGTCTGTTGACTCCACCGTAGGGTGTACTACCTGCATTTCAACAATACAAGTCGTTAATGTCGCTCTGCGGGCGGGCAGCACAGCTAATATTTTCTTTGTTCTATGCTCGAGCTAGAACAAGTACAATACATTATTTTTCTGCAGACGAGCAGTAAGACAAGTAATTGCTCTGCTCTAGCGTGGTACAATTTATTTCGGCTCTTCAAGCGAGATAAAACATTATCGGCTAGCCGCTCCTTCACAAGCCTACTTCCCATATCTATTCTATATATCGTTCCATATGAAGTCATTACAATAATACGGAGCACGTTTCAGGTATTGTTACCGATCAAGGCAACAAGGAAATGATTATTTGCCGATCGATGATTTAAAATAGAATAAAATTGTGATGCAATAAAATTATATTAGGCGTAGAGGAGTAAGATATCATGCGTTGTTGACAAGTTTATATATTCGTACTAAACAAATTTCAATAAAAAAAAAACAAGAAAAATCAATTCTTCTGCATTTAACGATTGAAGATGAAACATAAAAAATTCACTACAGATATGGAAGTAGTGCTGAACAACACGATGCTCTCATTCTAAGAAAAATGAAAATTATCTTTAGAAAAAGCTGAGTTTGCTTCTGAAATAAGTAAGAATAATAATGGCGCAACTAAGATTCTACAAAATAAACTTTGTCCGTTATTCATGAATTTTATTCTTAGCTTTGGTATAAACACTAAAGCTTAAAACCAAGTAAGAAGGTCATCATTTCTTAGGCTTGCGTCCCTTTTTGGCTGGGTTTTTAGAGTATTTATCAGCAAGAGAATCTAAGAATGAGTCCATGTCCTTGGCTCTGTCCTGAGAACGCTTGAGAATGAGAGCTTGGAGAGAGGATGGATCGTCTCCCAGCCCGAGCTCCTGTTTAGCTGCTTCAGCTTCAGCTGCTTCTTTGCTCGCCTGAAAATTATTCAAATTTTTAATCCTTCTATTTCAATATACATCAGTAATAATTTTCTAGATAAAAAGAACTATACATAGATAATCATGTCAGTGAATTGAAAAACTAATATTTTCAAGTAATTTTGACATAAATTTCTATCACAGAAGTAGAATTGTCACCATCTGACTCGATAAAAAATTTTTTCTATGAGAGGAAGTAAATACAAAACATACCACTGTAACCATCAGACAAAATGAGATCAGCACATTACCTTCCTCTTGCGCTTAATCTTTTTCTCTTGCGTTTCGGACGTGTATGCTTTGTATGCCTTCACTCTGCCCTCTTTGATCCACGCGTCAATGATGCTCCTAAAGCGCGGCTCGTCATCAATGGTGCAAAGCAGCACAGAGTCCAGGATGTGATCCATGCTGCCCTTCCCTGTCTTGTATGCAGCCTCCAGGTCCGCTAACTCTTCCTCTGACCCTGATGAAGATTAAAATCATATTCGATATAAATTGGTACGTTCTAACTTCTATTCACAGCCAGACATAGGCTGTACCTAGGAGTGGTGCATTTTGGAATTTTGGAGTTCAACAAATGCAGTGTTACGGATGTTATACTGCAAAATTTTAGACCCCAAGGTTGATTCCTTCATGATTTGATGGTCGTTTAAAATTTTCAAAAATAAGAAAACCAGCATATGCATGAAAACTTTTCCAAAAATTCAGTTAAAACTTTTAGAGATCACAATGGGCAAAAATTGTCATAAAAATGTCTTTAGAATATTTGTTCCAAGTTTAAATGCTTTGTCTTATCATCCACTAATTATAGAATGCACCACCTTACTACACCTAGGAGCTGATGTGTACTGTATTCAAATAGTGATTGTCCATTGGATATCAACGTTTTTAAGAAGTCAAAAGAAGGAAAAGTCACAGCAAATAAGAAGTTAATTTTCTCCCAATTTTTAAAGTTACATTTGTGGAAAGAGTAAAAGAGAAAACATTGAAACACATAAAAACATAAAAAAATTATCTGATGATTTCAAGTTGTACAGCAATGGGTACCGTAATCTTATTTTAAAATGCTAGAGTACGGTATAATGAGTTCTTACCAACATATTTTTCCTTAAAGTTAATGATGTCTTCTGTAGTGACTGCCTTAAACAGTGAGCGCCAGTACTGCTGCCAATCTTTGCAGTCACTCGAACTTTCTTCATCCACTTCTCCTGTGAATATTGGTAAAAGCTTTTATTGTAGTGCTGCATTCTACTATTGCACCTTCAGTGCTGAAACATTAACTTTGGTGATGGTGATTGATGGGTCTCTGTAATTTCTGGGGTGTATCAAGAACTTATGGACATGTATGAATAACTTGAAAAACAAGAAACAGCATGAAATAAACTAACAACAGAAAGAACACATTAATTGAATCAACACCTAAGGTAGCAACTGTGGCATTTCAAGGAGTTAAAATGCCACATCGAAATGAGGCATTTAACTGCTGCTTAAACTTAACATTAATTTTTATTTCTCCCAGGCAATATAAAAATCTTTAGCTCAATTGTAGCTAATATCTGTTTCTCTTATCTTATTATACATAGGTTAGAAGCATGTAAGACAACTTGCAAAATGACATGTCATGGTGTAATCTCCTTGGTATAATATTCCTGCAACAAACCTGTTTCATCATACACTGCCCTTAAATCAGCATCAGAGAGAAGCTGGTACACTCGGCCAAGTGTCTGGAATTTGCGAGTAGCCTCCTCCTTCTCTTTATCACTCACTCGGTCTGGATGCACCGATAGAGAAACCTTGTGGTACGCCTTGCGCACTGAAAGATGGAATCACACAAAATGAAATCCATTAACAAAAGGCTGCAGTCAAAATGAATCAAAGTAACTTCAATCAATAGCCAAGTTGCATGAGCAAATTATCATCTCAATCACATCAATGAAATAAACCATTAGGCATAATATATTAATAACAACATTTTTGGATATCAAATAAGGTTATAATTTTCAGAAATCATAGTTCATTGAATAAATTGTTTTTCTATGTAAAGTGGGAATTTATGACAGCAGAAAAGCAACTTCATATAGGAGACAATTTTAGTGGTAACAAGTTTCTTACACTCTTTGTCAGTAGCAGTCTTTCTAGCACCCAAAACACTGTACAAGTCAGTACATCCAAACTGCTCTTTGCATTCTTCAATTAATCCCATAGTAGAATAAGCTCAATAATGTGATTTATCTCCAATTTCTGCACATATGTAAGAATTACAAATAAAAAACGGATATATGTAATTAATGATATCTATGTATGATAATGCTGGTATCTATGACATTACCAATCTATTCATAGGACTCACAAAGACTCGATAAAATAAGGACCATTTTTAGACCTATAAGGTCTAAAAATGTGTCTGCTTTGCCACTGAGGCAAATCCACACTGCTAAGTACAGCCTTTTAGCTAAAGATATTGGTGTATTTTATAGCTCTCTATCAAGCCATCTCAACCTCAAGTAGCTTCTAAGTATTATTATTATTATTATTAGGGTGCCAATGAAATTAATGGTAAAAATTCAAATACAATTTACCTATGCTCTCATCCTCAAAAAGTTATCCTTTTCACCATAATATAACGCCAAAAAAACTTGAATGAGACATCTTAATATTTCCTACTTGTGCAAATACATCATTATTTTTGTAAATAATGCCCATAGGAATTATTATGATTTTATGACAAGAGCTGATTTACTTATATCAAATGATGCAACATGCCCAATTTTTACTAATTCACTGAAAATTAGTGGTTGCACTCAATATTCTTAGTTGGTAATATTTAATTGAAGTTTACTTTCTGCTAGATTATTTTTCCACTAGATTCCAAGTGAAACTGGTGAAGTGTAAGCAAAAATTTTTTTGCAGTTAATTGTTAGCTGGCAATTCAGAGATGGAATCTAGCTAACATATTCTTATGTCACTGCCAGCAACACTGGCACATATGCTGAAGTTCTTTCTGCAAAATAAGCTGCCTTTTAGTTTAGCTTGCAGGCATTATGTTCATGAACTAATTATACATACAACTGCTTTCAATTTGTTAATGGGATATTCCATTTGTCCCAGGGTGCAGAAAGTGGGTGAATATCGAAAGATCTTTGGCGACGCATCAGCAGCAAAATTTACATCTTCAGAAGATCTTACAAACACATTTTGATTGAAATTATTGCATTTTAGAAATTACTTTGAAATTATTGCAAATCTGGACGACTGCAAGCGCACACAGTAAGGTTTCCGGTGCGTCGGATCATAGTGGCAAACCTGAGATTTTTTAGAATCAGTTCATTTTTAATTTCCTCAATTACTCAAGATTTGAACCAATTTCTTATGTATGATAATGCTGGGATCCATGATACTTTACTGGTCTACTTATAGGACTCAAAAATGAATTTGAGGGAGAGTCTAAAAATCTCTCAGATTTGCCACTAAGCGTCAGATCATCGGATGGATCAGGATGCAGTGAAGCTTGTCCAAAAATCAGTTGCGATGATCATAGATGCAGTGCGTGGAGAATAAGGGATATACTATTAAAGTAGTTAGCAGCATTTTCTTATTAAAAATTAACCAGCAACGCATCTTGAAAATGGCTGGCAACGCTTTGGACTAAAAAGAAATATATTGGCAACAGTGCTTGCCAACTCTGTACACGGGATTACAGCTACCAGATAACTGAAGGGTAGTGTCCAGTGTCCACAGATATTTGTCTTATGTGCAATGGCCACTGATTTTTGCCTTATTACATAATGTGAAAGAGCTCTATTACACCTAACCCTTTGGAGTTTGAGGATCTGTCATGAATGCATGAATTAACATACAGAGATGATTTTGATACCATTGGACTTGGATAGGATAGAATGTCGGGAGCGCAGCCGTGGGTAACAAAATAGACTCGTAAACAGGCCCTGGGCCTAACGCCAACCATCAGCATGCAATATCTACACATAGCCTCAGCCCTCAGACCAATGAGCTGTGGGTAACTCCGGATAACAGTAAATCCGCTTGCACAACACAGCCACTGCTTCACAGCGCCGGAGCCCAACTGGCCAGAGCGCAACAGGCCCTACCGCAACAGGCAGCACAGGTTAGGTTTAATAGGTTATGTGTTAGGAGTAGCTGTTGCGGACTTGCGGTAGGGCCTGCTGCGCTCTGGCCTGTGACTGAACTGCGCTGTTGTGGTGGGCGCTTTGTGTCAAAAGCCGTGAAGTACAGTGAAGATGCACGGCTGCATTACGCTCGGAAAGGTATATGATTTGCACTGTGGATTTGGGCTATGCTGACCTCTAGCTATCCACCCAGGTCCCAGAATGTCAGCTTTAGGATGAGCATAAAAACAGTAAAAATCAAAATTTGCAATTTTTGACCCAGAAGCTCCTGTTAAATCAGGCAGTAAAGTATGGGTTAATTTCCTCTTCTTCTTCAACTTTAAGCCAATATCTTATGTATGATAATGCTGTTATCCAGCTATCTAGGAATACTAGTCTTTGATATTTTACTTGTCAACTTATAGGATTAAAAAATGAACATGAGGATGACTAAATGAGTCTAAAAAAGTCTCTGCTTTGACACCTGGCAGCTGCTAGTATGGAATATATCTACTTGGCTAGCCGCGACTGAATTTTTCGAGCCGTGGTTTTATGGATTTGCCAGCTGTGATTCCATTTCTACGAGCCGTGATTCTACTTCACCGAGCCGTGAATTCCATATCTCGGCCATGAAAAGCCATTTACGAGGTGCGAATGCAAATTTATTTACAAAGTTTATGCACGTGTTACCCCATTGCGGAAGTTGAAAATTTTATGAAATGACATGTTTGCGAAGTGCAAACCGCGATTTTTTAATCAAACAAAAATTTATGACATTCGAGCCGCGAGATTTCATACCTACTGAAATTATATGATATTAGAGCCGTGATATTTCAGACAAAAATAGGACTTTTCCAGACTAGGGCAGCTGGCACCATGCTTCAACTTAAAGTTTTTTTAAATCAGACACCACACAATAGGTAGCTCATCTATAGTTATAAATTTACAATGGCTTTGTTCCTTAATACTAGACTACTACGTAAAATCAAAACCATAATAATTGCTATAAAGAAAAAAAACCTTAAGCCATGATGATGAGGGAAAATGATTAAGCAAGTAGATTAGTAGAGCATGCAAAACTTAGCAAAAGCCTTTTTGGAGTTAAACATATTTCATTGTTTATATTAGAAATTAAGAAAGCCAAGTTGCCAAATGGCAATTGGCAAATGCCTAGTACGGTAGTTCCGGGTAGTACCTATAACAAGTTGCCAACATATTCAACTTTTTGTTCTTGTAAAATTAGAGATTGTCATGTGATTCCAAGCAAAAAAAGTCCTAAATTAATAAGAAAGCTAAACATTTGGTACAAGTAATAGCTATTGAGCAAATCAAGCCTCAAAGGCTCAGCCTCAAGGGAAAGCCCATCAAGCGTCCGAACGATATTCGGCAAGCCGCAAGGAGACCGGGCGGTTAGGCTAAGGCCGTTAAGCATAGCAAAATTGAAGCAGCGAGTTGCGCGTTCAAGCCCGCAACAAAAACGGCCTAATAAACGCTGAACCGCTATTATAGTATATATAAACAATAGACGAGTACGCCACATGGTAACCAGCTATTTCTTAGCTAATTGCATTGTTTAAATTTCGCGCTCCTTTCAAGTCACTGACCAAATAACGGACGGGAAAAGACCAATCTAGTGAACCCGGAACATTAGACTAAAAGTTTGACTGGGCTGATTCACTAGGAAACATCATAGAATAGAATAGAAGTGTCGGCGTTGAAGAAATAGGCCCATGGCCTGTTCTTGCCGATGGCCATGGCCGATTCTTGAACTTTTCGTGACTTGATTCACAAGGGATCCGGCCTTTGGAACCCGATCTTTCCAATTTTCCATAGCTGACGATTGATTGAGATAGCTGCTGGACTTATTGCCTGGTCCGTAATTTGCTAGGCATTTTAATTAAGACTGAATATATGCTCCTGCATAGCTTCGTCTAGTCTGTTTTGGAAGATGTTCATACTCGGAGCTTCAACGATGCTATCAGGGAGGCTGTTCCACATGTCGGTGACTCGAAACGAGAAGAAATGTTGTCGCATGGTGATGGATGTGTTCCAACACTGTTTTTTTTAGTTTATAGCCGTGGCCCCTGGTGTTGGTTCTTGTTTCAAATCCTAGTAATCCTTCTGGAATCTGGTACATTTCATGAAAATGAAATGTACCGAATTATCAAATAGATCGATAAATTTTGATATTTTGTATTGCAATTCCTTCAAAATTTAGTTAAATTCACTTATTTCAACTTTATTTTAACTTTCGTCATGTCGATTAGGACCAGTAAGTGCTAATGTATTGTATGGCTATTTATCTATCTCACTCAAATATCTAGAATGTCTGCAATATTTTAAAATTTACATATATTTACTGAATTTTTACCGAGTGTTGTCCGATATTCTTTCTGTTTCGTATTCACGTAGCTCGCTAAACGCCAAAATAGATATGCATGCAATATTGGCCAAAAAGTGTCGATACTCGTTAAAAAAATTTTGTGAGACAGCTGTTTCAGCGTTGATTAGGTCGTTAGCCCTACCGACATTTCTTGACATCTCAGAACATTCACAGCTTGTTGCAGTCTCGAACCCGCACCTTTCTGCTCCAATCCTGATACTCTGAAGTGTTAACTGGGCCACCCTGCCACATGGAAAATAGTTCCGACGAACCATCGTTTTTTAAGTAAAGAGTGCTGCAAGAGTCCTTTGTTTTCCCGACATTACCCGTCGTTTGTATTATTGGCTTCTCGTGTGAGTGCAACTAAGATGTTAGCATTTCACTAAAATTTCACAATAAGCATGAGCAAATTATCATCGCTTATAAAATATCACTATGTATAGAAACTGACAGCAGTCAGTTGTATGCCGTACTGATTCCAAATTATTTTAAAATATTATTCAGCATCTCTCTGGAGTGATTGTTATCTCTGCTTCAGCAGTGAATGAGCATATGCTCAACCATATGTTATCGCCGAGCCGTACAAGAACATCTATAAAACTTCAATTTTCCCGTCCCGAAAGCTTATGAAAATATGATTTTCTTTTTTCGTTTTCGATCTTCGCTTAGGCTCGTGTATTCTTTATTTGTTTAGACACCTGATTACCGCACAGAAGCATTGTTTCTCAAAACTCCACGGAAATTACGCTGAGTATTTAGATAGCTTTTAACCAAGCCGTTATATAATTCAATTGTCGATGTCTGGAAACTTGTATTTGCATTCAGAAATGACATGTTCGAGTTTCCTGCAATGACATAATTTTGTTCATAATAAGGCAACCTTTAATTTTATAACATCTAATTTTGATATTGCTTATTTAAACCTGGTATTGAAGTTGAAGCCATCAATTATATTGGAAGCTCATGCATTCTGCGCAACACTTTTCATGCTGCTAATAAATTCCTCCTTAAATGAGGATACTTCGTTATATATTATTATTATGAACGGTTATTATGTTGAGCCAAGTTTCAAATTTCGTATTGAGCTTCTGATTTGACGAGTTGGTATGATTTTTTATATTATTTTGCTTTTTTAATTGGACGTAATTTTATTCAATAACAGACCACGAACTACTTAAATTTGGAAATGTTCGTCAAATTTATTTCCAGGTTGGTTTGGGAATATCACGGTAACTGGATAAAAAAGGTCCACATTTAATGCCAAAATTTTATTTGTCGAGAAAGTTAATACTATCTTTCAGCTATTAAGCGAGAGAAGCTCATAAATGGACATTTAAAAACACTGTTTTTGTAAACTAAACTCGTACACACACAAGGTGGCAACTAAACTGGTGACAACTGAAGTGTCGTCGTATATGGCTCCGAAAATTTTTTTTTAAACCTATTGATCTTTCTATTGGGAGTGTGGAATTTTCCTATTGATTGATCGGTTATCAGTAGAACCGCAAGCCAAAGCCGTCGTGGAAGCTCAAGCCTTACTTAGGTCTGGTAGCTTTCAGGAGGCAGGACTCGAGCTGAGTGAACTGCAACAAGAAACACAATAGGATGAAACTAATAGCCTTCTTATTTATAATGAAAGAAGTAGCCTTCTTGTTTAGAATGAAAGTATTGGCCTTCTTGTATACAATGAAAGTATTGGCCTTCTTCATTAAAATGAAAGCATTAGCCTTCTTGTTTAGAATGAAAGTATTAGCCTTCTTGTATACAATGAAAGTATTGGCCTTCTTCGTTACAATGAAAGTATTAGCCTTCTTGTATACAATGAAAGTATTGGCCTTCTTCGTTACAATGAAAGTATTGGCCTTCTTGTTTGTTACAATGAAAGTATTAGCCTTCATGTTTACAATGAAAGTATTGCCTTCTTATTTACAATAACAGTATCAACCTTTTAGTCTAGGATCAATGTATTAGCCTTCTTGTGTACGATTAAAAGTTATAAACTTCTTGTTTACGATTAATGGGAAATGGGAATAGAAATTGTGTGTTAATAAAAGTATCAGACTTCTTGATTAAGATTACCCGACAATAAGAATAACATTTGTCTCCTAATCCCTTCACGGATTTGTTTGCATTTAATTATTACGGGTTCTTAACTGAATTTCGAGTGAAAACAAAACGAAAATTAATAATGCAAATTGTGAAAGTATACGTAACTCACATTTAGATACGTCATGGTAGCTGCTTCGCACTGCGCATAGGCATTTTGGAATTGAGTATCCGCATCACATTGGTTCTTCAAATATTTTACTTTGTACACATTCCCGTCAAACGTTCCGTCGGCCTTCAGCTGTTGAGAGATAAATTTATTTTATTTAAAGGTGTATTTATTATTTACTTATTTATTTAGAGGTGTATTTATTATTTATTTATTTATTTAGAGGTGTATTTATTATTTATTTATTTATTTATAGGTGTATTTATTATTTATTTATTTATTTAGAGGTGTACGCATGAGCTAAAAATTCCTGTGTGCTGTAATTCTGGCAAACGAATATATTTTAGTTATTTTCATTATTGACTACAATACATGAATAATTTTCATTTTTCTACTACAATATTTGAAAGTTACTCCTAAAATTTCAAAATATTGAATTTATTCCATCATTATTACAACATCATTGTAAATAAAATTTGGTGTAACGTTTATAATTGGTCGGATCTAGCCGATTCAATGAATCACAAAATTATTACAGCTAGATGTGGTTTCAACCTCACATCTAACTGCTCGAACCTTGAGATTCTCAACCGACGCTTCACCGATTCTGATCAGAAATATCGTAAGAAGCTGTGATCGAACCCGCAACTCAACGCTCCTTTCTCGATAATCTGAACTGTTACCACTAAGCCACCCTGTGTCATTTTATTATTTATATAAATGTGTCACTATTCGGGCAATATGACTCACTAATTTGTCTGACTATGAACAGAAGTACTCACGAGTCCGCTTGCTTGCATGATACACTTGAAATAATTTTTCATGATTGGTGCACAGAAAGCAACATCGTAGCTTCCGCCGTAGAGAGTAATGCCCTTGCACTGTGGATCTGTGGTAGAAATATTGAGCCTAAATTTTTGCTTCAAGCTTCAAAACATCAAATGCGATGCGAGAAGAGTACGAATGTTAAAATTTTGCTGCTTTACTGCCCAAAATTTTTTGAAAATAAGAATCCGATATATCTGCTAATTTTAATATTTTAATATAATATTTTTTTAATTCAATAATACATATCGACTTGTGATGCTCGTTACTAAGCTGAAGCTCCCTTTATTAGTTGATTTATGAAACGCGTTAATGCTTAATATGGCCTTTATGAAATCGAAAAGGATTTATTGTTGTTCATCGAACAAATTTTGTTCGATATTGTTGTTCGATACAATATCGAACACTTGTTCGATATTGTTCGAACAAATATCATCGAGTCAAAGCCTCGACGATATTTGTTGAACATTATTCTCTATCATTATATCATGGTTAAATTGGAAACTCCCAATGAAAAACCTGCCGTTTTTACCAGTCTCGATTATTATTTTCAGAAACTCGATTATTGCATTAAAAAAAGGTGGAAAAGTTTTACGCTTATTTCTAATACACAATCTCTAATTTCAAATCATGTTGAAGAGGTTAATCGTTGCGACAAATTTTGATTTTTCATCAGTTTTCATGATTATTAGAAATTATTTCTCCTGTAGCCAACCTCTTGGAAGCAAAAATTAAATTCAAGTTATTCATCTTCATGGCTACATAAAGTGTCATCAATTCAACAAGCGAGAGTTATGAAACATATCAAAAAAATTAACCTCTCCACCACACGTTCACCACGCTGATAAATGATATAATATATTTGAATTTTGACAGGCTAACTTGCTTTAGAAAGATAGATAATGCTAATAACAATAGCGGTTTCAGCGTTTAATAGGCCGTAGGCCTGTCGCCGATTCTTAACATCGCAGAACATCCACAGCATTTTGCGGTCTCGAACGCGCAACGCACTGCTACAAATCTGCTTTGCTTAACCGCCCGGCCTCCTTGCCGATTGTGACCAGAAACTGGCGCACAGAGCTGGGGTCGAACCCGCGCCTCTCTGCGCCAATCTTTGGTACTCTGAACTTTAACAGTGGGCCACCCTGCCCACCACTGGGCCACCTTGCCTATATAGATAATGCTAATACTTACATGTAGCATGTTTGCGAAGATCAGCAGTATTTGTTGTGTAGCAGTTAGATCGATTCATGGACTTGGACGCCAAGGCAATTGCATCGTAACAAGCGGCGCCACTGTTAATAAAAAATTATATCAAGTTAATAACAAGATTTAGTCTTCCCACACAGGCTTTTACTTGGCTTGAAGTATCAATCAACAAAAGAAAATAAATTTTCATTTTGTTATCCTGTTTGTTTTTAATTATATTTAATCAATTAGAAAAATTAATTACTTATACTGTGAACATTGTTATCATCGTAGCTCACATATAACGTTATTAGAGGAATTATTTGAGCTATTGCTGCAACGAATATCCATTAATTAAACGTATTGTCTCCTCCTTGATATTCTTAATTCGTGCGTTCTGCGCTCAACATTTTTATAAAGACGAATCGCTTCACAGAAAATATCCTTATTTCACATGAAAACTGTCTTAGCACGAAGAGGAGACGAACAAAAGATTTTGAAAACGAACTTAACTATGAAAATGAATACTGTATTACGAAAAACCAATCAACACGCACCGAAAATTAACACATATCAGTCACAGAGCTTAATTAAAAATATATTCAGTTGACAGTTTAAATTATCTCGAGATACTTACGCCTGAGCCGACGCTGCCGTTGCGACGACAATCAAAAGAAGTACAAGAGCTCGAGCCATCGCTTCTCGGTGATATGGGATTGCTGTAAAAAATTACGACAAAGGTGGTCGTTGCTATGTCGTGTCACTGGCGTAATGTTCTAGAAAGGACTGCTGTAAAATGACGGTATCGTGTGGAGGCTGAAGAGGTGGTCGTTGCTATGTCGTGTTACTGGCGTATTGTCACTAGCAAGGACTGCTGTAAAATGACGGTATCGTGTGGAGGCAGCAGAAGTGGTCGTTGCTATGTCGTGTTGCTGGCGTATTGTTTTGCCAAGGACTGCGGTAAAATGTCGGTATCGTGTGGAAGATGCAGAGGTGGTCGTTGTTATGTCGCATCGCTGCTGGTTTGTATTAGTTTATAGGCCGCAGTGCTGATGGTTCAGGTGTAGTAATGTGCATATTTGAGCAACTGTACACTCATGGGCTCTTCTGGATGATATTTATCAAGCCTCAGCAGATGATGCTATCACAAATAATGCTGTTAGAACTACGAAACAAATGATCTTACGTTAAAGAGAGTAGAAACCATGGTTGAATTAATTATTCAACCATGGTAGAAACAAGGAAGAAGAAGGCTGGTGATGGCTGGTGATGAATGGCGTGTCATACATGTTTGATCACGGCCACACATGTATGACCATGGCTCTGATAAATGTTTCGATATTTGACGAGCCTTTGTTCTTCATAACTCACCTGATCAAATAACATTATTCTGATACAACGATGTGAGAATATGTTCTAACATTATTCTAACATGATGATGTGAGAACATGTTCAAAAATTATTCTAATATAACGACGTGTGAACATGTTCGAACATTATTCTAACTATCTAACATAACGATGTGAGAACATGTTCGAACATTATGCTAACATAACGATGTGAGAACATGTTCGAACATTATGCTAACATAACGATGTAAGAATATGTTCAAACATTATTCTAAAATAACGATGTGAGATCATGTTCGGCTGTTGCTTCATATTCCTTACGTTCATCTAAGCTCCCTCAGACGAAAAGATTTTGACCTCTGAAGTTTACTCAAGTGTTGATAATAATAAAATAAACCATTAAGGAAGACTATAAAAATATCACTAGAAAACCTTATCATACGTAATGATTTTATTTTATGTTGTTAGATCGCCATGATGGCATTGAGATCACTAATGGATTTGTATCACTAATGGATTTTCTGGACATTTGTACCAACTGAAGTGCCGTACTACTACTTAGGAAGTTACAATTTATTATTCCACATAAAAACTTTATAAAAAAACAGCATTAATAAAATCATAAGATTTCAAACAATATTTTATTTCCAATATATGCTGCCTTATTAAATCAAAGTAATAACTGAAAATCATGAATAAAAAATCAGAGGATTATCAAAGGAAACGAGTGAATGCTCTTCGTACGGCACTCGAAAATAAATAAAATTGAATAATTTGATGATTGAAATTCATGAATATTGGCTTGAAGAAAAATTATGTCAAGGAAAATACAATTGTTATGTCATTTACAAATACGCATTTAAGGTTATATTATATGCTATTTATTGCAAATGTTTTCACATTTCTTGCCACATTTAACCCCTTTTGTAGAAGGAATAGTACATTAAGTAGATTTATATATCGGTAGAGTAGCAATTCATTTTTACATAAAACAAGTAAAAAAACTTAAAAAAACACGTTTTCTTAACGGACAAAAAAGAAAAACATTTACTCTTACATAACATTTAAGTTATGTAAAATGTTATGCAATGTTATGTAAGAGAAAATGTTCTTCTTTTTTGTCCGTTAAGAAAATGTGGTTTTTAAAAGTTTTTTTACTTGTTTTATTTCACTATTTTTAGTTTTGTAAAAACCAGAAAAACATGGTTTTTAAAAATATTTTTATATTTTTTTATTTTCTACTTTTTAGTTAGCAATGTTAGCAATTCAAATCAATTTCCAGGGTTGGCAAGTGTGGATGTTCGAGAAAAACTCAATTCCAAACCTTGAATTTTTAGTGTTTTTTTTTTATTTTTTTTTCAAAAATTAAAAAAAATTAATTATCATTTCTGATGATCAAATCTTGAATTGTTAGGCAGCATAAACAGGCATGCCAAATTTCAACTTACTGTGATGTTTAGAAGTGCTCTAAATTAAGGTTTGAATTTTTGATGACAGACACACACGAAACGAAGTCAAGAAAAACGTGGTAAAATAAAATCTTCCCGATTTACGTCAGAGTTCTGCAGAAGGGAACTGATTGCAAGCGCCAGAAAATCAAGATATTGTATCAGGAAAAGTTCCATATTCAGACACTGCCAGTTAAAGTAAAACTAAACAAACCAAAGTTGCTGCAACAGTACGAAGGACGTGACAGAGTTCAGATAAATCATTCATATTCAGCTGTCCATGACACGGTCGTACATACATGGTGACCCTTTTAATTTGTTAATAAATAAAAAACTAAGAACGTTATGAAGTTAAAACTTTTTTTATTTAAAAGAAGAACATTTTTATGGTAATATATATTAATATATTACCATTTAATGGTAATATACAATATTTTAACTAATACAATAATAAAATATTGTAATAGGATACAATATTTTAACTAGGATAAAATATTACCATAAAAATGTTCTTCTTTTAAATAAAACAAGTTTCTTCATAACGTTCTTAGTTTTTTATTTATTAACAAATTAAAAGGGTCAGTTAATTCTGGTTCACCCTGTATAATGGGTTCTACTCCCCGGCGCGGTCACAGATTTCCTAGGCACTGAAATGCATGGTTGAAATATGTTATACTAGTTCAACCATACTGAAATGAATTAATGCGAACATGCAGGAACACGAATGGTTCATATTCATATGCCATCTTGTTGTAAAACTAATCAATAGATTTTACATTAAAAACTCGACTTCGATTATATAATACTGGAACAAATCCTGTTAAATAAAAATTCTAATTTAAAACGATCAGTTTCTCAAGAGAATGAATATTTTATTTTCTTTATCCACCAGAAACTCAGCTTACCAATTTTATGCTTACCAGCAACTCTGTTTACGTCCCGCCTCTACCAGCAACTCTGTTTACGCCCCGCCTCTACCAGCAACTCTGTTTACGAACGTCCCGCCTCTACCAGCAACTCTGTTTACGTCCCGCCTCTACCAGCAACTTTGTTTACGTCCCGCCTCTACCAGCAATTCTGGTCGATCTGAAGAACCGTATCACTGCTACGGTGCTTTGCCGTGTAGCACAAGGGGACATATTCAACATTTATAAATATGTAAAAAAAACTTTCTCTTTCCAATGGAGTATAAATTATTCATTTTGAATACATATTTAAATAAATACGAATTTTTTTAATTGGGTCCGTCATTTACCCTGTATTAATATTAGTAGCATAGACTACAAATATTATATATGGTATATAATAATGTCCAATACCGAGTAGTCAAGCAAATACAGTTCGCTTTTTAGGTTCCTGAGTAAATTAATCAGATTCATAGATGGTAATGGATGCATTATCATTAGATAATTATGTGATTTCTGGTTTATTTCATTTATAATTTTTTTAACCGTATGCCACGGACCATTCGTTTAAATTACCTGCTACGGCAGTTCGACTAAGAATAGAATTTCAAAGGACAATAATTGAATGAAGTCTTCTATAAGCTATGAAAATCGGAAGTGGTTTCAAATTAATTTTGTTAGGACAAAATGCATATCGAAATAAAATGAGTACACAAAAATTGATGAATCATATTTTACTATAATTTACAAATTAAATATTCTAATGAACGAAAGCAAGCAAAGTCTAATACATCACAAATTTTTGCCCACAAGGTTGACCAGGAAAGAGCAGCATGCGATACGGAATGAACAGTCAGTGTCTGAACACAAGAAAACAACCGAGCTCAATAGTGGTACATGACTACAAAAATATATAGAAAAAGATCTCGTTCGAGATATACATTCCATATAATAAAGACGTTCACTTGAACGGGTAATGAAGAAACGTTCGAAATAGGAACTCTTCAGAACCCCAATGAAGTTCAGAACTGACACAAGCTCGACTTGCTACAATCAAGTACCAAAGTTCATTTAAATTATAGAAGAATTAATAAGGAAGTAACAATTAACTATTATTCAATAATACCAGTAATTGGATAAATAGTTCGAACACACTTGAAGGCAAAATATTACTAACTAAATTGTTATCGTCTTCTTTATTATTACAACATGAGATAAGGCAGAATAGATATAATTGTTATGCACAACACGGAGTAGTTTCGAGGTATGGATAGTATTGGTACAAGGTGCAGTAGCTACAAGATCATCAAACAATAAGAAATATTGCCCGAAGCATAGAGAATTTCTGTATTAAATGCTACACGAGAACGAATTCATGAAAAATACATCAAACTAATCTATTATTCCAGCAGCATTTAAAGGAATAACGATTGCAGTATTAATTTAACAGCGTATAACACTTAATAAGGCACTCACACAAGTAGAGCATTAGGATAAATCACTCGTAGAAACTTCATTTAACCTATGCAAGTGAGGAAAAACATTATCGATTAGGATTCACATGGAACGGTGATAGTCTTCATGATAGTCCTATCAATAATGGGAATTATTGTGTACAAATAAATATATTGTAACTTTATATCACTTCCAGGATGATTCAACTTGAGCTGTCGAGTAACGAACTCGAGTTTTTGTACTTAACAACCTAAATTTAATTTTAAATTGAGAACTTGGAATTTTTCACCTAATATTTGAGCTTCAATTGGGCAGAAATTCCACGAACTTGAAGGAGCATTTAGATTCAATCGCAGCCACACACCAGAGCGAATAACAGTGACTCTTCACAGCATTCATCCTCTTCACAGCATTCATCCTCTTCACAGCATTCATCCTCTTCACAGCATTCATCCTCTTCACAGCATTCATCCTCTTCACAGCATTTATCCTCTTCACAGCATTTATACTCTTCACAGCATTTATCCTCTTCACAGCATTTATCCTCTTCACAGCATTTATACTCTTCACAGCATTTATCCTCTTCACAGCATTTATCCTCTTCACAGCATTTATACTCTTCACAGCATTTATCCTCTTCACAGCATTCATCACCATGAGTATAATAAAGCTCAAGATTAGTCCAATTGCCAGGATAGAAAATGAACTGAAAAACAAAGGTGGGCCGCACTGGAATCTGCGAGTATGTTGGTCAAGTGGAACGCATATATATTTTAATCGGTAAATGTATCTAGCCTCTTTCCATTAAACATTTAGCCTACTGAACGAACTCCAGCATCAATGAACATTTAAGAAATTATATGCAGTTTATCACATTGACCAGAATTTTATTTTAATTCTGCGCAGCGCGTTCAATGTTTGAAGTATTCATGAACTGCCCGATTAAATCAACAGACTCCACTTTAAAGGCCAAGCAAGCTATTAGGACTCATACAGGTAAAACTTTCTCTACATGCGCCCTGAAATAATTGTTCAGTAAGAGATGTAGATATGAGTGAGGAACAACGTAGCCTCAGAATACTACTTGAGGATGATAAGACAAAGAAAATCTGTTCTACGTTAATTTTTTCACGATAAACTGGGAATGCATTTTGATTGAGTACAGAACAGACAATAGGATAACAAGAGAGTAAAACTGCCAAACTAGCTTACATGAATTGAACAAAGCAAGCAACAATAATGAACAACACTCAATAATTGAGTAGTATTGGTCCAATAATCAGTTATATGTGTAACAAGTAACTCCACATTGACCGAGTTTATTATCTTATTTCTAGAAATATTTATTTAAAAAATATCAAAGTTGGTGGCCTTGCTGGTGCTGCAGGAGTGGGGTAGTGTCGCTGTCGTCGCTGTTCATGGAGACAGGGCCTGGAGCGACGCGCCTGCGAATATAAATGTGTTACTTAAGATCTTGAGTCACATGTATTACTTGAGATCTTCAGTAGCAAGTTACTTAAGATCTTAAGTTACATGTCTTATTTGAAATCTTCTGTAGCAAGTTACTTGAGATCTTAAGTTACATGTCTTATTTGAGATCTTCTGTAGCAAGTTACTTGAGATCTTAAGTTACATGTCTTATTTGAGATCTTCTGTAGCAAGTTACTTGAGATCTTGAGTCAAATGCATTATTTGAGATCTTCAGTAGCAAGCTGAAGATCTTAAGTCGAATTTTAGAGAGTTACTTAAGATCTTGAGTCAAATGTCTTATTTGAGATCTTCAGTAGCAAGCTGAACATCTCAAATCGAATGTTAGAGAGTTACTTAAGATCTCAAGTCAAATGTCTTATTTGACATCTTAAGTAGCAAGCTTTTAACGTTCCCGTACTGAACACCCAGAGAAATGAACGAAACTTGTACAAACAGCGAAGAACTAATTGCCCTTTGTTACCCAGTTCGGCACAGCAGTACGGTGTATCAGCGCTACGGGCAAGAAGTGGGTCAATATTCGGACAACATGACCCATTAATTTTTCTGAGTGATAGGAAAAAATTCGCACCTTCACAGGAAGGTTTTAGATCAATCATCATTGTATGAGAAGGGATAGAATGATTAACATGGGACTGCCAACTTATGCAATATAGTACCGAGATCCTCGATAGATACTATCGTCAGTTATGCCAAATTTTAAAAAACCTCTTTGCTTGTCCCATTATTATGCCGTTTTTTACTTTTATTTACTTTTAGACGGTAAATAATTTTTGGATACTTTTAGACGGTATAAACTTTTTGGATATTGTTAGACGGTAGTTAATTTTTTCATACTTTTAGACAGTAAATACTTTTTGTATACTTTTAGACCGTAAATACTTTTTGGATACTTTAAGATGGTAAATACTTTTTGGATACTTTTAGATGGTGAATACTTTTTGGATACTTTTAGATGGTAGATACTTTTTGGATACTTTTAGACGGTAAATACTTTTTGGATACTTTTAGACGGTAAATACTTTTTGGATACTTTTAGACGGTAAATACATTTTGGATACTTTTAGATGGTAAACACTTTTTGGATACTTTTAGACGGTAAATACATTTTGGATACTTGTAGACGGTAAATACTTGTAGACGGTAAATAGCCAAGAAGGCAATGGACACAGCGAGCTGACCTGCCAACACGCATGGCGTCATCGAGCGTGTCGGGCAGCGCTGCACCGCGCGTCTCCGGCAGCGCCATGACAGTTGTAGAGGCGAGGGCGCTCAGCACAGCGAAGATGATCATGGGCAGCGGGATGTATAGGGTCTTCTGGAACAGCGTAAAGATGGTGANGGGTGATAGTATAGTGTATAGAGGGTGAGAATAGTGGCTGGTAGTATAGTGTATAGAGGGTGAGAATGGTGGGTGATAGTATACTGTATAACAGTATAGGGGATGAGAATAGTGGGTGATGGTATAGTGTGTAGAGGGTGACACTGGTGGGTGACGACAGTGTTTAGATAATGATAATGGTGGGTGATAACAGTGTTCAGATGGTAAGAATGGTGGTGACAGTAAGCTTCAGATGGTGAGAATACATCTTCTCTTCAGGCTTGTTTGCTAAGAGTTGTAAAAAATGAAATAAACGTCGTAGGCAAAACATGGAAGTTTACACGTCACAAAATAAAAAGATCTAAGAACCAATCAGCAGGCACGACTCACGAGGTCGTCGGAGAAAGGAGCTAGCATGGCGCCCAGTCTAGCCACCGTGGAGCATATCCCCAGCACCGTGTTCCTGCAGTACGTAAAATCTTACTTTAAATAATAATAATAATAATAATAATAATAATAGCGGTTTCAACGTTTAGTAGGCCGTAGGCCTACTACTTTATCTTTATAGAAAACGTTTCGGAGACTAGCTCCATCGTCAGTTCGTAGAATCTAGAATCACAAATATCTTAATCTTACTTTAAAGATAGATATTGTCGTATTAATTGTGGTTACATTCATGTGTAAACAAATCTTATTTTTGCAATTAAATCTCATTCTAAATTTCTAAATATATTAATTACATTAATTCTAAATTCGGAACGAAACTGTCAACTTAATGCACGCCATGCTTCCCCGACAGCCGCGTATGAATGTATTGTGAAATATAAGTTTAAAATGAAGTTAATAAAGTAATTATACAGAGAAGGAACAATTTTTTATCATTTTTGAGACAAAAATAATGCCTGGCTTAAGAAGCAAATATAATGACAAAAAACACAAGTCTGGTGCCATGTGCATCGCAAGTTTATAAAAATAGTGCCAGGGGTGAAGATATAACAAGTAATTCATAATTTCTTTGGTATAAACACACAGATGAAGAATTCTAAGCCGTTTTATTTCACAAGCCTTGCTGTTAGACAGATATGCAGGAGATGTTGACTGGCCTTTACGCAACAGGTCGAATTGCACATCAGTCGTACAAAAATGACAGTGAGGTAGCCTTATAAATTTATTTTTCTCAAAGGCGCATTATTACCCTGTGAGCGATGAGAAGCAGTCATTCCCAAATTTATTTGCTTCTAAATATTCACGTGTAGGATTTTAAAATGTCTTCTCTGCCGGATTTTTCACATGTTCACAAAAATGTACGAGACCGCACGCTTCGAGTAGTCGACTCGTACACACAACAGTTGAATCTGTAGACTGCTGGGCGTGACGTAGCTAGCCAAGATCAGCAGTTGCTTTGGTTTAGTTAGGCAGTTGTTAGTTGACCGTGACAATGAGCAGTCAGCTGAGAGCAATGAAGGCAGACAAAACTGTTTCAATTACTGTCTACCATTCCTCTTCAGTAAAATATCTCGATTTCATACTGAACTCGTCAGCTAAATATCTCGATTTCATACTGAACCTGTCAGCTAAATATCTCGATTTCATACTGAACTCGTCAGCTAAATATCTCGATTTCATGCTGAACCTGTCAGCTAAATATCTCGATCTCGTACTGAACCTGTATGCTAGGCACTTCAATCACGCAATGAACTCCTCTGCTACACATCTTGATTTCATACTGAACTCATCAACTAAATATCTCGATCTCGTACAGAAGTGGTCAGCTAATTATCTCGATTTCATACTGAACTTGTAAGCTATACTTCTTGATCTCGTACAGAAGTGGTCAGCTAATTATCTCGATTTCATACTGAACTTGTAAGCTATACTTCTCGATCTCGTACAGAACTCGTCAGCTAATTATCTCGATTTCATACTGAACTTGTAAGCTATACTTCTTGATCTCGTACAGAACTGGTCAGCTAAGCATCACAATCTCGTATTGAACGAGTGACCCGGGTACAGCGATCTCAGCAGAATACTATGAGTGAGCGGGAACAGCTGCAATAGAAGAAAATTATAACTCAGTACTCACTGCACTGAGTGACAGAGAGCGCATTTTCTCGTCGACGAAAACATGAAGTCACGGACAGACAGACAGACAGACAGACGAACAGACAGACGAAGAGACGGACGGACAGACAGACAGACGGACGAACAGACGGACGAACAGACGGACATGGCGAGCTCAATATTGCATTTTTTCATAAGTGAGAAAATGCGCTAAAAAGTGCAAAGTTCAACTAGAAAGATATACGCTTGGCACGGACCGTAGACAGCAGCCGCGACCGCACATCCGAGGGCAGCGGTGACGAAGGAGAGGGCGAGGGCGGGTCGGCGGCCCCAGCAGCGCATGAGGAGCCACGCCGCTGTGTAGCCCGGCAGCTCTACCAGCGCTGACAACATGAACTGCACGTATGGCCGCGTGCTGCTGCTGCACGTGGTACGAGTACTCAGATTATCTAATCATTAATATAATTTTTGTTACTCATCACAATCGCTGCACGAGGTACGAGTACTCAGATTATCTAATCTTTAATATCATTTGTTTTACTCATCACAATTAGTATATACGTTGCCAATTAGTGTACACGGGTGTAAGTTAAGACCTATGTGGCCAATGATGTCTAACGCATGCTGCTGCTGCACGTGGTACGAGTACTCAGATTATCTAGTCTTCAATATCATTTGTATTACTCATCCCAATCAGTGTATATGTTGCCCATCAGCGTACATGGTATAAGTTAATACCTATATGACCATTGCTGTCTGATGCTGGAGAGTTTTCTGAGATTATAGGGATGACATAATATGCGAAGGTGACAAGCACCCACCTGCTGCTAGAAGGGGCGAGGTTGGTTGCCGTGAAAGAGAGTCCGTAATACACGAAGGTGATTACAATCCAGGCGACCTGGCAGGACAGCAGACGCAGACACAGGAGGGGTGTGCGCAGCACTTCTATCACTCTGCTGTCAGCTGGGGGTGGCTCGTGCCTCGACTCGCGAGACCGTGAGCTGCCAGCCAAAAGTTCTTCAGACTCGGCGTCGCCTTCCTGGACATGAAATATATATCTATCAGTAATAGATTTCGAAGGTACAATTTGTTCTAAATGTTTGAATTAAAGGTTCTTCGCCTCAATGTCACGCGAATCTACTTTGATGCCCAATGAAAAATTCTTAGGCAATAATTGGTACCTATTCTTATCTGGGACTATTTTACTCAAACAGTTCAGAATGCTACGCTGACATAAGAATTAATCTCTGAAGGTTTGAGGTATTGATCATCTTAAATGTGCATGTTGTTTGTGATCGTGCAAATTGAATGACATTATTAATGTCCAATCTTGAAAAAGAACACCATAAGCTAATTAACTTTCACCGGCATACCCAAGAATAGACAAGATAGCAGGAACATACTAATGCAGGTTAGCAACTCACATTATTTGGTTTCAATTATTTTCTACTGTTCTTCAAGGTAATGACAAATAATCATACACGGTCGATATAAAATAAACTATTCGTCAAAAACAAAGGATTCTATATAGGTAAATGTTGTTGTTGTTGTTGTTGTGGTTCCCCGGTCTCATTTTTACAAGAGACCCCCCTCGCGCAAGTACGACGCCACCAACAGGGGGTCACTCCAGAGCTATCTGGGTATATGTAGTAGGAATCTGCAGCTACAGCTAATATTTATGATAGTAAACAAATGGAGGTAAGTTAAACGGGCGTGCGTCGCTGTAGGACGTCGTCGTTGGATATAAAACAAACTATTCGTCAAAAACAAAGGCTTCTATCGGGGTATATGTAGTAGGAATCTGCAGCTAAAGCTAATATTTATGATAGTAAACAAATGGGTGTAAGTTTTACGGGCGTGCGTCGCTGTAGGACGTCGTCGTCAGGAGCAGGGCTGGGAGGCAGCGTCTTGTGGTTGACACGAGCGATGTGCTCCATGACCTCGCGGGCCTCAGCGTCACGGCCGCGTGACAGCAGCCAGCGCGGCGACTCCGGCACTACGCTGTCACAAGGTCATCAACATTACACCAGGCAAATGATGTTTAAACAATTTTTAATTAGGTTTATTCAAAATACGTTTAATTTAACATCAGAGGTCTGATGGGATTTAACTTCATGCCGTGTAGTATTAAAATAAGATGGCTAAAATAGGTAATTTTGAAGTTGACAACTAATCTTATAATCTTTCCTTAATAATCTTATCAATAAAATACTAAGCACCTTTCCAATTGATACTACATTACAGGGAAATGACTAATCTGTTTATTTGAGAAATGAAACGGAAAGGAAAATTACGGGTATAATTTCTATCATTTCCTTAACAAGAAAATAATAGAGCCATTGAAAAAATTATAATTGAACACCACTATAACTCAAAATGCACAGAAAATTACTACTATAAACTGCTATAAATAATTCTTCATCTTCACTCTTGAGGCCCAAAAAAATGTCATCATCTTAGCATCAAGTTCATGTACAAAATACAAAAATAAATGTTTTTAGTCACTTATTGACTTCAAATTCAATATATAAAAAACTCCAACATTTTATTCAAAAAACACAAATGTCAAAATAAATTTACAAGCCATAGAGGATGCCAGCAGTGAGAGGAGCAGAAATAATGAGCTGCAACATACGCCACTTCCTGAAGTAGAGGCCAATGCAACCAAGCATGACCTCGCCCAGAGCAAACACATACTGGCCCAGCATGCCGCACAGCTCCCGGTACTCTGCACCTACCAGCTCCAGACCTGCACAACACAGCCAGTGTTATGAAGTTATGAACTGCACGAAATTACACAAGACCTGCACAATACAGCCAGTGTTATGAACTGCAAGTTACACAAGACCTGCACAACACAGCCAGTGTTATGAACTGCAAGTTACACAAGACCTGCACAACACAGCCAGTGTTCGCGACTCCTAGAAATTACACAAGATGTAGCATTCAAGAAATGTTGGGGACTCCCAGAAGTCACACAAGATGTATACCAAGAATAACTAAAAACCCTAAACCTATCACAAGGTGTATATATGCAATGGGCTTCTAAGCTACAACTCAGACATTTTGCATCTAACATAGTTTTCTGTAGGTATAGATTATGAAAAGTGAGCTGGTCCCATCTTACCCCAGTGGGGTAAGATGGGACCAGGCATGGGGTAAGACAGGACCAACTGGCAATTCTTATGTTACAAGGTTTTTAATAAAAGTACAAATCTGATATTCAATATTATCAATCTAGAAACACATTATTTGATTAAACCACCACTAGTTACTGTTTTGTGTTGCGGGAAGTCAACTCTAATATCAGTCACATTGGAGTTTTTGTCATGAGAAAACTTTGTTAAGCATAGTAATAGTGGGTTGGCTTTGGTTCATTGTAGAGCACTGCTAAATGCTTCATGTATATTCTATTAGTGTCATTGTCTGAAAATTTATCAAATTGGTAAAAAACCAATGGATGATAACTTAAGTGTCAGACGTCATGTGTTTTCTTGCTAACTGCATTTGTGGTGCACTTCTAATGTAGCCCATGCCCTCTTACAGAGTTGTGATAATAACTATTTTTCATGTTTCACACAATGATTTTTCCCCCAGCCAATCTTGAACATAGTTCTGCAGCTCACTAATGGGAAGAGACAACCCTATTTTCTATGTCCCTTTGATGCAATTTAAAATAGTGCACTAAATTTCTCTAATTAAAAAAGCTAACAAGTTATAATGAAGTTTGAGCCATAGATCAAATTTTTGACCAAAATACTCTATGTATTGCACAATAATATATTCATTTAAAAACTATTTTTGATAAACTGTACCTAGGGTAATAGAGGACCATTTGTGGGGGAAGACAGGACCATTTGTGGGGTAAGATAGGACCACTTGTGGGGTAAAACAGGATCATTTAGTGGTCCCGTCTTACCCCATGTCCGGTCCTTTTTTACCCCATTTTAGAATAGATGTCAGGCAGTGATGGTAGCAGGTAAGAATACCTAGTATGTTTCAAAAGTTGCTTATTACTTGAGGTTACCTGCCTACATCCACAAACCTGGTCAAAAAATTTTTTGTCATTAGACAGAGCTTATTTCCCAAACAGGGTTAACTATTTTGTGACCCTTCTTTACATAGGTTTTCTTCAAAAATTAGCCAGAAATTCATTATTTGCAGAAGAGAGTTGCCACAAACACTGAAATGACAGGCAATGATTGCTCTAACATATTCTTTTGTCAAATCAAATTCAGTGCAATTAGAAGGCACGCCATGGGCTGGTCCTTTCTTACCCCATGAAGGCTGTGATCCTGTCTTACCCCATTTGACTAATTTTTTTTTATCAGTGACAAGGAAATGTTGGGGACTTCCAGAAGTCACACAAGATGTAGCATTCAAGAAATGTTCGGGACTTCCAGAAGTCACACAAGATGTAGCATTCAAGAAATTTTGGGGACTTCCAGCCTTCCAGGAATTACACAAGAAGTAGCATTCAAGATATTAAGGCTTAGAGTTGGAAAAAAAATGAAATCATAAATTAGACCTAAAAGTTTGATTAGTATAGTCCATTTCAGAAAAACTTTTACAGTTATCTGAGCACCGGGAGATAAAAATGAAGACATTTTTTCTTCCATTTAATTGTTTTCAAAAGTCAATGGCAATCAAAACAAGGTTCAACAATGAGCAACAAAAAGGTCAATATTTAAAAGTTTCATATAGTATATCATACATCTACTGTACAGCATCATATAGTGACTAAACCAATGATGAATATTGAGGTAACTGCATGCAATTAGAAATTTTTGTCTCCTTGAGTTCTTCATTTAAGCTCTAGTCAACTTAGATTTTTGAGACTTACGGTAAGCTCTAGTTAACTCTAGAGATGATGATCACATACCTAGAACAAATGCAGTCTGGAACACTCCTGATGAGGACAGAGCAAAGATGAACCTTGTTAGGTTGAAGACAACAATGTTTGGTGAGAGCGCAGTGGCCACCCCACTCAGAGCCATCAATACCAAATTAAGCAAGATGACAAAACGACGACCAAACCTGCAAAATTATGAACATGACACCCAAGCTATAAAGTTGTTGATGCTGTTAGTGCTGCTACGATTCATTCCGTATATGATATTCCGGCCTCTCTTTTTATTTGCTTATAATACTTATAAACCAATATAGGCACTTTGCTTCCTAAAGATATTAAAGAATCATAAGGATTCTTACATTATGGATGATTTGAATCAATTTTCATAACTCATAATTTGCAAACAATTCCACATGTTTTGCTACCAAAAAAAATGATTTGTTGGTGAATTGATTTTGTACCAGTGTAACCATTAAGGTGGAGTGTTTTTTCTTTCAACCTTTGCAAGCTCAGTTTTACAATAGTGTGGTAAAGTTGTAGATTTGCTAATAAGTGATGTGTGCAAAATATCAGACCACTAGGTTGAATTTTTTCATGATTTGAGGGTAGTTTAAAAAAAATAAAACTAGCATATGTAGGAATAACTTCAATAAAATTCAGATTCATTTTTAGCAGTTACAATGGGCAGAAATAATCATAAAAACATTTTTAGAATACTATATGTTCCAAGTACCAAAGCTCTCAATCAATTAAAATTTAAATAAGTACAATCATCATACAAGACAACATGACTTAAATAAGTACGTACAATTAAACATAGGTACGTACCTACATGACATAATTACTTAAAGGATACAAAAACAGAGAGTTCCATCCCTGGCAATATATGCATTTTATACAACAAACCCATAACCAGTCAAAACTACCAAACATATATTATATAAATATATATGCCACACAGCATGTTTCTAATGATGGCACGATTCTCCATTTTTTTTATGGAATACATCTCAAAGGTATCAACATGTTTCCAGTTGTTATTATATAGGTCAAGTATTTTGTAATTCAATTTATTACATATATTCAATATTACAATATATTTCAATATTGTGTTATTGAATTACATATATTCAATATGTAATTCAGTAACACTTGACCCAATTAAAATGGTACGAAATTACAAGCCATCCTGTAAGCTTACAGATGCAGAAAAAATGCTATATTGCTGCTGATATGAAGCTTGCAGTGGACAAGGTCGTTGTAAATGCTCAATGGCATGTTTATGAATATGGTAATATCACATCAATAATACGGTAATGAATGAACATGGTGATATCATATCAATAAAGGATAAACAAGTAAAAAACACAGAAAATGTCATTTATTCTACATCTACATCATCTACAATGAAAGAGGAGGACATCAGAGCACTGTTAGCAATAGATGAGTACACTCTGCATGCTTCAAACATTTTAAAATTGAGTTTTATTTCAAGTGTCCCAGATTACCCCGTTCTTAGGGGTAATTTGGGACGGTTTTATCTTGCGTCTGGCACCTTACGAAGAGCATTTGGAATTTTTTTGAAGATGCCATTTGATAGCCCTTGCAAGGAGCTACAAAATGAGCCTAAACTTAATTATGAAATGTTTCATGGTAAAAAGTTAATAACAAAAAATGTTCAAAACCGTCCCTTATTACCCCGTTTGATGGTATGCTAATTTTTTATATTTTTGAAAATTTAAAACAACCATCAAATCATGAAGAAATCAAACTAGCGGTCTGATATTTTGCATGCATGTTTTTTTGTAAAACCCACAACTTTTATGCACTATTGTGAAACCGTGCTCCTAAAAGTCGAGAAAATGCTCCACCCCAGTAACCATATCTCACCAGTCAGCAATGATGCCCCAGAGAAAGGCTCCCACCAGGACACCAGCAAAGAAGATGCTTTGTGAAGCTTCAGCAAGCCAGCCATTTTCACATGTCAGGTTAAACTGCAATAACAGAATTGAATAAAAAAACAGTTGAATTATTACACTGGATAGTCATTAGAACCTATGTCATACAACAAATTTAAGCACATACCGACAACTGGGGTGACTTTGGCCACCAGGGGTGACTTCGGCCACCACTACAGCAAAAACAAATGGCAGCAAAACAAAATAATAAACATTAGCCAAAGTGACTGGGATGACTTTGGCCACCAAGGTGACTTTGGAATATGTTATTATTTTGTTTTGCTGCTATTGTTTTCTGTTGTAGTGGTGGCCAAAGTCACCCCAGTTGATGGTATTTAAAATTTGATTGTTAATTTTATTTGTTGGCATAGGCAACAATTTTAAAATTTTGAAATAAATACAAATTTTTTGATAGTTTTGGTTGAATGTAATTAGTTTTTAGTTCCTGTTTTGTCAGGATTACAAAATTGACATTTTCGCATAAAAATATTAACAAACTTTTATTGAAAATCATTACTACAAAAGTTCACTATTGTGTAATATACCTGTAATAAACCTTTATATACCTTTTGTCTCATTTTTAGGCACTGGAATTTTTATTCCATTTTTTAGGCACTTAACAATTTAGAAACAAGAAACATTCATTTGCAGAAATAATCTTTCAGCTTCAGAAAATAGATCTCTGATGGTAAAAATGAATAACAAATGTTTTTTAAATAAATCATCTTCCCATGCCATAACAGGAAAAAAATAAAAAACTACTCATTGTATATGAGCAATTTAAATTTTCATTTTCTTTTCCACATGAGAAATCATGAACAATTTTTTTGGCAGTATAGACCATCATACATGTCCTTCCATCAATCTTTGGCATCACAGCACAGTGTGCAAAACATCACAAGGAAGATGTTTTTCTTGCAGTTTAGTTTCAGTTTTTCAGCCAAATTAGATTAAAAATGAAAAAGCAAAAAGCGGACAGGCTTTCCAGAGAGGTTTTATTATAGGTATATATAATATCATATATATAAATAAATGAATATAATATAAATATATGCAAATTATTTATATTAATTATATTTAACAGCTCATGTTAAAACTGTTTCATCTCAAAAATTATCTAATTAAGATTAAATATATATAAATTTCAACATATAATAAAATTTCTGATAAATTTCAACATATTAGCAATAATGAATACAAATTTATAACTTACCTCAGTAACAATAGTGGATTCATAAACTGATTTATCAAATACATAGCCTTCAGGACAATTTTCTACAGTGATCTTAGAAAAGTGTGATGGAGTGCAGAGAGCAGGTAAGGGATCATTAAATTTTCCAGCTTTTTTATTATTAACAGTTGAGCCATTGGGGAAAAAAAATCTCTGGCAGGATTTGTAATCTCCATTTTCATCGGTTGGTACTGTGAATGGTAGGAATGATGTGTTGTACAACAAGTGGGTGCCTGAGTCACAATTTGGAATAAGACACCTGCAATAGAAAAAAAAGTAATAAAAATAAAAAAATAGTAAAGAAAGCAGAACAGAATCAATCATGTTAAAACTATTTAAATGCACCCATTATAAAAAATTCACATGCAATATTCATAATATCCAAAGTATCAAAGAATCAGCTTCCAAATAAAATATATATGTATACAAAGATAGAAATTAAATTCCAACAGAACTCTTTTTACAAGACTTCTCTTTAACTATACTTCTTGTTGTTTGTTTGTTAGTTCGTCTGCTATAAATCTTATAATCGATATTTAACACACTTCTAAAATCTCCAGACGGCAGATTCCAATTGATCTGAAATTTTGCACACTTGCATAAAGTTGGAGACAATACATGAAATCATGCGATTAATCAAATGACAGAATAAATCATTTTAAAAATTAAAAAACATTTTATACAAAAATTCAGTAAATAATTTTGTCTGCTACCCAGGGTAAATCCACCATATTCCAACACTGTGGGTAATTCCAACACAACTCAACTGTTCCCTTTATATTAAGCTTGGTCTTAGTTCCAAGCGTGCGTAGATGATTGAAATAGTGACGTCATACTATTGCGCGCCAGATTTAATGCAAAACACTAGGTCTAGCGGGAAAATGTTAAGATCCGCAGAGCAAAAGCCCAAGTCAACTAGTGAGAACATCGAAACACATATGAAAGTTGATAGTTGACCTTGCTTTACTAAATAGTGATAAACTGTTTGTGTAGAAAGAATATTATGATTTGAGAGTTTTAAATAAGTCTGTGAATATATTAGGAATCCTTAAAGTATACTTGTATTTGCTGATTTTAAGTGGTAAATAAATTAATAGATGATTGATTTATGAGACGGTTTTAGACACATAAAAACTAATTCCCACACAGTGTGTCGGAATTATGACACACAGGGTGTCGTTTACTGTCATATTCCAACACAGCTTACACAGGGTGTCGGAATTCCAACACAGGGTGTTGGAATTACAAATTTGAAGCACTGTCGGAATTAGTCTCACAATATGCCGCATTTAGTCACACACAGTGTCGCTGTCTGACAGCGACACTGTGTGTGACTAAAATCAACTGAAGTCGCCTGTATTATAATCGGGCACTGTCAGCCTATCTATCTACTCTAATAAAATTAATTTTTTTTAGACTGACTGCAGGAGGGTGGGGAAATGGGTGTGACTGATTACTGATAGATAAATTATAGATAATAATAATAATAGCAGTTTCAGCGTTATTAGGCCGTAGGCCTGTCGCTGATTCTTAACATCGCAGAACATTCACAGCATTTTGCAGTCTCGAACTCGCAACTCACTGCTTCAATTCTGCTGTGCTTAACCTCCCGGCTTCCTTGCCGATTCTGACCAGAAACTGGCGCACAGAGCTGGGATCGAACCCGCGACTCTCTGCTCCAATCTTGGTACCTAGGTACTCTGAACTGTAACCACTGGGCCACCCTGCCCTGTGATACTATCTATAGATACTACCTTGATACTATCTGAATGGTATAAATTCCAAAGGGAAGAATTGAACATAACAAATTCCAGTTTCCAGCTTGATAAATAGATTGAATGATAAATGATATATGTATAAACAGTATAATGAATGAATGACAAATAGGCATAGCCGCTTAGGCCTATATGATAAATACCTAAATGAGAAATGATCAATAAATAAGATATGAATGATGAATAAATAAGAAATGAATGATCTACATAAAGAATGCAGATGGGTTTATTGATAATTGATGTGTTCATAATTTTTTATATGATAGACAAATGTCAAATGATATTATGATAGATGAATAATAAATTAATGATTGGTTTTGGTAAATGATAGCCTGATAGGCCAAGCGGCAAATGATAGGTAAATTATACTTATGGGAAAATGAAAGATAAATGAGAAGTAGGGTAAACGCGGTATATTCCAACATTGTAGGTAATTCCGTCACCTCTCCAGCTTTTCCTTTATATTAAGCTTTGTTTTAGTTCCATGCGTTCATTGATGGTTGAAATGGTGACGTCATACATTTGCGTGTCGAAATACTGCAAAAACACTAGGTCTTGGCCATCTAGTGGGAAAATATTGAGATCCAAAGAGAGACAATGCATGCCACGTGGTGAGATCATCAAAAAATGTGTCAAATTTGACAGTTGACATGGCTTTACCAAATAGTGAATAACTGTTTTTATAGGAAGAATATTATGGTTTGAGACTTTTAAATACGTCTGTGAATATATTAGGAATCCTTTAATAGTGAAGTGTTTTGAGAGTCATGTGAAGGCAACAGAACTTACGTAACGCATACGGTTTTTTTTTATAGTTTTTCATTTCTCGATGCGTCCTTAATGTGTCGGAATATACTGCGTTTACCCTATCATGGATACCAGCATTATCATACATAAGAAATTAGTTCAAGTCTTGACTAAATGAGGAAATTAAAAATGAACTGATTCTAAAAAATCTCTGGACTCTGGTTAGTCAGTTGTCACTTGTCACTATGTTGGAGGCTCCAATGCATGAATCAATTCAATGGATAGAATAAATAATTTTGAGAATTTAGTTTTTTTTATTACTAATAAAAATAAATAAAGTTTTTATTAATATTTTAAAATTAAATTAGAAATTCAATGTACATGTGTAACAGTGTAAGATTGGAGACATAGTGGCAAACCAGAGCTTTTTTGGAATCAGTTCATTTTTAATTTCTTCATTTACTCAAAATTCAAACCTATTTTTTAAGTATGATAATGCTGGTCAGTGGTATCCAGGATACTTTACTGGTCTACTTATAGGACTCAAAAATGAACTTGAGGGAGAGTCTAAAAAACTCTCTGCTTTGCCACTATGTTTGGAGACACTGGATTCTTTAGATTTTAGAAGTGTTGTCTTAAAAATTAAAAAGTAAGTAATTAAAGATTATTATATATAAAATGAAATTTTACCATTAAAAATTAATTCTGGGCACAAACCTGTATTTTGGCGTGGCAGCAATAAAAACATAGGACAAGTTTGCTGCACCAACAAACAAAATGGGAATGCAAAGTAAAAAATAAATGCGTTTATGATAACGTCCAAAACCTCCTATTTCCTTCAAAGCTTCCTCCATGACTAAAAATAACGAATGATTTTTTTTATATTTGGATGAAGCAGAAATCATCGAATGTTTTGAATCATCATGATAGTTTCCTATTTGTTCCTCCTAATGGGAGCACTAGAAGCAAAAAGCGTAACTGTCGTAACACTCGAACTTTCAGCGAAACTCAGAGCAAAAGTGCAAAACAGAAGTCGGTACGACCGAAATTTTCCGGATCGAGTAAATTCCGGAGCAATGGAAAAATAATAAAAACTTCACTAGTTTACTGGATGTGCAAAGTTAAGAAACGTGACTTCTTTTTCATCTGAAATCGGTTAGAAACACCAAATTTTAGAAAAGAGCTCCTAATTGTTTTTACTGTTACATCGTGCAAAAAACCTGTCGTTTCGTTCTTTCTACTTCCGATATTACTCAAGCTGTGGCCTGTGAGTAAAGCATACAGTGAGTTTTGATTTTTGTGAACAATTTCAACTTTTGCAAGTTAGATGTGCTAGAAATTGTTTAGGTTTGTAGCTAACTACATCATTTGATAATGTATGTATCACAATGTATGTTGAATTTGAGAGATTATGAGTACCGTCAACGTCAATAACACGAGTTGCCACAATGCCACTTACAGTTTCACTAGGCAGATACTGCTTTTAATTTGTCCCAGACTCCCAGTTTAGTGTAAAGTATAAATGGGAGTGCAGCCGTGCACCACCAATTTTGTGCACCAATAAGCCATGAATTGAACGCCTTGGATCTCTCCGCCCTCCGGACATCCACCAATCAGCCATGAACCACTCAGCCTTGTCTTCCTCCGGCCTCACATAGAACCTGCCGTGAACCACCAGGCCGCGGATGGAATCTGACTTCCGGGCATCGTTGAATTACGTAATTTTACGTTCACCATATCTGTATCTGAGGTTAGGTTTCAGATAGCATAGTTCTGTTCCAAAATTTATCGTCCTTTGACAAATGGCCGTTCGACCGAGGGCTGGTTTGACCCATGGCCTAGATACGGATGGCTTGAGCCTTGAAGTGTTAAAGGCTACGTTCCAGAAGGCAGAAATCATGATAGTCCATTACATCTATGGCAGTGGTGGTCTTTGGCAGGTGACCCGTGTAAATAGCAAAATGCTGAAAGAAATATAAATTGTAGAACCTGCATAAAAATTGAGAGGCCTCAAACTGGAAATTTATTTAGAAAACAGTTCAGCTCAGGTCTTCAGGTTTCATTCAAATCATAAAATATAACTTCTGTTTCTGATTACTAATTTTCAATTGGAAACATGAGAATTGTAGCAAATTATTACTTGTGTGTGAATCATTGAATGCCATTCTTCATTCATGTAAGGAAGAATGAATGTCATAAAGTAAATCATTGTACATATACTACACAGTACTAAGTGGCTTGATAGCCTAGCCTATCAAAATATAGCCAACTTCCCAGACAATCCCAGCTCCCAGGCTGGCAAGCCCCAGCCTTCTTGGTGGCTGGTCAGGATTTATATACAGTACCTAGTACCTACCTACTACTATTTAGTAACAAGTATTTTACAAAATGACTTGGCAGTGCATAAATAAAAATTGATGCTTTAATGATAATTCAGGATTACATTCTTCCTAATAAAAATATGAAAAACTACCCTACTCATTAGATGCTTAGAGATTTATTTGACCTTTTTAGCTCTTCACTATCATATAAATAATATAATCATATTGATAAATTGAATTGATTGTATATCATGTTACTTGTCAAAATTAAACTTGTGTTTTGTGGTTATGATGTATGCTGTTATGATGTTTACTGTTACCGGTATGTGTAATGTTGAATTTTCTGTCAGCTAAAATGAAAAGATTTTACTTTAATATAAAATCTTGAGCTTAATCTTGAGCTTATTTCCAGCACTACCCAGTACCCAACAACCTATAGGATAGTATTATTTTTTTAAAAATGGATAGGTAATAAACATAAAGTCTGCAATGATCTTCAATCTCCAATTTGAATATGGAAAAGTGAGAGAATTGAAAATTTTTCTTCCTTTTCCTAAAAGTATGAATTATTTTTGTTTACAAAAGTTCTACAGTATAGATTATTTGCAGTATGCGCCAAAGCATCAGTAATATTAATACCTCTGTTGAGCTCTGTACCATATTATATTTTCTATTGCAATTTTATAGTCATTTTTGCTGTGAAGAATTGACTATCACCTCAAACTTTACTGCAGGAAGTTGTACAAGGGTAAAATCTACACTATTTTTTGCATGAAAACTACCTCCATGATATTTGGGAAGTGGTACCGTACTGTATTATCCTGAAAATATTCCTTCATACAACTTTTATCAAAATCTTTAAACAACATTGACTTAAATTGGCAATCTTGTTGATACCCACTTCTCTCTCAGGCAGACTTCAGCAAATACCACAAAGAGTTTGATATTTTGATTTATTTGATACAAGACTTTCAATTTATTTGACAAAATCAAATTTAATCATCCACTCATTATTCTCTGTATAGTTGCATAGCTTCTTGCTTCTTATCACTGAAGTATAGTCTAGATAGTTAGATTATATCTACTTCCCATTTCAATGCAATTGGGCTTGTCTATTTCAATCAAACTCACTTGTTGATTAATCTCTAATAAATTTACATCATTGCTGAAAATTTTTGAGGTCTTTATAAAACAAGTTTTCTTTTTTTTTGTTGCTATTATTTTCAGTAGGATCTTTGCTTTGACGCTATCATACTTTCATTTTCAGAACTATGACGGACAAATCCAGTCCTCATGAGTACCCCCACCTGCCTCCACGCATCGCCCACTTGGATGCCAAGTTTCTCGATGGAGAAATACAAGGGCTACTCAAGTCAACCCTGTTGAATTCAGTGCAGCTTGCAGGCGTTTATTGGTTTACAAGGTTTGAACCAGAAATTGAGGCGTTATTAAAGTATTTACTACTTCGTCAGACACTTTTTAGAAGGAAAGCAACGTTTGGCCAACAACTGCTGCAGATGAAGTATAGTCATTCAGTTCCTAACAGAAGATTACAGATGTATGCATTGGTAATATTGCTTTTTCCTTGGTTACAAAAAAGGTTATCTGACATTTTGAGCATTTTTAAAGTGTCTGACGAAACCAAAGCTTGGACTAATTACTTGTTTGATAATCTTGAACTAGTTTATAAAATTGCCAATATTGTCAACTTGTTAGTATTTTTGAGAGACGGACTCTACAGCACAGTAGAAGAACGGATCTTCAGCCTTCGCGCAGTGCCCACAGCACCACAACACATGCGATCAATTTCATATACATTTTTTGGGCGTGAACTCTTTTGGAATGGATATGCTGATTTTATTGGAGCGTTGCTTCCTTTAATTTCTGCACAAAAATTTCATAACTACGTAAGGAAATTATTACCGAGTAGCCAGCCGTCTGATAGGAAGACCAATGTGGCTAAAGAGACTGCAACGGTACACGAGAACTCTGTGTGCGCGTTCTGTGCACAACCGCCCATCCTTCCTCGCTGTTTTGGGTGCTCTCACCTTGCTTGCTACTACTGCATTACAGTCAGAAGTAGGGAAGATCTACATACGGAGTGCCCACTGTGTGGCTACAAGCTTCTTGACATCTCCGACATAGTTCCAGCTCACGTCGTAGTGCAAGAACAATAACATTATCACGTCTACTCACTTTAAATGTAAGAACTCCCATACCTATCATGAGTGAACTTTGAGTCATAGTTTAATAAAACATTACCATAACATCGTTTGACTGAAATGAGAACTTTGTACTAGGTACTTTAACCTATTAGAAAATCAACTTCCTCTATTCTGTGATACTGTTGCTGAGGTTCCTTTACTGTTAATTAGATTTAAAGACATTTGTGGGCAAAGATGTTGTTTATTACATTGTGCGACATTCATTATTATTATTATGTATTCCTGGTTGTGGTATCATTAGCGCCAGTATAATAGTGTTAAGTTTTCCAGCTGTAAACAATAATCACAGATTTCGTAGCACAGGAAGGTGAATAAAAGTAAAATATTGATTTCAAATCGTGTTACTGTCAACAGTCACAAATTTTGTTAATTGTGAAATAAAAAAGAAATTACATGAAACTTATCAACTTAGAACAGAAACAGTTAGAAGTAGCAAAAGACTGTGTGAGATGTTATGAAGCGTGGCCTAAAATAAATTGATACAAGGAAAAGATATAGTTTCTAAGATGATTTTGGAAATTATAGGAACAGAATTGATAGTTAATTCATTGTCATTGCTAGACAGTTAAGGACGATATTGATATGAATGACATGAACAGTTATTCTAGAAGACATGAAGATTCACAAGCGGCTGCTTCTGAAAACACATTCACTTTCACATTGAGGAGATCAAGGACCAGATCATAATGACATTATTACGATGTAGTGGTAATTAAGGCTCATTGTTTACATTTAAACTGAACGAAGTAATAACAAAAGTAGGATCCTCATTTTCAACAACCGCAAGAACTTCTGGAGCGCCAGTCCTCAGATGACGTGGGTGAGGGCGACAGCTGACAGCGAAGGTGCTTGTGACATTAGCGGACGACGGGCATCTGGCGAACAGAAAAAAATTAGCTTTAGACATGCTTATTATTTAATTTTTGTCTCAAGCGTTACACAATACAAGCAAATTTAATACCAAATATTTTCGAATCATTGAAAATTGTTAATTTCAACGGAAATATAAATATTTATCAAAATTAAAAATGAGAAGAGCAACAGCACTTTCAATCTCCAAGTTGTATTTCTATTACACGCATGCAAACATATCTATACCAACTTCAAATGTTCGGCGCGTTTCATCTTTACTGTGACTGTGTCGTCATAATTGTATGCACGTTTTAAATATCAAAGGCAACTAAAATGCACATCTAATTTTTTTTCTTCAAAACTTGGTGCATTAGGCAGATGATAGGCAATTAGGTGAGGCATTACAACATAGCCACATACAAAAGGGTATGTAAGGACTCTTTCCGAGTGGATGTATCGAGTTACCCTAAGTATCAACTCGCCAACTGATCGCTTAAGAAACTAAAGGCTCTATAAAAGAAAAACAAATATTCAAGTGTAATAGTAATTTCATGAATCGCGGTTTTTTGACGGTATACACGCTACTGTGACAATTTGTTCTACTCTCATGATGAGATTAACACAAGAACAGCTATCAGTCAAATAATGCTCACAATGTCATCAATTTTGAGAATGGAGCGAACACACTCTGCTGCGAGCATGATGGCAGAAGAAGAAACTAGCAGCGGCTGCAGCACTTTCTCCTCAACGATGTTGCTGATCCAACCCTGACGCAGAATTCAAACACGTTTAATTCATTTTTACGAGCAAATATCTTGCTATTTTTTGTACCGTTTCTATGAACTATAAATGTATGAAAATAATGTTGAAATGTTAGTCACCTTCAAGGTCAAGACTATGTAATTCTGTATTTCTAGTTAATTATCATCACATTTCGATTTTCCGCAGAAATTGCACTGTGCAATTAAATTTGTTTAGTGATTGACTAAAAGAATTTTATAGGAAAATTACGAGCTCAACGATTCTCTGCTAATTCAAAGGCCAAGAAAAGTTTTCCTTGAACCAAATAACACCAAAAAAAGATTGCATCCAAGTCACTCCAAACAAATCTTACGCTGGCCTCCCTGGAAAGATATCCTGGAGATGAGCTGAGATTCATTTTCAATCCGGACTTTACTACTGAGTAAATGAGACTTTGAGTAAGATAGAACTCACCTTTCTGACATTGATGCCAGCACTGGTCTCTCCCCTGGCATGGCGGTTGCGCAGCTCAGTGACGGTACTGATCGGCGTGAGTCCTGCATTCTCGGCCAGGATGCTAGGGATCACCTCCAGAGCTTCCGCAAACACCCTTAGAAAACCCCGTTCAAGTCATGATAAAATCGCGTAAATTTATTCCGTAAAAAATAATTCATTGATATAATGCAATGTGTCCAGTTGTGCTCCACAATGATAAAAAATAACTCGGTATTCACTGCAGTGAGTGCCAGAGAGCGCATTTTCTCGTCGACGAAAACGTGGTCACGGACGGACGGACAGACGAACGGACATGAGCACAATAGCGCCTTTTTTTCAATAAATGAGAAAATGCGCTAAAAATGCAGCTCATAATCACCAGGGAACTTGACATTGGCTCGAGAGGAGACAGTTGTACGTGAAACAACAACTAGAATATTAATATCATACCTGAAGCAGTAAGCGTCCATGCCCTGCAGCGTCTGGCCATAGTTCGTGAGCCTGACAGCGAGCTCTGCTTCTGGAGCACCACCTCCTGGCACCAGGTAGCGCTTCTTGACGAGACATCTGATGACGCACAAAGCGTCGTGCAGAGACCTGTCTGCCTCTTCCAGCACCTACACGTGAAAAAATCATGTAATTTAAGTCAGAAGATTACTTAGGTAACTAAAATCGTAAAAGCTGCTGATATAGTAGAACCCTGTCTTTTTATACCATATTAATTACATTCTTTGATGAAAAGATCTAAAATCATTTATAACATGAAGAAAAGTAGAAAAATTACGAATATGTTATACTGTTGTTGTACCCTTATCCTCATTCAGTCCGATGCATGTGTAAGAAGTAAAAATTAGACAAATAATGTGTTTGTGTGGGGTCACAATTCCGTAGCTTGTGTAAATAGATCAGTAAATGGTACAGTCCAGACTTGGTTCAACATTCCAAGATCAGTTTAATGTTGCAGATTGAGACGTAAATTAATGGAAGGTGTTGGTGCGGTGTGACGAACCTGCTTATTGCACTTCAACATTCCAACATTAGCTTAATGTTGCAGATCGAGACGTAAATTAATGGAAGGTGTTGGTGCGGTGTGACGAACCTGCTTATTGCACTTCAACATTCCAACATTAGCTTAATGTTGCAGATCGAGACATAAATTAATGTGAAGGGGTCGGTGCGGTGTGACGAACCTGCTTATTGCTGCCCCTAAGTAGGATGCTGACGGCACGACCTGGGTTCTGCACCCCCGTCACCGTCACCAGCTTGCTGTTGCCAGTCTGGACTTCTTCGCATAGCTCGGCGCTACCCAGAATCTCCTGAAATACAAAATTCATCATCAATCTCTCTACGCAAACATGCATTCAGTATTCAACTCACAGCGAGACATCACTGAGCACTGATCAGTCAAGCATCACACGAGACATCACAGTGAACTGATCAATCAAGCATCACNCAGGGATAATCAGGCTCAAGCCAAAAAGCAGCAGTACAAAGCTCGATCGCCATAAACCAAACCAGTTCAGCGCGAGACTCTTTTTTTGGCGTGTGATTTCAACATCACGATACGCGAATATAATGCTAGCAACAGGAAGACTTCAACATATGTTAAGAACTGCTATGGAAGTAAAGACTCGGAAAAGTATAATCCCAGAACACTTGGCTGGAGTACCAGAAATGTTAAAGCACTGGAAAGCAAATTAACAGAGGTGGTTGACTCACAGGCGTGAAGTGATCCAACGATGCCACAGGGCGACAGCCAAGTGATTTACACACGAATTCGATGTCCTCGCGCTCTATGTCCTTAACGACCATAATCTTCTGCTTGGCGAGTAGGTGAAGAGCAAGATCAGACACCGCATCTCTGCAATGAAAAATATAAATTCTGAACAACTCCAAAAAGCGTAATCTGCAGATAAGTAGTATATATGTTTACTTTACATATAGTGCATATTTCGATTTGAAATATCCTACGTTAATCGAAAAATAAATAGTAAGTAACTTGTTGCTTGAACTGTGATTTCCTTGTAAACTGCACGACACTGGTTGCTATTCACTTAAGGAGCATACCTGAGAATTAACTTCTAACTTCAGTGAGAATTGAGTTCTGACAGCACTGGGGATAAAACTGCCTTCCTGAGTGAGAACTGACTACTAACTGAACTGAAACCCGACTCGTTCCTGAGAACTGACTTCTGACTGCACTGAGAATTTGTCTGCCAACCTGAGAATTAATTTCTGACTGTATTTAGAATTGACTGCATACCTGTGAATTGGTTTCTAACTGCATTGAGAATTGACTTCCGACTGAATTGAGAATCCACTGTATACCTGAGAATTGACTTCTGGATAAGCAGTACATTGCAGCCAGCAGCTTTGATCTTCTTGGTGATGTTGAGGATGTACTGGCGCTCTTCTCGCAAGATGCGGTCCATGGCAGCGTAATCCCTCACAATCACAGTGTTGTCCATCTGTAATAATCATATCAGCTGGTAATAAATCACAGTATTGTCCATCTGTAATGATCATAACAGCCGGCAATAAATCACAGTCGTTCATCTGTGATCATTATTAAAGTCGGTCAAAAACCACAGTGTTGTCCATCTGCAATGATCATTAAAGGTGGTCAAAAATCACAGTGTTGTCTATCTGTGCTAATCATAACAGCTGGTAATAACTGGAGATCACCTCAAGGAACTTGGAACGACAATACCCGCAGTGCCATCAAGATGATGACACTGATTTCCATTCTATTAAACTATAATAACAGGGTTACAACTGGTCTATGCTTTAACTACATCCTCGAACACGAAGTAGTTCTGATGCTTTGAGCTCAGCAGCAGAGTACTGAATAAATTCCCTCCAGTTTTTTATATAACTCTCATTATGATTAAAGCAACTCTCTTACGTAGCCACTAATACAATGATTATATGATGCACAAACAATTCATAAGTTTTAAGATTAAAATTCCATGTACTTTTAATTAAGTTAAGAAGTGAAATGATTGAATGATCATCCTAAAATGATTCCATAAAATACATGGAATAGAATGGAAATAATATGCGCATGGAAAATACAATATAGAACACAAAGCAATTAAAAATTTTCTATTAATTCTCAACTCATATTCCAAATTTTACAAAATAATTTAATGTTTTCAACAAGATTAATTGGTCGTTAGTGCACATGCCTGTATATCCAATACAATTCAATTCATTCTAATTTCTTCATAACAATTACAGGCTTCTCAGAACCAAGTCAATTCCAAGAAATATGTTTGCATTATAGAATGAACTTCAAAAAGCGTCAAAAAAAATTTTAAGGGGGAGCGTCTGCCCTAAAATTTATCTCGGCTATTTACAGGCGGATCACTCTGAAACTTGGTACACTTATGTAAAATAAAACAAAAAAAAAACATTTTGTTTATGTGAATTTTAGGAAAAAAATTGAAGAAAACGAACTTTTTAGAAAACGACCAAAAAAAAGGTACTTTAGAAATCTATCTCCTCCAAGAATTTTCAAGCTACAATATCGAGGCACAAATCATTTGGTGCGTAAAGTCTTGATCTCTGAAATTGTGTAGGCGTTTTTTGAAATTCTAATTTTTGTGGAAGTGGGGGCATTTTTCATAAAGTTTTCGGACATTTTTCGATTTTGCCCCCTTTCCACCCCCCCTTTTTGCAGATAAAAAACAAACTATAACGAAATTAGAAAAACGCCTACCCAAATTTGTAGATCTTTTATTTGTGAATCGAATGATATATGTCTTATTGTTGTAGTTTCAAAACTGTAGGAGATAGGTTTGCAGTGACAATAAGTTAACTTTTCAGTAGAGCCCGACTAAGTCGCGCGCGCCTCGAAATAGACATTCAAGGGTGCAAGGTTGCAAGACTAGACAATACTGGAGCTCAATTTTTGTCAAGGATGGTGCGAACGACGGCACGAGAACTATCCCGTACGACTGCAGGCGGATAACTGAAGCACAGCGTGTTCAGACTAGCTATTTAAGTGTACTGCCGGTAATTTCGGCCTATCATAAATGTGAAAGAACTCCACCTCCCCTAACCCTTTCGCTATATGTCGTGAACGTATAAATCAACGTTCAGAGATGATTTTGATACCGTTAGATCCGCCAGAATGTAAGCTTTAAGATGAGTATAAAAACCAAAGAAGTTAAAATTTTCGATTTGGGGGCAAACGCTCCCCTTCAGAACGTTGCCTATACATAAAAAACATCCAACTTAATAGTAACAATAAAATGGCAAGCGATAAAAATATCTCTTCACAAAACTTTTATAGAAAAACTAGTACAACTCACGTCTGTCTTAGGAGGAGAAATGCAAAACTGAATGAGTCCAATCTTGGCCTTTTCTACTTTGTTGGGGCCACCAAAGCCTTGGGTCTTCTGGGTGAAGATGATGCCATCAATGAGCTTCGAGTCTTCCACAGTTTCTCCCAACTTCATGGTGATGCGGATGTCTTTGAGATCAACGTGCGTGTCCTTGGCAGGGTCTACCAACCGGCACACGGCATCCACGGCCATGGGAGCAAGCATGCCACTGTGCTCGTGAACAACCTAATGTTCATGGGACTTACATTAAACATTGATTGACATGGGAAAATTAGCAGTGGTAATACCATATTCTTATAAAATGCAGCTACATGTAATTAACTGATGAGAAACAATTCATTGAATGCACATTTTGTTTCGTGATTGAATGCACACATCATTGAAAAAGAACACTTTGTAGGAGCATACTTCTACAACATATTTTATACTAATAAATTTTTCACGTAGATCTCATCCACAAATTGAAAATATAAACCAAAATTCAGCAAACAAAAAATTGTTTAGTTAGCAAATTTCTGTAGACGTATAAATTACAAGAGATCATAGAAGTTCTTTTAAACAAATGTCCAAAATTCACTGTGAAACAAATGCTAGCAATAGGAGGCATAATTCTACTGCAACCATTGATTCACTAGTAGGCCCGGTTGCAAGAAGAGTTTGCACACAGCAGAGTTCTCTATTGCCCTTGCCTTGGAATTGAGTGCAGTGTTGGCGCTGTTAAGCAGAGCATTCCTGTCACTGAGATCAACAGGAATTGCCATGCTCTCGAGGACGACTTGCGCCTGCGAGCTGAAGTGCAGCAGTGAGTCTGAGATTCTTGCAGGGTGAATGCCTCGAGACAGCAGCTTCTGAGATGCTTCCAGCAAAGCTCCTGTATAGTTCATCATAAAAATAAAGTTGAGAAATTAACAAAATTGTAATGGAATGTCATAAATAAAACATCACTGACTACTTCAAAAACCAAGTCATTTTACAATTTTATTTACGTATTAAAAAATCTCTCATAAAAATTTTCCACATTTTTCTAGCCTTCCAAATTTTCACTAAAATTGTCTAAAGATCTGCGAGAGGTTTTACACTTGATTCTAAAGTACTAATACTTTGTCAGAGGAAAAACTTAATTGACTTTGACTTCCATGCTCCAGAATAAACTTTGAATTCCAAGCTCCAGTATTAACATTGACTTCCATGCTGCAGGCCCTGGATACACACCTGCAAGGATGACAACAGAAGTGGTGCCATCTCCTGCCTCAGCATCCTGAGCCTGTGATAGTTCAACCAGCATCTTTGCCGCAGGATGAAGTACCTGGAAATATATTATTTGTTTATATAGGTGCACAAAAAAGTCAACATGTGCATCTTAGAATCTGAAAATAATAATGAGCTATAAGGATTTTTAAATAAGTTAAACAAAAGTTATGGTGAGAATATTTAGATGAACTGACTGATGCAGAATAAATAATTCTAATTGGATCTATATTATCATGATAATAAGGCACTACCACAACACAAGACTCGCTCATGAAGAGCATAGCTACATGAATCATTACTTATGCCAAAAATAAGTAATGGGTTGAATTGTATCAATTTAAACATAAAACAACACAGAGTATTTCAAAGCATGACATAGATAGGCTACAAAAATTTTGCACCCATACTGCAACGTCAAAAAAGCACTAAATAATTAACATACATGATGGATTACATGAAATGATCTTGCCAATTTTCTAAACTGGTGAGCCCATAATAGCATAATAAATTATGGCAAATACATGCATAAAAAATTTCATCCAGTTTGAAACTGCAAGTGATTCTCCAGCATGTAGCAAAATTCTATAACTCATAAATTTACAGTAAGATAACCTTCATTTGCTTCAGAATTGTAGCTCCATCATTAGTGATGGTGACTTCTCCTTTCTTGTCTTGGATCATTTTATCCATACCTCTGGGCCCAAGTGAAGTTTTGATTGCATCTGCCACAGCTGTAAATTAATAGACATTATTATCATCACTCAATGTGCCTTTTAACTTGATAATGAATGATAGAAACATTCGAAACGTCGTTAACAAAATAAAAATGTCCATCGGTAACCTGATTTTCGATTTGCCAGTTCAAACTAAAAATATTGTTCGATATATTGAAAAAACTAATAAGAAAATTGCGAATAAAACAAATTCTCTGGTCTTCAATGAAACTTATTATCAATTAGTATACTTTTTGTTGTTATTTTGATTGATTTGAAAATTAAGCATATATGTACCATATTGCAGCTTGCAAGCATCAAGAAGAAAGAAGACAATATAAATTTTTCTAAAATAACAACAAGCCTAAGTCTCATCTGTGGCTTCCTGATCTGCTCCAAAATTTCATTAAAAAATTCATATATTATAATGCTATAACATAATAAATGTAACAATGCAAGTTCATGATCTACAGGCACAGGTAATTTTTGATCTACCAAAATTGATCTACAGGCACAGGCCATGGTCAGGAAGATGTGCCAGGTGCGTGGGAATTTATTTTGTCATTTTAACGACCTGCGCGGTGCGCCGTACTATGCTGGTAAAAAAATGCGCCGTGCGCCGTACTTTAGAAAGCTAAAATAGTTCTACTATTTTAGTTGACAATATACGCGAGTATATTGACTACGCGAGTCGAACTGACAATAATAAAATGTAAGACATGTCCGGGATACTTCTGACTCTTCTGCTTGTCCGCCTTGTCGGATACGGAACGTACGGTAATCGTAAACTGCGGCTATTATACATACGAAATGTAAAAAGACGGTGTTCAGTGTTGCCATATGACTTTGGAGAAAATTTCTTCTAAAATAAAGTTCTAGATTTCTCATTCACCAAATTTCCGTATCAAGAAAAATCATTTATTATTGAAAGATAATTAAAGGCATACTGTACTGAGTAATGTGAGTATTACGTCTGTTCCTCCACAAACTGCTTGTGCGCGGCAGCGTGACGTAGAATTGATGGCCGGGATTGCGCGAACATGTGCGTGAAGAGAATCAATTTTCATTACATTGCGCCAACTGTGCACAGCAATAGCTTAAAAAAAGTGAAAATGCATGGGAAAATTCACCGAAAACATACATCATCCTGAGTGTGGGGCACAGGTAATTTTAGCTATGTGTTGAAGAAATAACAGTTCAATTGTAGTTTGACATGACCCCAACTATCAGATGAACAAAAATGTTTCAGGTGCATTTTTAATAATCATTAAGTAGGAGATAATATAATAATGTCAAATGTCAATGCAAGTCAATATTTTGATTAGTTTAGCTGATACATTTCTACAAAATGTGGGATGAATGTCCCAATTTAACTCACCCATCCCTTATTGCCCCATTTGGCAATAGTTTTAGATATTTTATACAATTTGATACATAAGTGCTGACTGTGATGTGCTGCCTGACTGAGCACTTGTTCATTCATTACCTCTCAGTCCCTCCTGGGTTGCACATGAGTGTTAATTCAAGACTTGTTGTTGTACCTACCTAACTAGAGATTTGTATCAGCAAAAATTTAACTGTATATATAATGTATAAAATTTGATATGGGATAAATGAAAAACAATATTAAAAACTTTACAATTTACATAGGGTAAACGCGGTATATTCCGACATCGTAGGTAATTCCGTCACCTATCCAGCTTTTCCTTTATATTAAGCTTTGTTTTAGTTCCATGCCTTCATTGATGGTTGAAATGGTGACGTCATACATTTGCGTGTCGAAATACTGCAAAAACACTAGGTCTTGGCCATCTAGTGGGAAAATATTGAGATCCAAAGAGAGACAATGCATGCCACGTGGTGAGATCATCGAAAAATGTGTCAAATTTGACAGTTGATATGGCTCTACCAAATAGTGAATAACTGTTTTTATAGGAAGAATAATTAAAAGCCTAATAGCTGTTAATTAAAACGTAATTAAGTAGTGTTCACTGTTCAATATTCGTTAGTGTTCTAATTCAAAGCCGTGTTGTATCCCAATACAGCTCACACAGCAAACGGAATTCGAACATGTGGATGTCGGCAATACATATCAGTTAAATTTGAAGCGCTGACGCAATATGACTCACCACGTGTCGAATATTGCCACACAAAGTGACCGAATATAGGGATTTGGTAGGTTTCCATTCTAAAGGCTTTTTAATAAATATGGCAACATTTTGTGACGTTTCATTGTTGCTGATGTGTAGTCATAGTGGCAAACCAGTGGTTTTTTAGAATCAGCTCATTTTTAATTTCCTCAAATACTCAATATTTTAACAGATTTCTTATGTATGATAATTCTGGTATTCAAGATACTTTACTGGTCTACTTATAGGACTCAAAAATGAACTTTAGGAAGAGTCTAAAAAACTCTCTGCTTTGCCACTATGTGTGTAGTGAAGTGTTTTGAGAGTCATGTGATTATGTGAAGGCAACAGAACTTACATAACGCATACGTTTTTTTTTTAGTTTTTCATTTCTCGATGCGTCCTTAATGTGTTGGAATATACCACGTTTACCCTAGCTAATAATTTGATCCATTTCTTTTCACAAACTACTTTTTTCAACTTCTTAAGACAATAAATTTATGCAGGCTGCCAGGCCTAATATTAATACCCTTAGCACCCTACACGCCACACACATATACATTATATTGATTTTAATGTAATCAACAAAAAATAAACATTGTGAAATCAACATGAATTAGGCTAGGTACCTTTGCCAGCTGTGATGTTGCTGCTTCTTATTTGGGCAGGTTTCTCTTTATCCTGGAATTCGGCCCGCTTAGGTGGCCCTGCTGAGTGTTTCAAATTCATAATTGTAAATTTGTTGCAAAAATCTGAGAAAATACAGAGAGGTTAATGCGGTGTACCTACAATTACAGATCAGCTCATCAGCACCAAACGCCGGTGACTAACAACGATGTCTACGTTAGCGGCGTAGCCCAAAATGCATCGGCATGACATGAATGTGCAAGCGCACCAGCTGTGTGCACGTGTTGAAAAACCTATTTCATGAGTGAACTAAAAAGAAATTCCTGATCAGTTTTAATCAAAACATACAGAAAGAACAATTTCAGGTGTTCATATGTCATGTTTTAACAATACATAACCATAAACGAGGTAAAATGCTACATTGAATGTCTCTTCTAAGATTCACGAACGTTCGAGATTAAATGACACATAAATAGTACTCGATCTCATTGTATTTATAAAGTTTGACTTCGGCACATCACATTTGATTCTGTTGATTATAATAATAAATAAATATTTGGTTGACCATTAATTTGCATAGCTTCAATGAATAACGACTCGTTTTAAATGTAATTTTTTACATTTAGATACACACAGGATGATTTTCTAAACTACACGTTAACAAAACAACGTTAACAAATAGCAGCAATAATAAATCACTCTGGAACAAATTTATCTTAATTTTTACACCGTCGGGTGAATAATTGAAGTAATTTAACGGCTAAACGATTGAAGGCCTTCTATTAACATTTTTTTGCGAGTTTTTTTTTCACAAAATTTATCACACAACCAACTCAAAAGGAAATAACTACTGTTTATTTTTGCTGATTTATGTGAAAAATACACTCAGTCTTGTACTTCGGCTAATGGCAGGGGTCTAAGTGGTTAGAATTAGAGGCCTACATGAATGATGCGGCAAGTTGTTCTCTCGATTTCATTTTTCTGCATCAGTTTAGATTATAATCGGCTAGGTAGTGAGTTAGGCGGAGAGATGCTTTCAGAGTGCTAAACGTTTAATCTCAGTATAGGGCTCACTTTGTCTCATCATTTGGGCTGTCTCCAATGAGAGTGGAAACAAACGGAAGTTAGAAGTGCTGGGTCTGCTAAGCGCTGTCAAGAAACTGTGAACTCGCATGAGCCAGTACAAAGACAAGAAGGAAAGGCATCTGTCGCCGCATATTGTCTATGGATTCTATCTTGAGGCAGGCAATGACAAGCTTCAAGGCGGAGTTCTGGATGTTCTGCAGGTTTTGGACGGGTGTGTGAGAGGCGACAAGATTTCAGATGGGAGATGTTCATGCTTGTATAGGCTTGGACGTGTGATGGTCCTGTAGGTGGCCGTAATGTCTTTCTGGGAATTGCCCCAGTTGGTTCCAGCCAGGGCATTCCGTATGCGCTAATTGTTATCCGCCTTGTTACTAGTAGCCTCGGCGTAAGGGAAGAAGGGGAGTGAGTCGTCGGAAGGGAAGTAAGTAATAGTGAGTCGTCGAGGTACTTCTTGGATATCGATAGTTTTGTGGGCTGATCGTGGGGTTTAGGCCCATGGTTTTTTTTGGAACCCAGGCCCAGCTTGTGGAACAGCCTTCCTGAAATCGTTGACGCTCCGAGAATGAACGCTTTTAAGAACAGACTAGACGAAGCTATGTAGGAGCATATGTTCATTCTTAATATGCCTAGCAACTGACGGACCAGGCAATAAGTCCAGCAGCTATCTCAATCAATCGTCAGTCATGGAAAGACCGGGTTCCAAAGGCCGGATCCCTTGTGAATAAAGTCACGAAAATTACAGGAATCGGCAACAGGCCATGGGCCTATTTCTTCACTACCGACACTTCTATTCTGTATTTTTTATGGATTTGTATCGCATAGAACTTGCTCGGGGCCGAGGTAAACGTCTCTTTATTGTTCGCCCTATACGGACCAGATGAGTACGCCCAAGAGAAGGTCCTCCAGCACCTCCACCGCTGCGTCAAACATCGGAGAAGATACGAGGATTGTTAGGTCGCAACAGGGCATTCAGAGACGTAATTGTTGAGAAATGCAATGGAGATGACCGGTGTATGGGGGGAGGGGGTCAGGGGGCTTTATGGAGATTGAGTTTTCGAAAGACTCTGCACTTCTCCACCGGATAACCTAGATTGCCATACCTTGATATAATTATTTTCTACCTACTAGGTTTTCAGTTATTTCCAATAATTGCAAATATTTTATGTATCACGTTCGACGTTCGTTTGAGCAATAGGAATATTTTTAAGTTTTTGACAGCCGGAAGATCTCCGAAGGAACCTCACGAAAATACTTTCTAATATCTTATTCATTCAAATATATACAGAGAACTGCGGTTAATCTTATCTGCTATATCTTCTCTATTTTATTATTCTCTATCACTGATATGCATCTCTTGCTGAGCAGTCTCACAACCATGGTTGAATTAATATTATTAATTCAACCATGCTCACAACCATCTACAAGTTTTAAAAGTAAATTACTTCCACTCGCAGCCAAATTTTATTCCTCCAACCATTCTATAGAAATTTCTGTCATAAAAATTCCATGTATTTCATATGCAATTTATGTGCCCTTAGTTGACCTGCCTCCTGAATTTCTTCGAGAAATCTGTTTTAGCCAATAGGCATTCCTCATCTCATAGAAAACCTATATAAACATTTTAGGTGCAGTTGAATTATACATATTAAAGCACTTCTCCCCCTCAAAATAATTTAGTTTAGTTGTGGGTTCAAACTTTTCAGCAAGTTGTGTAAAATCTGGTCGAATTCGATCAGGTGGCTCAACATGATTGGATCGAATAATGACGTTTGCGTTCAAAGCCATAGCTAGCTGTTATCATTAATGTTAAAGTATTTTAATAGGAAACTCAACTTTGAAAACAGCATTCATCAATTTACTTAATTTACATATTTAAAAAATCGTTTAATTTTAAACTAAACTTTATACTCCTTGCTCGCAACTTCTTAAAATAATTTGATAATACCAGCACAATATATTATGTTTAAGTTATTTACAAAAATTCGCACGCTTAAACGTTCTATACAATTTCTTTCTAAAAATAGTATTCACCTTTTATGTCGAATTGCCGGAATTCGACCATTTCAACCGCAAGTTCGATAGGCAAATGCACTAACTATCCGAAAAAATGTAGCCACGTTAAAGTAGTAAGCTCTTTTCTTGATTAATTCCATGATTTTGGAAGTACATTCGAAACATTGTATACTTTTATTACCGATATGAATAACGCTAACTAAGAAATCGGAGTGTCATTTTTCAATTAATTTAGTTTCATTAAAAATTCGACAATTACATAAGTGAGCAACCTAATGATTGGGTTGAAGGAATATGTATTTTTACGCCGATCGGTTCTTATTTTTCACTCACTACAGGTCGGAAAAAATATAACTCAGTACTCACTGCAGTGAGTGACAGAGGGCGCATTTCTCGTCGAGGACAACGTGAAGTCACGGACGGACGGACGGACATGGCGAGCACAATAGTGCATTTTTTTCCATAAATGAGAAAATGCGCTAAAAAGAAGACGGCAGGGTCGCGACAATCTAATACTTTTTCGTTTTCTTTTAATACTTTTTTACTTTAAAACCTTATACTTTTTCGTTCAGTATAAGGTTTCTAAATTTTATTCAATACATATTCCTCGTGGTTGAAGGAATATGTATTTTTTTGCCGATCGGTTCTTATTTTTCACTCACTACTGGCCTAAAAAAAGAAGACGGCAGGGTCGCGATGTAGGCAGACCGATCGGTAAACACATCAGGGTTTTCATCTTGCGAGCGTTCATCTCCATCGTTAATATTCAACGGCGCCTTATGAAAACTACTCCTTTGTTGCACGTCAGTTCTAAGCATTGAAGTTTCGGGCGCAACGCCATCATCGGCAGGCTGAAAAAAATTCGAGAAGCGACTACTTGTCTGGAAATTTGGGATAGAATTACTCCTGGGTTTGTTCAGGCCAAACTGCTCGAGTTTCTTGGCACTTTGCTTCAGAGATCCAGGAAGTTTCAGTCCTTTGGTTGATGTGCATGAATTTTTTTGGGAGCGTTTCAGAGCATTCATGGACAGATTGGGGAGTGCAGAATACGATGGCATGGGTTGCATCCCCGGGAATGAAGGCAGCAGAGGACGGATTGCAAGACCAGAGGCTGTTGAGGTGCCGCTCTGTATATGGTTTTACAAAAGTGTGAAAAAATTCATTGTTATCATTATATAAACTATGAAAAACATTTGATGTGAAGTAGAAGCAAACTTAAGGTTGAAGCCCATGTGTTTATAGTCCATTTGTTTCAGCATAAGCATCATTCTTCCAATCAGAAAATGGCTTAAAACAATCATTTTCATCCTAATTGATCATCGACTATATAATCAAATGAATCGCTCTAAAGTTTAAATATTTTAACATAAAATATGTCTTGCTCTCTCACCGTTTGGGTGGTAGTTCTGCCGTGCTGCAAGCTTGCCCCTAGGATGGACCCAGAGGTCGTTGGGTGGTCGGACTCGGAGACTTCCATGGGACTTCCGTAATTAGGGTTCACCTCGGCAGAGCTACCTGACGTACCCATGGAGCTGCTACCTGTTAAAATAACATAAAACTTCAATAAAAAAGAGCCAATTGCTGTGTGTATCGCTATTTTTTCCAAGTAACAGCTCCCAATTACAAAATTATTAAAAATATTAATCAAGTACACAACGATCATATAAACAGAGAATTACTCTGTTAATTTTCGTTAATAAATTATTATGATATTTATCAAGTACACAACGATCCTAATAGAGAGAATTACTCTGTTAATTTTCATAAATAAATTCTTATGATAGCTGGTCACTATCATAACGAATGTTTCACAAAATTGCAACTCATTCCTGCAAGTAAATTGTTTTCCGCTGTCGTGTGGCACAAAATTGCAACTCATACCTGCGAGTAAATTGTTTTCCGCTGTCGTGCGGCACAAAATTGCAACTCATACCTGCGAGTAAATTGTTTTCCGCTGTCGTGCGGCACAAAATTGCAACTCATACCTGCGAGTAAATTGTTTTCCGCTGTCGTGTGGCACAAAATTGCAACTCATACCTGCGAGTAAATTGTTTTCCGCTGTCGTGTGGCACAAAATTGCAACTCATACCTGCGAGTAAATTGTTTTCCGCTGTCGTGCGGCACAAAATTGCAACTCATACCTGCGAGTAAATTGTTTTCCGCTGTCGTGTGGCACAAAATTGCAACTCATACCTGCGAGTAAATTGTTTTCCGCTGTCGTGTGGCACAAAATTGCAACTCATACCTGCGAGTAAATTGTTTTCCGCTGTCGTGTGGCACAAAATTGCAACTCATACCTGCGAGTAAATTGTTTTCCGCTGTCGTGTGGCACAAAATTGCAACTCATACCTGCGAGTAAATTGTTTTCCGCTGTCGTGTGGCACAAAATTGCAACTCATACCTGCGAGTAAATTGTTTTCCGCTGTCGTGTGGCACAAAATTGCAACTCATACCTGCGAGTAAATTGTTTTCCGCTGTCGTGTGGCACAAAATTGCAACTCATACCTGCGAGTAAATTGTTTTCCGCTGTCGTGCGGAAAAGAGTTGACTCGGCAAGGCTGCCGTCTTCAGTGTTTCGCGTCGCCTCGAAGTGACGCATGTGTTGCTGCACTTCACCGTCACTTGTGTTGAATTTGTAAATCAATTTTGTACCGTCAATGTGGTACAAGATACCGCGTTTGTAGTAAGTCCTGCAAAGAGACATTTTTCAGTAATTTAGACACAAATGTAAACATTGTTTTTCGCGCACAGTCCAAGCGCCAAACCTTAAGCGGAGAGAGCTACAAGCAAATGCGAAACAAGTTTAAGGTAAACATTTAATTTAAATCAAAATAAAAAACAGTTATTTGAAGCATCGTATTGTATATATTCAGAATAATAAGAAAGTTGTACCATAATATGGAAAAAATATAGGCGCTCTTACTTAAAAGTACGGAAAGAAATGAATCTAAGCGGCATTCTATACCTCATGCCACGCAGGCATTCCATACCTCATGCCACGCAGGCATTCCATACCTCATGCCACGCAGGCATTCCATACCTCATGCCACGCGACATCTTCTCGTAGTTCATGTTGGAATTCTTCCGTGCGATGCCCCAGAGCTGTGCCACCATGTCGGACTCCATGATCCTGTTAAGGAATTAAATTCTACTCAGAATCCTACTCAGAACTAAATCCTACTCAAAATCATACTCAGAATATATAGACGAATAGTTTAGCTAAGCACAGTTTTAAAACATTACTTTTATATTAGGTTTCTGCAAAATATCATTTCTAATAGAAGCACTAGCAACTGAAAACTATGGGTGACTTACTGAATTTTCTTGTGGAACATGAATGAATGAAAAGTAGTAAAGTGAATGAATGGCCTCTTTCATGTGGAACATGAAAGAGGTTTAACATGATCGCAAAGAATTTCCACCCTCAATCTTTTATTTTTGTTTGGGGTTGAAAATTTGTCAATTTTTTAGCGTTCGTCTACTCGTATTTAATCTCGATATGAGTAAAAACCTGATAGATATTCAGTGTGATTGACAACTTAGATCACGTCTAACATGCACGTGCAGAAATGTAAATCGATTGATGTAAATTAAATCTGAAGCAAATACTTTATGAAAACTTATAATTATGTAATAATATATAATAATTATATATAGTATAACATATATTATATAATATATAATAATAATATTATAACATCATGCATAACATGAAAATAATAATATATGTTACCTGAATACACCATTGCTGCGATCAAGCCACCTGATGTAGACGGGACAGAAGCGCGCGTCGTGCAGCAGTTGTAGTAAGAACTTCCACAGCAGCACGCGGGAGCTACCGCCCCCCGACCCTTGAATTGAGAATTCATTGAATACATTGTTTTTTTGATAATTTTCTTATAGGTTTTCCAAATGTATCGGACAATATTTTCCGTTTGCACTCGTAAATTGAAAATCTGGGTAAGCGGAAGATGATTTTTGGTGTTACAAAGAAAAAAATATTGCTCGTTATTATTTTGAAAAACTAATAAGAAAATTGTCAATAAAACAAATTCTATGGTCTTCAATGAAGCATGCTTTGGGGAACAAATAATGCTATCTTATACTAATAACAGCACACTCTGCCATCCTAAACCTATAACAACATATAAACTCTGCCATCCTAAACCTATAAAAACATATAAACTCTGCCATCCTAAACCTATAACAACATATTGAAGCTATTGAAGCTATCAGTATATCACGAGTGCGTTCATTTTATGTTTCGGAATGCGCTTTTTTAAGCAAGTAAAAATTTGAAACTTGAAAAGGTATACCATAATCGACTTCTATTTACGATTTTCTTCAATACTATAGTTGTATCAGTTTATATATGAATAATGTGATGCCATAAAGATGTAGCAGTTTATGTATGAATAATATGATGACATAATGAAGTGGCAGTTCATGTATGTATACCCTCATCATAATGTTCAAATTTCAATTTTAAGCGTTATAATAACTCTTCTCTTGCTTGATAATGAATATTGATATATTCGAAACGTCGCATTCCAGTAAAATGTCATTTGGTAATCTGCTTTCTTGATCTCCAAGCACCTGCAAGAAATTTCGTTCGGCGGATCGAAAAAAAACAATAAGAAAATTGTTCATAAAAAGTACGCTCTGGTCTTCAATCAAACCTGTATAAATGAAGAACTTCTGCCTAACTACACTAATCATCATAATGTGTGTATGTTTATGTATGTATACCCTCATAAATCTGTCTTCTGATTCCTCACTTCCTAATTTCATGATCGTTTGATTAATACCAGTTAATTATGCATGTAAACTGACGTCACCTATAGCCCCTACCTATGATGGTGGACATGGCTCCTACCTATGATGGTGGACATGTCTCCTACCTATGATGGTGGACATGGCTCCTACCTATGATGGTGGACATGGCTCCTACCTATGATGGTGGACATGGCCCCTACCTATGATGGTGGACATGGCTCTCAGGTCGCGGGGGGTGTGAGGTCCCCCCAAGGGCACCCCCAAGTAAGGGGATGAGGGGAGGGAGCCATGCAAGGCGCTGCGCGGGGAGTTGCCCAGCGAGGGTGTCTGCTCGAAGAAAATATTTATGATAATGAATGATTACAATAATAATTATATAATTATAATCATAAAGTATATAAATAATACTAAATAATAAATAAATAAATAATAATAATAATATTTAATAATAATAATAATAATAGCAGATTAATTCCATGATTAATTCTTGCAGGTCGCTAGTGGTTTGAAATAAATAATGAATGAATAAAAAATGCTAATTTATAACGGTGTTCAAAAAGACTGCGTCACCGCCTGAAGAAACAATTTACTGACCCACCTGGGAGTGATATATTTAATTAGTAATATTATTATTATAAATATATTATTTGAATGAATTCTTATGGATATATCGTTGAGAATATTACTAGAATGAACAAATTATTTTCGACAGGAGATCACAACTGACCGAGTTAGGCGTGCCCGGGCTGAAGGAGAGGTTAGACGTGGCTTCCTCAGGCAGGAAGGTGGCCCCGGTCTTAACTTTCTTGACGTTTGGCTGTCAACACGAGAAAAATTAATGGTTATATTGTCTAAATAGAGATGCACTTTCCTATACACAGCACGGGGAAGGAGCTGAGAAAAATTAATGGTTATATTGTCCAAATAGAGATGCACTTAGCTATACACAGCACGGGGAAGGAGCCGAGAGAAATTAACGGTTATATTGTCCAAATAGAGATGCACTTTGCTATACACAGCACGGGAAGGAGCCGTGAGAAATGAATGGTTCATGTTGTCCAAATGGTGACACTTGCTAAATAATGATATACCCGAATTGATAGTTGATAGTGATGAACCGCGGAGCTTTATATCCCAGTTAATTTTGTATGCATTATTCAAGTGAATAACGAAACGAAGGTCAGGTTTTTGAAATAAGAAACGAATATAAAATAATTCTCAACTATTATCGCCGTATTGTTGAAGAAATCCTTCACAACAATTAAATCCACAACAAATATGGTGCAATTTAAGCAACCAACTCATCTGGAATCCTTTTGAACGCAGCTAATTTTCTCGCAGATTATAGTTAACTTAAAAACCTTCGAATCAACTCGACTAATTATCTCAAAGATTATAGTTAACTTAAAACCCTTCGTATAAACGTAAATAATTATCTCATAGTTTAAAATTGCCTTAAAACCTCTTGTATCAACGAAACTAATTATCTCATAGATTATAGTTAACTTAAATCCTTTCGTATCAACGTAACTAATTGTCTCATCGATTATACAGTAGTTAACTTAAAACCCTTCGTATCAACTTAACTAATTATCTCATGGATAATAGTTGATTTAATACCCTATTAATCCACTAAAATCTTAATTTTCTCGTAGATTATGGCTGAATTTAAACCCCGTTGTATCAACGTAACTAATTGTATTATAGATTATAGTTGACTTAAAACCCTTTTAATCCCTTAAAACCTTAATTGTCTCGCAGATTATGGTTGAATATAAACCCCCTTGTATAAACGTCACTAGTTGTATTAACTACATTTAAATTAGACGCACCTGCGTGTGTGCGAGGTCAGGAGTGAGAGGTCTACGCTTGAGTGCAGACCGAGCCATTATGGACGATGCTAACGCGTCGGAGTATGAAGGGGGAGGTGAAGGGCGTTGAAGGGCTGGTGGAGTGAACGTGAACACTTTCGGGGGTGAAGGGGAAGTGAAAGGCTTAGGGAAGAGGGGAGTAAGAGGCTGGGAAGAGCAATGGAAAGAGGGGGAAGTGGGAGGGGAGCTTGAATGTGAAAAGAGATCTTCCATGATAAGCTGTGGCATCTCCAGAGTTTGCGCGATCTGGAACAGGAATGCGGACAAGCGATGTGAACGCATTTTCTTATGCTGGTATTATATAATAATACAATACATAAAATAATAATATAACGGCTTAAGCGTTTAGTAGGCCCTAAGCCTGTCGCCGATTCTTAACATTGCAGAACATCCACAACATGTTGCGGTCTCGCACTCGCAACTCACTGCTACAATTCTGCTGTGCTTAACCGCCCGGCCTCCTTGCCGATTCTGACCAGAAACTGGCGCACAGAGCTGGGATCGAACCCGCGCCTATCTGCTCCAATCTTGGTACTCGGAACATTAACCACTGGGCCACCTGAATGTCCTAATGAAAATGAGGACATCCTCTCAATTATATTGAGATGATAAGCAATAAAGCCATAAGTCAGGTAGAAATAACATGATTGTGAGAATGTTGACCGAGTCAGATGGAGATTTATAACCCAATACATCGCCGACTGATGCTTAAATTTCGAGCATAATTTTGCTATCCAAAAGACATCTCTGAAGAACTTCATTAAGTAGACCATGAACTGAGACTAGGGATATTATGAACTTGATTATCATGGAATTAAGTTTTTAGTAAACTGATATTCATTGCTAACGCTTCATATAGTCAATATATATACGTATGTAGTCTCTGGTCAATACGCCGGCCCCCATTATATAGGCATAGTTCCCTACAAGGTACGAATCCTAGATATCGGTGAACCTCTTCGCGGGTATCACAATAGTTTTTTGAGCAGAGTCATGAATGATAGTAAACTATTGTTACAAAAATTGTAATATAATGGCGACAATCAAATAGATGCATGATTTTAGAATGCAATTGCCCATCCTTCTATGCAGCCACTGACCCCCAAAGCAGCCCAATGACTTTAAAAAAAAGTTAATTAGGAAGGCCACGTTAAGGGAAAACTTTATAGTGCACTCAGTCTCTATATGGGTGATCGCGGTAACTAGAAATTACCTACAAGGACTGCAAAAGGGTAGAATTATATTCATTAAACAGGCTGACCTATTACAAACTGATTTTTTGGTAATTAGGAAAAACTATTTTTATGTATATGATTTATATTATATTATTTGTATTTATTACAGACTAACTACCTTCAAGACTTGCGACGCGATGGTCTTGTCGAGACAGGCGGTGCCGGTGTAGCAGATGGTGACGATGGCTTGCAGAGCGGCAGCTGGCGCGCCCGGTACTACCACCACAGCTGGCTGATCGCAGTGCGTATCCTTGCAGTGGTAAAACATGGATAAATTATAGCATAAAATGGGATTATTAATACAATTATTGTTATTTGTCTATTAAGTAATTAATTATTAAATTTCTAGACGGTTAAATTATAGTCTAAAATGGGATTAATAATACAATTATTGTTATTTGTCTATTAAGTAATTAATTATTAAATTTCTAGATCCTCGAGTTAAGTGAGACAAGAAATGGATGTACCGCTAGAGCTTCCAGTACATGCACAATGCGAAAAGAAATGAATGTCCCATAGATCAATTTATTGTTAAATGCACCAAGAGAGAGAGCTCCCGCTAGAGCTTCTAGTTCAGTGTGTTAGGGAATAGTATAAATTTATCATATTTCTTAGCAACAATTTTTCCATTTTCATTTAGACTTTTAGTTCCGCAATTTAGGTTTTGCGTACTTACGGATTCATTCATTCATGTTTTTGCTACGCGCTGGTAAGGACTACAGGGGCACAACGCAATTGTACAGATCTGTTTTACTGAATATATTGTGAATTCGGTGCTTTATATGAACTGAAACCTTTTCAAGACCGTGTCAAGATAGAGCAATTAAGAAATAGTCCCCAGTATGTGTGACAAGAAAAGATGTCCCGCTAGAGAAACGTCTAGTTCTAGTTGCTTTAAGTGCAAGAGCATATGTTTAGTCTTAAAATGCCTCGTACCCTACGGAACAACTGATGTCTAGAATCGATTTTAAATCTACCGTCCATTGAGAAGATCTGATCAAAAGGCCAGTCTAGTCAAGAAAAGCACAAGAATCGGCGACAGGCCTATCCAGGCCTACTCTTTAATGCCGAAGATACTATACAATACTATACTATACTATACTATACTATACTATACTATACTAAGTGCGTCAGGGTGAATCAGACGCGGGTAACCGCAGGTATTGGGCAACATTTCCTGCAGCTCTGGAGACCGTGGACAGCAGGACGCCTGTCTTCCTGTCTCTGTGATAACGCCTTGAAGAAAAGGCGTTTAGGGAAGCTCATGATAACGCCTTGAAGGAAAGGCGTTTAGGGAAGCTCATGATAACGCCTTGAAGAAAAGGCGTTTAGGGGAAGCTCATGATAACGCCTTGAAGAAAAGACGTTTAGGGAAGATCATGAAAATGCCTTGAAGAAAAGGCGTTTAGGGAAGATCATGATAACGCCTTGAAGAAAAGACGTTACGGGTAGCTCATTATAACGAATTAACAAGCCGTACTCATATTGAAATTAATGAGAAGTGTTGTAAAAGTTATTTTCCATTGATTCCTCAACTCAGGAAAGGGTTCCATTAGAACCCGTGTTCCGATACGGTGTTATGAATTTCCATATATACAAATAGACGAATCTTTTATTTTCGATTGGCCCCTTTATTTATTATTTATTATATTTATATTTTTATTTTTATTTTTATATTTATTATTTATATTATTTTCGATTGGCCCCTGCAGAGGACTGACCTGCAGCACACGTCGCAGAAGGGGACTGACCTGCAGCACACGTCGCAGCAGGGGACTGACCTGCAGCACACGTCGCAGCAGGGGACTGACCTGCAACACACGTCGCAGCAGGGGACTGACCTGCAGCACACCTCGCAGCAGGGGACTGACCTGCAGAAAAGGACTGACCTGCAGCACATGTCGCAGCAGGGGACTGACCTGCAGCACACGTCGCAGCAGGGGACTGGCACAGACCATCACGAGGCGGTGGACTTGCACAGAAGCCCCATCACTCCCCACGAGCGTCATGTCGGTGGAGCTGGTCTCCCCCTGGCGTGAGGAGACAAACCTGCACACCCACGCCCTGTGCTCCCCCCACCGCACCTGGTACTCTCTGGCCCCTCCTGCTGGGGATGAAGGCAATCTTTTAGTTAATTAATAAATTAATAAATTATTTATTATTAAATTATTGTTTTATTTCTTAAATTAAAATTATTTTCATAAATAATTCAAGCACCATGGTGTGCCTGAAGTGTGGCAGGAAAATTATTTTTATCTTATTTGCTGTCCTTTATCGATTTTTTTAATCCTTAATATTTAACATGGTTAGAACAAAAAGACTACAGGTGACCCATACATATAATATATCCATGGGGTATAGTACAGAGACCAGGAGGTGTACTAGTATATATATATGTATATATAATATAGGGTATATAACGACATATAAAGTTAAACTAAACCTGAACATCTGTTTTAATTACCTTGGGGCAGCTCTGCTTGGACTTGATGTGGAGACCCAACCTCGAGTTCCTCCTCCTTCACGCGGGGCTCGCTTGGGTCCTCAGTTTGGGGCGTGGGTGTTGGTGCTGGAGACCTGCAGGACCAAAAATTTTGTTTTTAAATGTTATTGAGGGATTTCTTAATGAGTTTGAACTTTCATTCGGTGAAATGAATGGGTCATATTGTCCAAAAAATAACGGTAAGGGCCGGTTCGGCCTTATTATTCGCTCTTTTTATTGGAGGGTTCAGTTTGGAAAGTCGTCAGGGACTTTGTGATGAACTTACGTGCCGAGATATAAAATAAACTAATTCTGAAACAGAATTTATTCAGGAACGAAACAAAACGAAGAACGACAAATCTGGTAATTAATACAAACTTTAAACTAAAAATTTTAAGTTTAATTAATCCGAATACAATATTAACAAAGTACAGGAGCGGCGGATAGGTACTGGGCTGCAACGAGATAAGATCTCTAGCAAAAAAAAAAAAAAAAAAACGTGGTAATCCAGATGAGGTGCTATGCTGAAAATGGATTTGTATATTTACACATATCGCAAATCTTATTGTTGCATAACATACAGAGCAAATTAAAGTAGAACACAGTAAAAACATATCTGAACCTACATATACGTTCATTATACAAAACTTAGCAACGAAGCTACGAGGGTTATCAAGTATCCTATACTGTTTATACTAAGCTCGAGACAATGTTTCGTTTTCTTGTTCTCATTCGCTCTCAAGATATCCAAAACCATATCTGAACCTTTCATCTGCAGGTGCCGAAATTCATTACACTAAACTTTCCAACGAAGCTATGGGGTTATAAAGTATCCTATACTTGTTATACTAAGTTCGACACAAACGTTCATTTTCTTGTTCAATCTCGCTCTCAAGATATTCAGAATATTCATACAAATATTCTAATTAGATGCTACATACTTATTAGTAGAAGACCTATATAAATCCAGAATAATAATACAAATATTCTAATTAGATGCTACATACGTATTAGTAGGAGACCTATAGAAATCCAGAATAACAATACTAATATTCTAATTAGATGCTACATACTTATTAGTAGAAGAGCTATATAAATCCAGAATAACAATACAAATATTCTAATTAGATGCTACATACTTATTAGTAGAAGAGCTGGTCCGACCTCCGAGGGCTTGAGGGAGAAGGTCGCTGAACGGGGGAGTGGGGAGGGGCAGTCCCCGCGTCGGGGTCTCGCTCCCGCTTAGCCTTCGACATAGATTGTGCATAATAAATTATATAAAATATTTAAATTATCACAATATAAAAAATATAATAATACATTATTTATAACGCTTTAAGACCTATATAGATTAGCTTTTTTATTAATATTGTGCATATTACATCGGTCTGAATGCAATGGATGACTTGCGCACAAATTTAGAAAGAAATAAAGCACATTACGAAAACATGAAAAAATTGAGACCAAAAAGGAAAACGTTATTTATAGCTGTAAGAAACTTATTGGGTGTTACACAAGGTAAAAGTGTTTCAACAGATTGGTGAACAATTGAAAATTACACTCCTTAACAGGCCAATGTGACACTTGGAGAATGTACAACTTCCAAATTACAAATATGACGTGTACATATACACGTCATATTATGTCAAATTGTACGTATCATTTTCAACGAAGCTTAGCAGATATTAACAATAGATGTCAAATGTTGATAATATCTACACCATATGAATGGGCAAAATATATATGGGTTTAATATATTGCTAGCTTTAGTAGGTTAATCCTATAAACGCCTATTCTATAGAATATTATCAACGACTATCTTATAGGTCACGATCCCATTTAGAATCGTCAGTTATGGAAAGATCGGGTTCAAAAGGCCGGATCACTTGTGGAATCATGTCACAAAAAGTACAAGAATCGGCAACAGGCCATTGGCCTATTTCTTCAGTACCGACACTTCTATTCTATTCTATTCAGAACAATTGCGAACGCATAACCAAGCAAGCGTAAAAGTTATATTCACCTTGCGTACGCATCGAAGAGTCTCAATGAATTACTGAAGTGAAGGACGTTATCGAAGACCGGCGACGCGAGTGCATGGCGGAGGAACAGGTTGTGGGGCAGAAAAGGTGACGACAGTCCACTGACGAAAGAGTTCATCGTTGAACCAAAAGAAGAAGGTTGAGTAATGGCCTCCGATGACGATACCTCGGTAGTTTCAAGTTTAAAAATTGAAGGTTCCACCTTATTACACGACTCTTGCTCATCGTGGCAGGGTGAAAACGACTTTAGGGTGACAGAGGTCTGAGGAGTGTAAGGAATCCCGTAAGATGAAACGGGTCCGTTCAGGGTTGAAGTTGTCAACGTAGACGCAGAGCAACAACTGGATTGAGGTACACTGTCTCTCAGCAGAAAGTCACCCACCGAAAAAACTTTACTGTCTGCAGCAGTCATGGAGTGAGATTCAGGCTCTTCCGTTAGTTTTGACCTGTCGACCAGGATGGCTTCAGCAGCAGACATGATGACTCGTGTTGAAATCTTTGTGTTGATGTCGTGCTGTGATGAGTCAGGTCAGATCAGACATGCCCGGTAGATGACACAGCCTCCTTTCCTTCCTATCTTCTTGCGCGGTCTTCTGTCGCCGTGCGTTTCTAAATCCAAGTTTACTCTTTGGTTCGTTACTGACTTGCTGCACTTCAATATACAAGGGGAAAGATTAGAAAAAATGTGTTTTGGTCCAAGGTTGACTTCTTTTTGACGTGGTTGACTTCTTTTTGATAGTAACTGCAATTCGTGACAAGAATGTAAATTTAGGTTTTATACCAAGATGGCATTTAACGAAAAATTATGTTAACGAAGCAGCGGTACTTTAATACGTTTTTTACGTCATGTATTTGGTGATCTCAACACTGAAATTATAGGAAATTCAAGAAAAATAAAAATGCATAAGGTACAAAAAACTAATCCGTTATGAACATAAAATAATAGAAAATGACATTAGGTATCTGAATCGATGAAATAAATATAAACGGAGCGATTAAATTTATTAAATCATTAATAATGGCCAGTCACATAATATACTCTTGCACAGTCAGCAAATTAAATTTTAGCAATCATTCTACAGAGCACAATTAATTGGACTAAAACCGAACTATATGCCCCGCTACAGGTGGCACTGAGCGGTGCCACCATGCGCAGTGGCAGTGCCATACTGGAGACTCTGGCACCGCAGGACTCGGTCCCGGATGAACGTCCTTATCAAGGGACTCCTCTAGCTGCCTTAACCTTTGGCCTTATTATTATTATGATTATTATTATTTTAAAATTATTATTATTATTAATATCATTATTATTATTAATATTATTATTATTATTATTTTTATTATTATTATTATTATTATTATTATTATTATTATTAATAATAATATTATTATTTCTAGTATAAAAATTATTTTTATTATTCATAGCGATTGTGCGGAAAAGGCCCTTCTGCGCAAAATTGAAAAGATGATTCATTATTATTCATTACTATTTTTGGAATATTTTCCTAGCTAAATCGTAAGTGAATTTTGCACGAGGAGAGAGCGCCGTTATGTGCAATATAGTTAAGGTAATAATGATTATTATTATTAATGCTATTAATACCTGAAGTCTAAGTGAACCTTGCGGAGCCCATAAGAAAAAAATACCTTATCAGTATAATTGATATGGAATTTGTTATTTTAATATTAATAATTTTTATTCTACCTGAATCATAAGTGAATCTTTCCGAGTTCTTGAAGAAAAAAACTTTAGATGAGCAGTATAAATTAATAACATATAATTATTAATATTATTTATCAGCGCTTATCATACCAGAAAAGTAAGAAGGTTTGCGACGTTCAGGAAGAAAAAAATAGTTATGTGCCTAATTTAATGGGAACTGGGTGTTATTAATTATCATTATTGGTAATTTCCTCGCAAGTAAATCATTAAACTTTGCATCGTTCATGAGGATTAAACATTTATGTTCATAATAGATCGGTAATTTTTTATTATAAGTTGATAATATTATTGTTATAATTATTATTATTAATATTATTTTTGATAACGCCACATGGCGGAAGAGACAGGGACGCCACATGACGGAGGTGGCAGGGACGCCACATGGCGGAGGAGGCAGGGACGCCACATGGCGGAGGTGGCAGGGACGCCACATGGCGGAGGTGGCAGGGACGCCACATGGCAGGGGTGGCAGGGACGCCACAAGGCGGAGGAGGCAGGGACGCCACATGGCGGAGGTGGCAGGGACGCCACATGACGGAGGTGGCAGGGACGCCACATGGCGGAGGTGGCAGGGGACGCCACATGGCAGAGGTGGCAGGGACGCCACATGGCGGAGGAGGCAGGGACGCCACATGACGGAGGTGGCAGGGACGTCACAGGGCGTAGGTGGCAGGGACGCCACATGGCAGAGGTGGCAGGGACGCCACATGGCGGAGGTGGCAGGGACGCCACATGGCGGAGGTGGCAAGGACGCCACATGGCGGAGGTGGCAAGGACGCCACATGGCGGAGGTGGCAAGGACGCCACATGACGGAGGTGGCAGGGACGCCACATGGCGGAGGTGGCAGGGACGCCACATGGCGGAGGTGGCAGGGACGCCACAAGGTGGCAGAATGGCATGGCTAGCGCCGTACGAAGCTCGGTGGCATTTCCTGCTCCAGTGATAACAAAAAGATTTCTTGCTGTAAGAACTTCTTGCGGTGAACTTTAGCTCCAAGATGATCGTTAACTTTGGTTTGATGATCGTTAACCTTGTATTGATGATCGATAACCGCGGTTTGAGTATCATTATCTCCAAGATGATCGTAAACTTTGGTTTGATGATCTTTAGCTCCAAGATAATCGTTAACTTTTGTTTGATGATCTTTAGCTCCAAGATGATCGTTAACTTTGGTTTGATGATCGTTAACCTTGTATTGATGATCGTTAACCGCGGTTTGAGTATCATTATCTCCAAAATGATCGTTAACTTTTGGTTGATGAGCATTAACTTGGGTTTGATGATCCTTAACCTTGGTTTGATTATCGGTAACTTTGGTTTGGTGATCGGTAACTTTGGTTTGATGATCGTTAACCTTGGTTTGATGATAGTTAACTTTGGTTTGATGATAGTTAATCTTAGTTTGATGATCGTTAACTTTAGTTTGATGATAGTTAACTTGGGTTTGATGATCCTTAACCTTGGTTTGATGATCGATTACTTTGGTTTGATGATCGTTAACTTTGGTTTGATGATAGTTAACTTTGGTTTGATGATAGTTAATCTTAGTTTGATGATCGTTAACTTTAGTTTGATGATAGTTAACTTTGGTTTGATGATCGTTAACTTTGGTTTGATGATCGTTAACTTTGGTTTGATGGTCGTTAACTTTGGTTTGATGACCGTTAACTTTGGTTTGATGATAGTTAACTTTGGTTTGATGATAGTTAACTTTGGTTTGATAATCGTTAATCTTGGTTTGATGATAGTTAAATTTGGGTTGATGATCGTTAACCTTTGTTTGATGATCTTTAGCTCCAAGATGATCGTTAAACTTGGTTTGATTATCGTTAACTTTGGTTTGATGATCGTTAACTTTTGTTTGATGATCGTTAACTTTTGTTTGATGATCGTTAACTTTTGTTTGATGATCGTTAACTTTTGTTTGATGATCGTTAACATTGGTTTGATGATCGTTAACCTTGGTTTGAGTATCGTTAACTTTGGTTTTATGATCGTTACCTTTGGTTTGATGATCGTTTACTTTGGTTTGATAATCGTTAACTTTGGTTTTATGACCGTTAACCTTAGTTTGATGATCGTTAACCTTGGTTTGATGATCGTTAACTTTGGTTTGATGATCATTATCTCCAAGATGATCGTAAACTTCGGTTTGATGATAGTTAACACAAAAAGATTTCGTGCTGTAAGAACTTTTTACGGTGTTCAGCTCCAAGATGATCGTTAACTTTTGGTTTTATGACCGTTAGCCTTAGTTTGATGATCGTTAACCTTGGTTTGATGATAGTCAACCTTGGTTTGATGATCGTTAACCTCGGTTTGATGATCGTTAACCTTGGTTCGATGATCGTTAACTTTGGTTTGATGATAGTTAACTTTGGTTTGATGATCGTTAACCTTGGTTCGATGATCGTTAACTTTGGTTTGATGATAGTTAACTTTGGTTTGATGATCGTTAATTTAGGTTTGATAATCGTTAACCTTGGTTTGATTATCGTTAACTTTGATTTGATGATCGTTAACTTTGGTTTGATGATCGTTAACTTTGGTTTGATGATCGTTAACTTTGGTTTAACGTTGGTGGTTTACAAAGGGATCTGGAACTTGTGCGATCATCGTCCGATAAAGATACGATGATTATTATTAATTTTTGTGAGATATCATCAATTATTTTTGTGGTATTATTAATTATTTTTGTAGTATTATCAATTATTTTTGTAATATTATCAATTATTTTTGTGATATAAACAATTATTTTTGTGCTTTTATCAATTATTTTTGTGCTTTTATCAATTATTTTTGTGATATTATCAATTATTTTTGTGAAAATTACGACTTAGATACTCAAACTCATTTCAATGTACAGAAAACAATATTTACCTTATTACGATTTTTATAACCCTTGTTTTAAACCACCGAGGAAGTTTCGACTGCAATAAAAAGCATGCGGAATTTATTACAAATTATTTGAATATTGTCAATCATAATAAAATTCATGTGATTTCACCCTAGCACTTATGATCATCTGTACTTGCCTATGAACAGTATTAACCATGTTCAGAACTCATGGTCATTAGTATGGTCGCCAAGTTCAATACTTTCGCTCATAGTACAGTGGACTGAACTTACAAATATACGAATATATCCTGTATACATATGTACAGATGAACGTGCACATATATATAAATGTACAGAACACACGATCAAGGCATGTGAACCAGGGGCCATACTTTAAAAATTTGCTAAGTGAACGTAAGTTCAGTACTTACGCTCTATTTTCTTGTCTATGATTTGTGAATTTTGCTTGAACAACCGTCAATGATTGGCTGATGCATTTACGATCTCTTAACTTTTATTGAAAGTATGGGCCCATGTACAGAACTTACGATGATGTAAAGAATGTTTGAGTGTACAGAACTTACGATGATGTAAAGAATGTTTGAGTGTACAGAACTTACGATGATGTAAAGAATGTTTGAGTATATGGCCAGTGATCTTTAAAAGAACTTCTCGTACCGACGTGACTCCTTCACGAGAGCCGCCGTATCGCTGCAGAGGAAGTTCCTATCGCTGAGGTCCCGACGTTTCTTGCTTGCTGGATACGAGGCACTGCTTAGGCGCGATATTTGTCCCCACCGTCCCCTGCTTAGGTACCATATGTGTCCAACGTCCACTGCTTAGGCGCGATATGTGTCTCCAACGTCCCCTGCTTAGGCGCGATATGTGTCTCCAACGTCCCCTGCTTAGGCGCGATATGTGTCCCCAACGTCCCCTGCTTAGGCGCGATATGTGTCCCCAACGTCCCCTGCTTAGGCGCGATATGTGTCCCCAACGTCCCTGCTTAGGCGCCACATGTGTACCCAACGTCCCCTGCTTAGGTACGACATGTGTCCCCAACGTCCACTGCTTAGGCGCGATATGTGTCCCCAACGTCCCCTGCTTAGGCGTGACATTTGTCCCCAACATCCCCTACTTAGGCGCCATATGTGTTCCCAACGTCTCGTACTTAAGCGCCATATATGAGTCTCCAATGTCCCCTGCTTAGACGCGATAAGTGTTCCCAGGGTCCCCTGCTTAGGCGCGATATGTCTCCCAAACTGCCCCTACTTAGGTACGATATGTGTCTCGACCGTGGCATTTTCCCCTGCTTAGCCACGATATTCGTCTCACCGTCCCCGCTTAGAAGCGTTACGTCACCAACGTGACACTTATCCCATAAGTATAGACTAGATTTATTACCACTTTGACACTGTGTCCTTGCTAGCTTTCAAATGTCACCAACGAGGGCAAATATCATAGTAAACAATGTTTCTGCCTGTTATGGTGGGTGACCTGCACCCACCATAACAGACCTGGGTGACCTGCACCTGTTATGACCTGCAGGTGGGTACAATGTACCCACGAACACAAGTTCGTGGGTATAATAACCCGAAATTGGTATGGTATCTGGACACAACCTGAATTCCAAAAAAACATGGTCAATTCTCCACTCTCCTAAACTGTGAAGTTGCCTGTTAATAAATTTGGATTTTGGATAAATTTTCTCAAATTTGTCAAAGTGAATGAGGTTTTGAGGTTACGGGAAGAACTGCTAAAATTTGAATGGTGAACAATTTAGACTTGTGTAATGTAAGGTGGTCGGGTTGGATTGCAATTTGATTTCCTACGTATTCGGAGATCATTACCTTATAGAATATCCATATTAAAAACTTTAATATCCCTATTGAACGGAATCGAATTTAAGCCGTTACCTTTTTCAAGACAAGCGATTCATCTCTGTTTCTACAGCGAAAACACTAAGCTATCAAGACACCGATGTATTTTGTCGTTCTCATATCTCACTTTGCCTTGGGATATTTTCCTAACTTCGTACGTTCAGTATAAGGTTTCGTATAGAGTTTCTGCGAAGAAGGTTGGCTTCTTTTCCCTGTTATCGAGTTGCTTCATCCGTTTCCTTTTGTTGACGATAGCCAAGGTAGCGCGATACCAGCTTCCTCTACCACCATGTCATGTATCTCATGTCCCACTCATGTATTCCTTATGACCAAACCGCGGCTTAAAATGCCATTATTGAAACTATAACCTTGTTTCTACTCATACTACACACGAGATATCAGCATTAATTGGGCATTTATAATGTATAACGAATCTTGTATGTAACAATGACCACATCATGACGATATTTCGTACGATTTAATCTGAATATTTTATCACCATCAAGCCACAGGGTTAAGGTCTCCCATAGAACAGCACATGAAATTAACTCTTTACTCTGGTCCCTCTTTTCTTCGTGAGTTATTTTACAGGATGCAATGAAAACATCGAGAGTTTCCGTGATTTTTAATTAGTGAAATTACATACACATCTCGACACATGAAGCCGTTGCATTGCATGCATTAACTTTGACTTTAGCGTGTGCTTGGCTGCAGTGGCTGTGATCAGAGTGACGACTAAGTTTAATCTAGTCGATTTCTGTCAATGATTCATGAGTGAAAGAAAGTGTTATGATGACCGCTAATAGAGAATCATGTCTACTCGTGCAAATGTGTGAGCAGTTATTATACGGCGTTGTAAGTTGTTACCATTAATAAAATTAAGGTTAAACTAATGTTTATACCGCGTAAATCTACATTGCCATTCTCCCACGAAGCAAGACATGTCTCTGACCCATTAGCATGAGCAGGGAGGAATATCGAGTTACATATGAGCGATAGACCGCACAAGACACCTACAGGAAAAGCGAGGTGAAATACAACCGACGCAAGTTCAACGAAAAAATATTCAAACATACTGCAGAAAAAAAACTTTATTTTTGGTGAAGTGAATGCCATTAGCTAGTTGGTTTTTTGTATATATAATTCGTGCGATAAATAAGGAATTAATCATTGTATTTCTTCATTAAAAATACGTGTGCGATGAGTGTGATTTGAACATAGCGAAAATTTGCCTATGTAAACATTAGTGGAAGATGAATGAGATGATGTCATCGCTGGGTGTAAATGCGTGATGGTGCCTTGTACGTAAGATCAAATTTCTCACCATATTTATGGTTAAAATTAGGTGCACGTTCATATCCATGTTTGCTACGTGTTTTTTATTCTCCTACAATATTAACGGAGAAAGTTTAATAAACAACATGAACTGTGAAGTGAAGTTAACATAGTTGTCAGTGATCTACTGCGTTTCAAATATCAAGGTGTTAGTGGAAGCGAGTGAAACGTGAACTGCTGCATGGCAACAATAATTTCGGCGGCAGTGTAAGAAAATTACGCGACAAATTTAAACAATGCGAGCAATTAAAAACCATGAAAATAAGTTTATCTTAAAAGAGAAAATAACGCAAGATGAATTTTTTATCTAGAACACGACTAAAATCTTTACAATTTCATTCGCGTCATCAAATAAGTTTTTTTGTAGTTTTCCAATCCGACGCAATCATCGACCGAATTTTCGTTGATAAACAAAACACGAAGTTCATTTGCCTGCTGGATAATGTAAACAAACAAACACTGAGCGAGTGTGAGTTCGTTTCATCGTAAGTATGAGTATTTAGTTCGTTTAGTTTGTTAGTATGAGTATTAGTTCGTTACGTAGGCACGTGTTCACCTCCATGCCGGACGTGAACTTAGATCTAGCCGACTCCTGACGCCGCTCTTGATCTTAACCTCTTCCTTCACTTCAAGAGTCTCCTCTTGCTCCTCAACCCGAGGCTCTTCAACAGGTAAAGGTTCCTCCAGCAGGCGTGGTTCCTCTCAGTACTCTTCACCACCTTCTTCGTCCTCAGCTTCAGTCGAGTCCACGCCGACCTCCTCGTAGTCTTTCTCTAGGGCGGCCAAGTCTTCCCGCGCCTCGGAGAACTCACCTTCCTCCATTCCTTCTCCAACATACCTGAATATATAAAATATGGTAATATAATGTAATAAAATATGCATATTCATATTCCAGTGAGTGCGTGAATTATAGGCTTACATACGTATATCTGGATGAACCCTTTTAATCAGTTTTTAGCGCATTTTCTCATTTATGGAAAAAAGGCGCTATTGCGCTCGTCGTGTCCATCCGTCCATCCGTCTGTCTGTCTGACCGTCTGTGACTTCTGCATGGTTTTCGTCGACGAGTAAATACGCTCTCTGTCACTCACTGCAGTGAGAATACTGAGTTACATTTTTATGATGAATCGTGTTATGACGTAGACAATACACATACCTAGCATAGATACTGGCTCGGAAATACATATTGCAATGACAATTTGACGCATTGTTGAAAAGGCTTCTATTGCATTATTGAAAAGGTTTCTCAAGCTTCTATCGTTCAGAGGCTTGAGAAAACCCACGCACATAAATAGCTGAGTTAACAACGTATCTTTTAAATAAGGCATATCTATTGCCTTATGTTAATAATGATAAAAGATGATGACCACTCACCAGTGCACGAAGGCACGTTTGGCGTACATGAGATCAAACTTGTGGTCGAGGCGGGCCCAGGCCTCAGCGATGGCTGTGGTGTTGGACAACATGCACACGGCGCGCGACACCTTCGCCAGGTCTGCACCCGGCACTACCGTAGGGGGCTGGTAGTTGATACCCACCTAGGGAGGGGAATTAAATAGTTGGGGAATACCTGAGTGAAGGGAATTGTTGACTTTAGGTGGTTGATACTCACCTAAAGGAGGGGAATTATACAGTTGGTGACTTCCTGAGTGATGGGAATCGTTAGATATTTGGTGGCTGATGCTCACATAGGTGAAAGGAATTTAATAGTTGTGGAATACCTGAGTGAGGGGAATCGTTTGACTTTAGGTGGTTAATACCCACCTAGGGTAGGGGAATTAAATAGTTGGGGGACTACCTGAGTGAGTGAATTGTTGACTTTATAGGTGGTTGATACTCACCTAGGGGAGGGTAATTATAGTTGGGGGACTACTTGAGTGAGGGGAAGTGTTGGAAATTAGGTAGTTGATACCTACCTAGGTGAGGGGAAGTAAATAGTTGTGGGAATACCTGAGTGATGGGAATTGTTGGATATTTGGTGGTTGATACCCAGCTAGGTGAAGGGAATTATATAGTCCGTGACTGCTTGAGTGAAAGAAATCGTTTTAAATAGTTAGTGGATACTGACTTCAGTGGACGTCAGGAGGCACACGCCCTCACAATTCATAATCTGTATAGCATAAGTCGTCTGAATGGGTAGCACTTTATAAAATATATGGCAACTTTTAAAATACAATAATCCATTTTAACTCTAGAATAATTTCCTGTAAATCAAATCCCACGCTAATTAGCCATTGGGCCCAAGTCCACGAAACATATGTGGTGCGCTTTAACTGAATAAGTTCTTCTTAATATAATCAAAGAGCCACAATTTGATACACAATAATGCATTCTAACCCTATAATAATATCCATTTAAGTAAATCGCCTTCATTGTCCACCTTAAAGCCATACAGTGGGGCACCAGTCCACGAACTGCATGGTGCGCTTGTTCGGAACAAGTTCTCCTTAATATAACCTACGAGCCACAATTTGATACACAATAATGTATTCTAACCCTATAATAAATAAATAGTATCCATTTAAATAAATCGCATTCATTGTCCACCTTAAAGCCAGTGGGGCACCAGTCCACAAACTGTATGGTGCGCTTGGTCTTGATGGACGCAATGGCGGCGTTGACGTCTTTGGGCACCACGTCTCCGCGGTACAGCATACAGCACGCCATGTACTTGCCGTGTCGAGGATCGCACTTTACCATCTGCGGGTCAAACAGCATGAATTGTATTATTATCCACCACATAACTTATGTGTAGCATGCAGCATACCATGTCCTTGATGTGTCGAGGGTCGCACTTTACCATCTGCGGGTCAAACAGCATGAATTGTATTATTATCCGCCACATAACTTTTGTACAGCATGCAGCAAACTCTGTACTTGCCGTGTCGAAGGTAGCACTTCACCATCTGTTGGACGAATAGCATGGATTATACCTTCTGCGCACCGTGTGGCTGACAATAAACTTATTTATGGTCCTGATTGTCAAGTTTACACCTGCGGGCCAGGTCTAGATTAGATCATATACTGGTAGGTTTTCTTTGATTTCAAATTCTTAAAATTACAAAAAATGCATCACATGCACAATTCTTTTCTTAATTTCGAATCAGCTTTACAATATAAAAGGATGTTTCACCTGATTAGCTGGCTCGATGCACGCGTTGGTGATCTCGCTGACGGTAACACTTCACCTGATTGGCTGGCTCGAAGCAGGCGTTGGTGATCTCGCTGACGGTAACACTTCACCTGATTGGCTGGCTCGAAGCACACGTGATCTCGCTGACGGAAACACTTCACCTGATTGGCTGGCTCGAAGCCCGCGTTGGTGATCTCGCTGACGGTAACACTTCACCTGATTGGCTGGCTCGAAGCACGCGTTGGTGATCTCGCTGACGGAGAGCTGTTCGTGGTAAGCCTTCTCAGCGGAGATGACGGGGGCGTACGTGGCGAGGGGGAAGTGGATGCGCGGGTAAGGCACCAGGTTTGTTTGGAACTCCGTCAGGTCGACGTTCAGCGCGCCGTCAAACCTTAATTAAATTGCGTAGAAATTTATTAAATTGTGAATGAATAAAAGATTATTATTACATGTAAATAACCGATAAGAAACTAATATAATATAAATACAATCTACATTATAAATGCAATAAATAAATTATTACAGAACGACATTAGATGAAGTTATATATTGGTGAATAAGGATTTAATATTTAGTTTTATGTATTTTTTCCTAATTTATTCTCATTCTTCCTTACAAAATGTAGTTAGAACCAGATTGTCACTTTCATCTATCAGATGCTCACACCCTTTGAAATTTTTGCTTATAGTACGCGCCAATGAACTGGATTAGCTCTTAGCTGTTCTAAGGTTAAGAATTTGAAAACATCGGCATGCATGGATCCGCAACAATAATAATAATAAACAACGACTTAATTAACTCTCAATTAACGACAATTTCAAGTACCATGAACTGCTATACCTGAGCGAGGCGGTGATGGAGGACACGATCTGGCCGATGAGTCTGTTGAGGTTGGTGTAGGTTGGCCGCTCGATGTCGAGGTTCCTCCTACAGATGTCGTAGATGGCTTCGTTGTCGACCATGAAGGCGCAGTCTGAGTGCTCGAGTGTCGTGTGCGTCGTCAGGATAGAGTTGTAGGGCTCTACCACCGCTGTTGACACCTGAGTCACGTATGTGGTTTAAGGTCCGTACTTTTAAAAAATAGTTATAAGAGTTCGTGAATCTGCTAGTCAATTACTGTGAGCTTTTCCGGCTCAAGCCACCAATTAAAAGCGAGAAATCGGCCGCTACGAGTACTTGAACAAGGTTTGATAACACGGAACTGAGACTAATTAACCAAATAACTGTAGTAAATGACGCACAATTTAAAACTCAAAACAGATTACCTATTTGTTTACATGTTAAAACCGAAACTTTTACCAGAAGAATATTTTAAATTTCTGAGACATAATAACAGGTCTGAATGTATGAAAATTTTGTGAAATTTATCACAGTAACAAAAACAGAACGTCAAATCTATAAAAAATATATTTTAGGAAGGTATAGGTAAATTTTAATCACGAAATTTCATCAGAAACCAAATCGATTTCATACGTATTGATATTTCGAGAGAAACAAAAAAAATGTTAGTGATATCTAACGTACTTTTAGGTGCAATTTTGTCGTAGAAATGTAAGGTGAATGTCACATTACACGCCAATTATCAAAAATTTTAAATCAAAACAGGACAAAATAATTACTCAAAATACAGAGTGTGGTCATCTGAGCATCGGCCCAATCTCAGCCATCATCAAAACAAATTTTATCAGCCAGGCTGATTCTTCATTTCATAATTGTTCAAGACCTTGAAGACACTGGAGTACAGCGTTACTAATCATGTGTCGCTACTAATCAGCGTTACTACAATCATTTTATCGATTTAAGCCCTATGACACTTGATCTCAGAGCTGTTGATCTCAGTGTCTTGCATCTCTCAAAGCCCTGAGGCCGTTGGAGTTCGGTGTCATTAAAATGAGTAAACCTTAGGCCCATGACACTTGATCTCAGAGATGCTGATCTCGGTGTCTTGCATCTCACAAGGCCCTGAGGCTCTTGGAGTTAGGTACCACTACTAGGAGCGAACCTTAGGCCCATGACACTTGAGTTCAGAGCTGCTGATCTCAGTGTCTTGCATCTCTGAAGGCCCTGAGACCCTTGTAGTTCGGGACCACTAATAGAAGAGAGCCTTAGGCCCATGACACTTGAGTTCAGAGCTGCTGATCTCAGTGTCTTGCATCTCTCAAGGCCCTGAGGCCAATGGAGTTCGGTACCTACCACTAATAGATGTGAACCTTAGGCCCCAGACACTTGAGCTCAGAGCTTTTGATCTCAGTGTCTTGCATCTCTCAGAGCCCTGAGGCCATTGGAGTTCGGTACCACTACTAGGAGCGAACCGTAGGCCCATGACACTTAAGCTCAGAGCTGCTGATCTCAGTGTCTTGCATCTCTGAAGGCCCTGAGACCCTTTGGTCTCAAGACCCTTGGAGTTCGGTACCACATAAAGAAGCGAACCTGAGGTGCCGGGTAGATCGAGAACTCGAGTTTGCTCTTCTTGCCGTAGTCGACTGAGAGTCGCTCCATCAGAAGTGACGTGAAGCCTGACCCTGTGCCTCCTCCAAATGAATGGAAGATCAAGAAACCCTGCCCGCCAAGGACCAATCAACCAATGTCGGCATTTTATTGATTAGGTTTTATAAAATGAAGGTTATAGATACTTTTCAAAACTCACAAGGGTATAGAAAGAGCTGCGGGCAGGTAAACTGCATGGCCATTTGCCTGCAGGGCTACTGACCTGCAGAGCTACTGACCTGCAGAGCTACTGACATGCAGAGCTACTGTCCTGCAGGGCTACTGACCTGCAGGGCTACTGACCTACAGGGCTACTGACCTGCAGAGCTACTGTCCTACAGGGCTACTGACCTGCAGGGCTACTGACCTGCAGGGCTACTAACCTGCAGGGCTAAAGTCCTACAGGGCTTCTGACCTGCAGGGCTACTGACCTGCAGGGCTACTGACCTTCAGGGCTACTGACCTGCAGGGCTACTGACCTGCAGAGCTACTAACCTGCAGGGCTAATGTCCTACAGGGCTTCTGACCTGCAGGGCTACTGACCTGCAGGGCTACTGACCTTCAGGGCTACTGACCTGCAGGGCTACTGTCCTACAGGGCTACTGACCTGCAGAACTAATGTCCTGCAGGGCTACTGTCCTGCAGAGCTACTGACCTGCAGGCCGGTGCACTGGTCGGCCAGTTTTCTGACGCGGTCGAGCACGAGGTCGACGATCTCCTTGCCGATGGTGTAGTGGCCCCTGGCATAGTTGTTGGCCGCGTCCTCCTTGCCTGTGATGAGCTGCTCAGGGTGGAAAAGCTGGCGGTAGGTGCCCGTGCGAACCTCGTCTGCGGCATAGAATTATAATCCTTGTGATTAGGCTACGTGGAAAACAATTAATGTAAAATTATAATTGGACGTTCCATAAGTTAATTGAACAATGAGTGTCAAAATATGACAAGTAGAATGTAATGTTTAAAGGTACGCTATTTCAAATAGCATCATCTTCTCAGATGAACTTAGGGTGTATCTTAATTTGAACAATTGATATCCAGCGGCTCAGGGCATCAATAGCTAAAAACAATGACACATACAACAAAAAAAAAGACTATGAGTCCAATAACAAACATTCAAACACTGAGACTATTTTTTGATGCCTCTAACGACTTTCATCGATAAAATACGAGAACAATCACACCTCAGCTCACCTACAACGGTGGGTTCGAGGTCGACAAAGACTGCCCTGGGCACCAGTCCTTCTTGCTCACCTACAACGGTGGGTTCGAGGTCAACAAAGACTGCCCTGGGCACCAGTCCTTCTTGCTCACCTACAACGGTGGGTTCGAGGTCGACAAAGACTGCCCTGGGCACGTGTTTGCCGGCGCCGGTCTCGCTGAAGAAGGTGTTGAAGGAATCGTCGCCTCCGCCGATGGTTTTGTCTGAGGGCATCTGGCCATCAGGCTGGATGCCGTGCTCCAGGCAGTACAGCTCCCAGCACGCGTTGCCGATCTGCACTCCGGCCTGGCCGATGTGTACGCTGATGCATTCACGCTGGAATGACATAAATTATTTGATAATTACCGGGAGAAAAGGAAGCTTGTAAGATATTTTCTACTCTTTTTCTACCGGTATTTTAAACTCTTTTTCTACTCTCTTTTCACGTCGTGGATCATCTCAAATGTGCCCGTTTATGCACTGTAATTGCATCAACTATACGTGACAATTTGTTATCATTGGTACGAAATGAAGCGTCTACATAAACAATGTTTATACTCTCTTCACATCAGAAAAACCTCACTTCACACGTGAATTATATGCTTATTAAAAGAACAAAGTGTTTCACAGTATTTTTATCTCGTCACACGTCGAGGAACATCTACGATGTGTACGATGATGCGCTCGCGCTTCAATTGTGTAAAATTTTTGCTTATTATGTGCACGAAATGCAGTTTTTGCAATGCTAATACACTTTCAACATCAAAACATCTCCGGCCTTATGCACGCACGATATGAACAGTATCTGTCAATTACAAAACAGTTAATTTTTTACGTCCTTACCACTTTTAGCATTACCACTTACAGCATTACCACTTACAGCATTACCAATTACAGCATTACCACTTACAGTATTACCACTTACAGTATTACCAATTACCGCATTACCACTTACAGTATTACCAATTACAGCATTACCACTTACAGTATTACCACTTACAGTATTACCAATTACAGCATTACCACTTACAGTATTACCACTTACAGTATTACCACTTACAGCATTAACAGCAAAATTAACTTGCTTAACGAAAGGACAACTTTCACGCATTTAATTCCTTATATAAAAAAACTAAATAGGATAAATGAATAAATTAACATTAAGCCTAGACCTGTCTTATTCGATCATATTTACCGAAATTTCATCTTTTATATGGAAGTCTTGCCCAGTTCCTTCCGCAGGAAAAAGTATAATATGCATAATTGATCAATTTCATTCGCACGTAAACATTGCAGTATTGCACTAAGCCTGCATATTGTAGACATGATCCTAAAATTAAGTATCAGCGCAGGATATAAAGGATATTTTCTTATGATCATGATCTTCTGTCTAGGCGACATAACCTCGCTAGAATTGTCCGCCCCGGATGCATGAACATTTGTATTTTTTACGCGTGGCGTGACGAGGCATCATTCGTACGCGTCATGTTAGTCACGTGAGGTGCACGTGCGCCGCCAGGTAACCAAGGAAACGCGCGACGCGTTACGATGCCATTGCCATGGCAACGCGTGCATCGTTTCGTTGCCATGGTGACGGGGAGAAAGTTAGCGTCTCGGATTCCCTTTGATTTTAAAGGATAATCGATGATGAGAGGCAAGTCCCGCCGCAGGGACTTCATTATGCTAAGAAAATGAGACGGTTTTTGTGAAGCAAATAATAAAGGATTTTTTTTGCGGAGAAAATTGGTTTGGATACATGAATAGGACTCGAGTCTTTTGAAAACTATTTTCGTTGATTCAGTGCAATAAAATTTTATGTTCTGGGAATATTTCAGAATTAGCAGCAACAAAATTAGCATTTCGAACAAAACTAAAAATATAAGAACAATGCATATGGGAAATAAAATTCAATTCAAAACTCAAAATAGTAGCTTTGCGCACAAATAGGATCAGGAAACATTTATATTTTATAAATGACTATATCTTCAGAGTTTGACGCGCTTTGAAAACTCCACGGCGTTTGATACGAACATTTACTTTACTTGAGCGTTTATCATTCAGATACGATCAAATGTAAAATGCAAATAAATTCTGTAAAAATATACGATTATTATTCAATATAAGAATCGTGCAATTAATTTCAAAATTATTCACATTAATAACCTGTACAAGTAAAATTTTGTGTGATTCTGTTTAGAAAAATATTTTTAGCCTCATATCGGACGATATAATTAAGACTATGTATAAACCGATGGAACTTTCATTGAAGGATGCAGTTCAATATTTTCTATTTTCTAAAACTAATAAACTATTTGCCATAACGTTTTCATTTTTGAGATAGAGTTTGTAACACATAACATAAACGTGGACTAAGGCCACGCTGGACGGTCAGGGGTGCATGAACATAGCAGCGCTCATGCGTAGATAAAAACATATGATAAAATCATGTTTTCATTATTAAAATTAATTTAAACCAACCAATTCACTTTAAAAAGAATCAAAAGATGATCTTCGTGTGGTTTCTACTGCTGGTCATAATATCTTCAATATATTTTCCAAAATTTAACACACGTTCATTAATAAGTAACTTCTTTACTTCTGAGAAATTTCTCTCATTTAATCATATAAGTTATATAAATAAATTACTTTTAGAGAAGAATGTAAAATTTTCTCTTGTAATGAGCAGTGTAAATGGAACCTAAATTATTGGTAGAAATTTGGCTATTCAAATACATGGGATATTTACATCATATATTCATGTTTGGTTTGAACAAGTTGTCTAGAAGAAAAAAATATCCACCTAATTGAGCAAGGGTAATATCCATAAGTTACATTGAAATCCGCCTGCCGTCCCGAGCAAGTTATAATCGAAACAAAAAGGATACGAGTAATTAGAGGCAATTAATGACCTGACCTTCGCTTTGTTGAGTTAATGAGTTCGTTTTGCGAATTTCGTTGTGAACTCAAATTTTTGTAATTGAATTTTTTGAGTTGAGCCAGTGAGTTTTACTTTGAACTATAATCTTAACTAATAAATTTCACGAGTTTGGTCTGTGAGTTTTATTTTGGACAAAATCTTAACGATTAACTTTCGTTAGTTAGGCCCATGAACTTACTATAGTACTTAAATTTTTGCTTTTAAATTTCGTGAATTAGGTCGGTGACTAAAGTTCATAGTCACAGTATAGATCATGGTCATAGTATAAATCATAGTCATAGTACAGGTCACAGTCGTAGTATAAGTCATAGTCATAGTATAGGTTCTAGTCATAGTATAGGTCATGGTCATAGTATAAGTCATAGTCATAGTACAGGTCACAGTTATAGTACAGGTCATTATCATAGTACAGGTCATAGTCATAGTACAGGTCATAGTCATAGTATAGGTCATAGTCATAGTATGAATCATAGTCATAGTACACGTTATAGTCATAGCACAGGTCATAGTCATAGTTTAGGTCATAGTCATAGTACAGGACATAGTCATAGTATAGGTCATAGTCATAGTATAGGTCATAGTCATAGTATAGGTCATAGTCATAGTATAAATCATAGTCATAGTACACGTTATAGTCATAGCACAGGTCATAGTCATACTACAGGTCATAGCCACAGTACAGGTAATAGTCATAGTACAGGTCATAGTCATAGTACAGGTCATAGCCATAGTATAGGTCATAGTCATAGTATAGGTCATAGTCATAGTATAGGTCATAGTCATGCTACAGGTCATAGTCATAGTACAGGTCATAGTCATAGTACAGGTAATAGTCATAGTACGGGTCATATTCATAGTACAGGTCATAGCCATAGTATAGGTCATAGTCATAGTTCAGGTCATAGTCATAGTACAGGTCATAGTATATTAGTACTATAGGTCATAGTCATTGTACAGGTCATAGTCATAGTACACGTTATAGTCTCATAGGCCATGGCATAGTTCTATGAATTTAGCACAGCATAAATTTCGTCGCATTTGTGAGTTTAAAATAAGACTCAAATTTTGAAAAATAACGCCACGTTGTACAGCAGACGAGCGTGCAGACGAGCTCTACGTTAGACACGCAACCGAGGCAGACACTCAAACAAATGAGGCTGAACCTTGAATGATAATAATGCATGCTGGGAAAATTTATATATTTTAATCTAATATTCAATCTTAAAATAATTAAATAATGTCAATACTCTGTTGTAATTCTGAGTCTTTTAAATTCGACTGTTCTTGTAAAATATTATTTTATTCAAATATTCAATCTTAATATAATTAAATAATGTCATGACTCGGTTGTAGTTCTGAGTCTTTTTAATTCGACTGTTCTCGTAAGATTCGCAAATAGAAACTTGTTAAAAAAATTATCCTGAGTATCTCACTGCGTTCAAAATATCAGCTTTTTCAGGAATAAAACGGAACTAAGATCGGAAAATTTTTGTATCTCTATTTAAAAACTCGGTCAAAATTAATGTCTTTTGATTTTATAGCCTATAGCTTTTTGATGGTAATAAAAGTAGTACTACTTTAATAAGTTTGAAATTTACTTCCGATGCGTGTTAGTGACAAGATGTAGATGGATGTCATGGATGTGATGGATGTCAACGTTACGGAGCGCTTTACAGAGAACGAGTTTGTGTATCTGTCTGAAATATTCCTTCTTTTTAACACGTTTTTCTTAGCTTAGCTTCGCGTTTGTTTGTTTGTTGTTAACATTGAGAACGAAAATTAGCCCACTTCTGATTGTTCTAGAGATCTGAAATTCAGCATGCAGGCTATTTTCGCCTAACAATTTCAGATACAATCATAAAAACTAGTAATTAGAGACCAGTGTTGTGTGCTTTTCGCTTTAATCATAAATCTGCCCGACACACGTTTTTTTGGGGCGAACCATAATTTATTTTCTACTTTTTAGTCCACAAGAAAAACGTGTTTTTTTTAAAGTTTTTTTAAGTATTTTATTATTTAATTCATAACAGATGTATTGACTTTTATCTTTATTATCATATTATACATTATAATTATAGCGTATTGAAATTTTTTTTAATAAGTTCCGTAACGCCCTATCGACGCTTTGAATTAAATTATCCTAATCTGATCCAAAAAATAATCAACATAAAATAAATTTACAGCAATTACACAACTATTTTGAGTCATCAGGCGCAATATTTTTTACTGTGTTGAAATTTATTTTATTAAAAGGTCCATCTAATTTTTCAACTCGTAGTTCACATATCTGAACACCTCGAAGCCCTGTAACAATCACAATATAGAGACTTATTCAGTAATTCTGAAACTAAAAACTCTTTTAAATAATAAATCATTTTACATGTTTGGAACATTGAGTTTCTATAAGATCTATTGTCGGTGACTCGAAAATTTTTTGAACACGCTTGTGCTCTTATTCCAATATATTGTTCAAAATTCTGTGGGCGTTCGTACTATTTTATGCTAATTTCATACGTGTTTGCAATAATAATTTATTATTAATATTTCGAACTCACCATGATGGCACGATGTGATGAACAGGATGGATGCTTATGCCTCGCAGGTCTCAACGATGCTGTACGAGCAAAGACTGGCGCTCTGCGACCCTCGTCTACCTTTATATAGGCGCCGCGAGGGGAGATAGAGGGGGATGTATGGGGAAGAGGGAGTGGGAGTGGGTGGGAGAAGAGGAGTGAATGGGAGAAGAGGTGTGAGTGGGAGAAGAGGAGTGAGTGGGAGAAGAGGAGTGAGTGGGAGAAGAGGGGTGAGTGGGAGAAGAGGAGTGAGTGGGAGAGGAGGAGTGAGTGGGAGAAGAGTGAGTGGAAGAAGAGGGGTGAGTGGGAGAAGAGGGGTGAGTGGGAGAATAGGAGTGAGTGGGAGAAGAGGGGTGAGTGGGAGAAGAGGGGTGAGTGGGAGAAGAGGTGTGAGTGGGAGAAGAGGAGTGAGTGGGAGAAGAGGAGTGAGTGGGAGAGGAGGAGTGAGTGGGAGAAGAGGAGGGATTGAGAGAAGAGGAGTGAGTGGGAGAAGAGGAGTGAGTGGGAGAAGAGGAGTGATTGAGAGAAGAGGAGTGAATGGGAGAAGCTGAGTGAGTGGGAGAAGAGGAATGAGTGGGAGAAGAGGAGTGAATGGGAGATGAGGAGTGAGTGGGATAAGAGGAGTGAGTGGGAGAAGAGGAGTGATTGAGTGAGTATAATTGGATTAAGGGAGTGAGTGAGAGAAGGAAAAAATTTTAGAGTTTGAGGAGTGATCGAAGCTGTGTTGAAAAAGAGTGTTGAAGGTCGCATGAGAGGTGGCATTGATATGCGAGAACAGGAGTCTTAGAGTGGAAAGGAGTTTTAAGAGATTATTTCGTTTCCAGGCAAAGGGGTTAGTGAGAGGGCAGGAGTGGGTGAGAGATTGAGTGCTGGAAAGTGCCGTATTGGCCAGAAGAAAAAGTGAGGTAGAAGCGGTAGAGGGACGTAGGAGTGTATAATATATACATTAGAGGAGATAAGTAGAGAAAATATATAAAATAGGATAGTACATATGTACTACCGTGGTCGAGTATATTAAAACACCCACTGGAACTGGTTTAGATGTACAGTATGGCGTTGTCAGCTTTTTTACAACACTTCTCTTTAACTTCACTTCTTGTTTGTTTGTCTGCTACAAATCTTGTAATCAAAATTTAATACACTTCTACTTATCCTATCGATCTGAAATTTTGCCCACTTGTGTAAAGTTGGAGACAATGCATGAATCAAATGTCAAAATAAATGATTTTAGAAATTAAAAAAAAATTTTTTTCAATATTAATAAAAAAATGAAAAAATAATTTTGTCAGTTACAAATCTTATAACTGATATTTGACACACTTTTACCTGCCTAATTGATCTGAAATTTTGCACACTTGTGTGAAGTCAGAGGCAATGCATGAATCAATTAACAGAATAAATAATTTTGAAAAAATTATATATTAAAAAATTTATATATTAAAAAAAATTGAAAAACTAAATTTTTAATTTGAAAATTAAATGAGAAATTCGTTGTACATTTGTGAGATTGGAGACACTGGATTCTTTGGAAGTGTTGTCTTTAAAAATTAATTTTTAAACGCATATTATTTAGGCTATGTTGGCTTCTTGTCCTCTATTAAACACCCGGCCACCTTACCGATTCTGATTAGAATTGTCATAACTAATTCCGGGTTTCAAACCCCCAACTCGCTTATCCAGCCTTGGTTATCCTATCTATTCTCGACCACACAGAGCCGAAGAAAAAAATACATGAGAGCTAGGAAAATGGATATGGTGGCAGGATTGTGGTAGCATATAACCATATTACTATGAGCCATATATCGGATTTAAAATCCTGTCAAAACAAACGATAAGGTCATGAATATACTTACTAAAGTCTAAGTATTATTATTTATTATTATTATTGAGTATTATTATTATTATTTATTATTTAAAGTACACAGGTTTATTTTACAAAACATTATCGCTGTGTCGTTAACGTCCATTAACTATCGTCACGACTTCGTTTTGAAAGGCATGTAATTTTTTAATATGAACTAGAAATATGGAATGACGCAAAAAAGGCAAATATTGGAAAAGTTCCCTCGATGTAATTTTATTTTCGCACCTAATTAACGTTAAATAGTAACCTAATTACTTTAATTTTTAGTAATAATGCAGCCAAATTTACTGCTGAAGCTAAATGAACAACTTTAATATTTATTGCAGGAAGTGAAAACTTGTATTAGATGGTAATTTATTTCACAAATAACAATTCTTCGAGACACATCATTGAATAAAAACTGTATTTCACGAGACAGCTAATAATTGTATATATCACATGAATACAATTAGCTTATAATTGCATATATATCGCACAAATACAACTAGTTAATAATTGCATATATCGCACAAATACAATTAGCCACTAATTGCATGTATCACACCAATACAACTTTAAAGTCTTCAGAATGTTCTCGATCAAGCAATTTATTCTATTTGAACTACAATGAATGTCAATATTATTTATTACCACAAGATGGTAACATCATTCGAAACATGTACATATGTCATCATTGCCACGCGCGAAATGATTTAAATTATTGACGCAACCAAGGATCTAATGAACATCATCGGCATAGAAGGATAAATTGATATCAAGCAGGATTATATTTGTTAATTTATACTATTATATTACTATAATTATTGTTTATTTTACTTATTTAATTTTAGATCAGTGCGAGACAAAAAGAAAAATTAATAAACCTGCGAATTCGAAAAAAATAGAACGTATTCCTAAAAGCAGAAGAGAATTATGACAGTCCAGCATATTCAGTATGCTTGACTGAATATACAGTAATATACAGAAATACATTATTAATAATATACAGTAATATACATTATTGTGTATACAAATATATAGTGTATTCTTTTGACCTGCCAGTGCCAGCAAGATAATTCCTTCGACTCATCGAGAAAACAAGCAAGAAAATTGTTAATAGAAATCATGCAGACTTCGATCAGACGTGCGTACAGACAAACTTTTACTTAACTATACTAACTTTATAATATACATAATATTTTAAATCGTTGTTAAGTTATTTCTAGTCGCATTCACGACGACGCTGACACGACTTGCGCCTGTACTTGGTCTTGCTGTTGAAATTACACAGTTGCTTTGAAGGCGTCTCGTCGAGCAGCTTGTTCTTGGACCTGCCCGATGGAATTAAACAGTTGTTTTGAAGGCACCTCGTCGAGCAGCTTGTTCTTGGTCTTGCTGTTGAAATTACACAGTTGCTTTGAAGGCGCCTCGTCGAGCAGCTTGTTCTTGGACCTGCCCGATGGAATTACACAGTTTTTTTGAAGGTGCCTCATCGAGCAGCTTGTTCTTGGATCTGTCCGATGGAATTTTCAGTTGTTTTGAAGGCGCCTCGTCGAGCAGCTTGTTCTTGGACTTGCCCAATGTAATTACATAGTTGTTTTGTAGGCGCCTCGTCGAGCAGCTTGTTCTTGGACCTGCCCGATGGAATTACACAGTTGTTTTGAAGGCGCCTCGTCGAGCAGCTTGTTCTTGGACCTGCCCGATGGAATTACACAGTTGTTTTGAAGGCGTCTCGTCGAGCAGCTTGTTCTTGGACCTGCCCGATGGAATTACACAGTTGTTTTGAAGGCGTCTCGTCGAGCAGCTTGGAGTTGTCTGTCGTGATGGAGGTCTCGTAACATCGACGCGAGAAAAGCAAAATGCGGGATGAACGTGATACTGTCGTGAGTGCGCTGCAAGGTAAAATAATGTCACAAGATGATTTAGGAAAAATTTTATTAAACATTTTATAGTAATAAAATTTATTTTGCCGTGCAGCGTCGTGAGTGTGCTGCAAGGTAAAATACTGTCTAAAGATGGTTTAGGAAAACGTGTATTAAACATTTTATAGTAATAAAATTTATTTTGCCATGCAGCGTCTTGAGTGTGCTGCAAGGTAAAATAGTGTCGAAAGATGATTTAGGAAAACGTGTGTTAAACATTTTACAGTAATAGTTATGTCACTATATAGTAGTGCGTTATAGCAATAATTATGTTACTAACGTTAGCAACCTAAATCACTACATATCCTATGAGAACAGACGAAACAATTTCTATAATGAAAACCTGAACGGCTAAGATTCATATCATTCTAGTACATACCAAAAATCCCCAGCTGAAGCACATTAATTAAACAATGCTATGGTTTAATAATACCAATGGTTGTGAAACTATTTTCAAGACTTACCACAGTGAAGGATTTAAAGTCGAAAAACTGGTAGGAACGGCAGATTTCTAAGTATTTTTGATAATTTCTGAAGAACTCCTTCTTCATGGCGCGTAATATGTATGGATGTATCCTATAGGCCTTGGCGCCCATCAGTGTTTTTATCACCGTAATGGAAATAGTTTGGTGGGCAACATACATGTCGTATATGAAGACATCTTCTGAGAGGACTTTGGCCCCCTGGAAAAAAAACACGCATTTATGGTCAATATTAAAATTGAAAAAAAATAATTCTGTGCAGCCGCCGAGACTTTTTAGCGCATTTTCTCATTTAAGAAAAAATGCACTATTGTACTCGCCATTTCCGTCTGTCTGTCTGTCCGTCCGTGACTTCATGTTTTCGTCGACGAGAAAATGCGCTCACTGTCACTCACTGCAGTGAGTACTGAGTTATATTTTTTTGAGTAGTCTCGAAAATTCTGCGCTCTATTCATGCATATTCAACGCGCCGAGCAAAGTAAAAATTTTCAAGTTGATTGAATTCAAGTTACATTGATATTTTATGTTTATTACACGTTCTGATTGACGTCTTGAGTCCTGAACAATGTCAAGGAATATATTAGCGTCCTCATCGTACATGATTACGAGGTTTTATATACGTCACTTATACCTTGGAAGGGAAGGTGGTATATGTCACGTACCTTGAATGAGGGGTGGTGTATGTCACGTACCTTGGAAGGGAGGGTGGTATATGTCACGTACCTTGGATCGGAGGGTGGTATATGTCACGAACCTTGGATGGGAGGTGGTATATGTCACGTACCTTGGATGGGAGGTGGTATATGTCACGTACCTTGGATGAGAAGGTGGTATATGTCACGTACCTTGGATGACAAGGTGGTATATGTCACGTACCTTGGATGGGAGGTGGTATATGTCACGTACCTTGGATGAGAAGGTGGTATATGTCACGTACCTTGGATGACAAGGTGGTATATGTCACGTACCTTGGATGACAAGGTGGTATATGTCACGTACCTTGGATGGGAGGGTGGTATATGTCATGTACCTTGGATGAGAGGGTGGTATATGTCACGTACTTTGGATGACAAGGTGGTATATGTCACGTACCTTGGATGGGAGGTGGTATATGTCACGTACCTTGGATGGGAGGTGGTATATGTCACGTACCTTAGATGGGAAGGCGGTATATGTCACGTACCTTGGATGAGAGGGTGGTATATGTCACGTACCTTGGATGACAAGGTGGTATATGTCACGTACCTTGGATGGGAGGGTGGTATATGTCACGTACCTTGAAAGGGAGGGTGGTATATGTCACGTACCTTGAATGGTAAGTTGGTATATGTCACGGACCTGGAATGAAGGGTGGTATATGTCACGTACCTGGACTACGTAACGCACTTTTTACACGTAATAACGTACCTCTGATGGCTTAGGGTCGAACAACAGGACATTGTCAGTGAGGATGGTCTGGATGGACAGCAGCAGCGACGTCAGGGAGTGGGCCGACGACCATTTGTGATCAGAGCAGGTGCTGCGATAATCGTAAGATTAAATTGCTGCGATTATCGTAAGATTAAATTGCTGCGATAATCGTAAGATTAAATTGCTGAGCGATTATCGTAAGATTAAATTGCTGCGATTATCGTAAGATTAAATTGCTGCGATTATCCGATTATCACAAGATTAAATGTGTTAAGGATTTAATTCTTTAATATAAATTCAAATTAAGAAGAAATTAAGAATTTGATATTTTAATTAATTGGAGAAGAATCTTAACATATGAACATTGCCATGGACCTGTACGGATTAGTACAGGTACTGCGATCATCGTATGATTTAATTAATAAAGATTAAATGAAATAATAAATATTTAACATATGGGTGATGGATCGAGTTACATAATGGTTTATGTTTCGAATTAATAGTATAACTTAACATGAGAATACTGCCACGGACCAAAAAAAATTGTTTGGCTGCTGTTTAGTCCACCTGTTGAAACTTTGTGCTATTTTAATAAGAGACATGACAATTTTTTTCGATTAAATATTCCGGCAAAAATAAGTTTTAATGAATACTAAAATTCAACTTGCAGTTCAAACACTTAAGAAAATTATCATAATTAAGATGATAGGCACCTTATGAATTTATTAGTTACAGATTTTACTATTTGATCACTCAACTCTTCACGAATAAGAACAACTCTATTGTTCCTAACCGAAATTACCGAGCAAGCCTGTTTAACCACATCGGATATGATACATCGGAACCTATTTTAGAATTTGATAATAATATTAAATTAAATCCAGCTACCCAGGATGAGAAAATTTACACTTTTTTTAATTGCACAAACTCCTAAACCGTAAACAAATTATTGCATAAGCAAAAGTTAGTACAGAGCCCTTCGATCAAAATATATTTAAGATCTTTATTCACTTTTTACACTCGGTGAGTAAATCCCGGCAATTGTTCAGTCGTTCTTGAGTAATTCAATGTTTTAGCTTAGTTATAGATGAGTAAATCTAAGCAGTTGTCAAATCTTACTTGAGCGAATCAATTATTAATCAATAATCAATTGTTATTAAGACTTCCTTGGCTTAATCAATGTGGTTGTTCAGACATATTTAAGTTAAACAGTTGTTCAGACATACATGTGTTAATCAATGTGGTTGATCTGACTTACTTGTGTTAATCAATGTGGTTGTTCTGACTTACTTGGGTTAATCAATGTGGTTGTTCTGACTTACTTGGATTGATCAATGTGGTTGTTCTGACTTACTGTACTTGTGTTAATCAATGTGGTTGTTCTGACTTACTTGGATTGATCAATGTGGTTGTTCTGACTTACTGTACTTGTGTTAATCAATGTGGTTGTTCTGACTTACTTGGATTGATCAATGTGGTTGTTCTGACTTACTGTACTTGTGTTAATCAATGTGGTTGTTCTGACTTACTTGGATTGATCAATGTGGTTGTTCTGACTTACTGTACTTGTGTTAATCAATGTGGTTGCTCTGACTTACCGTACTTGTGTTAATCAATGTGGTTACTCTGACTTACTTGTGTTAATCAATTGAGGTTGTTAAAACATATAGAAGCCAAGCAGTTGTTCAAACTTACTTGTGTATATCAATTTTGTTATTAAGACTCCCTTGGATTAATCAATGTGGTTGTTCAGACATATTTAAGCTAAACAGTTGTTCTGACTTACTTTGGTTGGTCAGTGTGGTTGCTAAAACATATTTAAGCTAAGCAGTTGTTCAAACTTACTTGAGTATATCAATTTTGTTATTAAGACTCCCTTGGATTAATCAATGTGGTTGTTCAGACATATTTAAGCTAAGCAGTTGTTCTGACTTACTTGGGTTAGTCAGTGTGGTTGTTAAACATATATAAGCTAAGCAGTTGTTCTGACTTACTTGAGTATATCTAAGCTGACGACGCCGTTGGTGTTGATGTGAGGATGTAGCTCAATTATTCTACCGTAGCGGTAGCTGGACAGGCAGCGAACTCGGGGAGGTTCAAAAGGATAGTCTGGCCCGTACCTGGCAGCACGAACAGGAAGTACAAATTGTAATTTAGATTATGTTCTCTCAGGAAGATGGTGGTAGAATGTGTGTTTAAAATATTCATCCTACTAGTATGATATGAAGAAAACGTTTCCTTCCAATTAAACATCTTTCCACTTCGGCAAGTTCCCCGCAATATCTAACAAATGTTCATGTTCCTGTTGCTCCCAAGAGATCAGCCACAAGTGTAGATAATTAATTACACGGTATTTTGCATGTTTCTCTTGGGAGGCCATTATACTTGCAATATCCTTGCAAATTACGCAATCTCCTTGCAAAGCAACGCTACTTGGAAATACTTAAAGTTATGCCTCTGTTATGCTTAAAGTTATGCTTCAAGTTCTATGAAGAAAGATTAAAGATCATGAAGCTTCCAAGCCTCAGTTATCGACGTCTGCGTAGGGACCTCATTGAAGTAAACATGTAAACTCATGGTTTATACAAGGTTCCCGAAGGATTACTAGAATCTGAAACAAGAACCAAGGGGCCACGGCTATAACTAAAAAAACTGCGACAACATTTCTTCTCGCTTCGAATCACCGACATGTGGAACAGCCTCCCTGATTACATCGTTGACGCTCCGAGTATGAACGCGTTCAAGAACAGACTAGATGAAGCTATGGAAAAATATATGTTCAGACTTGAAATGCACCAAATCGAACCCGGTGGATGTCTAGTAGTTATTTCAAACTATCGTCAGTCTTGAAAAGATCCGGTCAAATGAAACGATTTTAGATCTTCTGTGAACAAGTCACGAAAACTTCAAGAATCGGCAACAGGCCACACCAGGCCTACTCCTCAGCGCCGACATCACTATGTTATGTTATGTTATGCAGGGCCTCTTACCTGAGCCTTAATTTAATTAACAAAAAGTCTCTCACCTGAGCCTGAAGTTAATTAACAATTGAGGACTTACCACCTGAGCCTGAAGTTAATTAACAATTGAGGACTTAGCACCTGAGCCTGAAGTTAATTAACAAAGGACCTCCCACCTGAGCCTGAAGTTAATTAATAAAGGACTTCCCACCTGAGCCTGGAGTAAATTAACAAAGGACTTTCCACCTGAGCCTGAAGTTAATTAACAAAGGACTTTCCACCTGAGCCTGAAGTTAATTAACAAAGGACTTTCCACCTGAGCCTGAAGTCAATTAATAAAAGACCGCTCACCTGAACCTGAAGTTAATTAATAAAGGACATCCCACCTGAGCCTGAAGTTAATTAATAAAGGACCTCCCACCTGAGCCTGAAGTTAATTAATAAAGGACCTCCCACCTGAACCTGAAGCTAATTAACAAAGGACAACACACCTGAGCCTGAATGTAATTAATAAAAGACCGCTCACCTGATCCCGAAAATGAAAAATCCCCCCTCGTAGGGTGTGCTTGGAGGCCCCACAATCATGGCGTGTGTGTAGGTTATGTCAGTCTCTTCGGGCATCGCGTAGATACCGGGACACTTGTGCCGCCATAGTGCTGTGATGTCTCTGGTTAATGAAATAAAGTTATACGTTAGGTGCGAGCCTGTCGGCACTAGAAACCGTGGCCATCCTGGACATATTCTAAAGGGTTAATGTTTAACTTAAATTAACCCTACTCTGGCTTTATTCATGTACCTAAAATATAATTAAATTAGCCTACCACGGCTTCAACTAAGGAGCTGAATTATCATTTACATTAGCCGTGCAGGACTTCACATAAGGATCTCATGAATAACTGACACCTATGGACCTATATGGAGCAATAATAATAATAATAATAATAATAAGAATAATAATAATAATAATAATAATAATAATAATAATAATAATAATAATAATAATAATATCGGTTTCAGCGTTTAGTAGGCCGTAGGCCTGTCGCCGATTCTTAACATCGCAGAACATTCACAGCTTGTTGCGGTCTCGAACTCGCAACTCACTGCTTAATTCTGCTCTGCTTAACCGCCCGGCCTCCTCGCCAATTCTGACCAGAAAATGGCGCACAGAGCTGGTTTCGAACCCGCGCCTCTCTGCGCCAATCTTGGTACTCTGAACTGTAACCACTAGGCCACCCAATGGACCAATTGATCAACGAACTTGTGGACCGGTGGACCTTGGGACCTATGGTTCAATGCACTTACGGACCCATGGATTTATGGACCTATATAGGTACCTATGGACCAGTATTTTTTTGGACACATGGACTTATGGATCTATGAACCAATGGGCCTAGGGAACTTTGAACTAATCCACTAATGGAACTCGAGACCTATGGACAGAGCTGGGCAGCGCTACTTTGAAATGTAGCGGCCGCTACCGCTACATGCTCTAAATGTAGCGGGTGCTACCGCTACCGCTACACCCACAACATTGTAGCGCCGCTACCGCTACTGAAAATGTAGCTGCCGCTACATGTATCGCGCTACTGCCCACCTCTGCCTATATGGACCAATGAGCCTAATCCCCATCTTACACCCTGGCGCGGCGCAGAGCATGAGGGGCGTACTGCTGGCCGTCCCAACCCCGACTAAGGGGGGAAGACTTCATGAACATTGAGGAGTAATGAAGCATTTGTTCCTTACCTTACCTTATGACCTTATGATCTTATGATGAGTTTAGGACGTCGTAGTCCAAGGTCACGCTGATGCGCCGCCTTCGTCGTCCTCCGTCTCCGAGTCGTCGTCGGATGTAACGTTGGACGTGTTCCGTCTATTTGCCCTCATTTGGGCCAGCTGATGCAAGATGCTGTTGCTTGTCACTTGCTGAGGGTAGTTTCCCATTACTGGACAGTCCGNAGGGAGTTCCTAAGGTAGACAATTACTCCACCCTTCTTTCTCCCTTCTTTCCGGTCCGCGCGGTAGTGTTGGAATCCTTCCATTGTAATTTCTGCATCGAGGATATCTTTTCTTAGGTGCGACTCCGTTAGTGCAATCATAAAGATCCCACCCTCGTCGGCCATCTCACGCAGCACGCCAATCTTGTGACGCGCTCTCAGTGGGAAGAGCCCCCCGATGTTGGCCAGCAGAATGCCAGACTCTTCCCTTATTGGTGCGCTTACCTGCGTCTCCACCACTCTGCCTGGCGCCCCTGGCCCAGCAGCTCCTGCATCTGGTGTTGAATCATTTCCAGCTGATGCCTCATTTCTAAAAAAGCGCCGTAGGTAATCTCTGGCTCCCCACGTGCGTCCCTTTCCCATACGCTTGGGCCACTCCCTGGAGTAGCTAGGTCGCCACTCCCTGGAGTAGCTAGGTCGACGTGCCCACCTCTGCAACGTCATCATCAACGTCATCTTGAGCAGCATTATGACGATCCTGCACATTAAGTAAATCGTGGAATTAGCTATGTGATTAATGACCTCACTTATGCTGGATAGACCAAAGGTTAGGGAAACATGATCAGAGAATGACTTGTGGGTTCAAACTCCAGATTGTCATGAAAATTGTGATGTAATTAAAATTTGTAACATTTCTCTAAATCCTAAAAAATTACAGCAATCTCCGGCAAATAAAATCCTATAAACAACAACATCGAAACCATATCGTGAAAACCAAAACATCTTATGCATTTAATATGTATCGTTAATCCATATAGATTGAACGTTCAATACATGAAAGTTAATGCGCTGAAAGGGAATGCTCACAGTAATTCGTAGAGCGTTGTTCATGGTAGCTATGAATCCATCATCCATGGCGGGACCTGGAACATGTGCAACTAAATAGCCAATTAGAGGATACTTCCTACACTGAGAAAAATAATAGGTCATATTGTCCTAATAACGACGCACTTTCCCGCAGTTTTTCTGAGCCACAATATGGGTCAGGATGATCCACAAAAGGGTAAGAAATACGGCGCTATTTAGACAATGCCTCATTCATTTCTTCAAGTGTGCTTTAATATTATCACGTGCTATTAGTGTGTAACAATTCTAGAATTTATACAATTTAGAAAAGATACCTCCAGAATGAAGAAAATTAGGCAAGTATCATTATTGACGTGATTTAACAACGAACTTACGCTGCTATGAGGTCAGGCTCATGGTCAGGCTGGTCAGCCGTCGAGAGTTTAGCTGTGCTAAATTAGTCGTGCCTAAATAACAACGCTCGTCCGTGGGACATAGTTGTAAAAGTATCAATAACCAAATTAATTAATAGACTTGATAATTCAGTTGATTTATTAAAATACGTAGAAAGTAAGTTGCACGTAGATCTGTCAAAGGAAATGATAATACGTCTCGGGTCACTCCACCAAAAAATTAAGTCTACCATGAAATTACAAGAATATTTTGAATGGATCATCCACAAAAAATGGAGAAGGCGTGCAAAAAAATTAATTTGATTGAACCTCATAGTTATAATTACCGTCAAATGCAAGATAATATTAAGCAAATTGTTATTAAAATGCGAGGATTATTGAATCATAAAAACAAAATAATGTTGATAAAATTGTGATCAAATTCCGTGGTTAATTCAAGTCATAAGCAAAATAATGTAAAAAAATGGTATTCAACTACAAAGAAAACCTACGATGTGAAACACTATCACGTCGGCTGAAATTAAACATTTGACTCACTTTATGAACTGAGCAAGTCCAGGACGATGCGATCGCAAGATGCTCACATAGCCTCAGGTCAACTGTAAGTGAACCGTAGGCCCAAAATTGAGGTTGTGTACAGTTTACACACGAAAACGAAGGAATAACCTGGGTCCAGATCTCGACTGATATGCGTTAAAAGCGAGCTACTATTTCGTCCTTAGGCCTAACTTAGGCTAGCGACATATGATGCAGGTTTTCATAAAATTTATGCGTTTACGGTTATAAAGCGTTCATAATTACATGTTAATTTTAAATCTGGCCAGGATATTGAAATTTGAAAACATGAGAGCATAAATTGGGTTTGGCCAAATAGGTTAATTATCTTGAAAGTAATCGAATAACTGAAAGATTCAAATAAACCTCCACTTTAGTTAGAAAAACTTATTCAATTCGAACGTATCCTATGCAATATAATGAGCTCTGACCTCTAATATTCTAAATCAACATGAGTCATTGAGAACATGGGACGCCACGTGGAACTTCATTCGAAGACTTAGGTAAGAGATTCATTTATCAGTGGCACGTTATCACTATTCCGGCACACCTTATTTCCTGCCGAAAAAGCACCTGGTCGGGCTTAATATGCAAATCAGCTGTAACTTGGTGTTCGGAAAAAGTCCTGATTAGTAAAATTTGATATAATTCTTGCTTAAAGAATAAGCTGCTGGTGGATTGTAGCTTTCTTGTTTGCCTGCTGATGTAGGAAACGAAATAAAGCCCGTGCCGCTACCGAAGATACAAGACAAACTACATAAACTTAAAATAAATGATAAAATAAACTATGGGCCCGTCGAAAATCACTGAGCATTTGCCCTTTTCCCAAGGAAATAAATTTATCAGAACTTTACCCCAAGGCGAAATCCTAAGCACGACTTTTTCATATCCAATTACATTAAGGAACAAATAATGAAAAAATATAACTCAGTATTCACTGCATGCAGTGAGTGACAGAGAGCGCATTTTCTCGTCCGCCCGTCCGCAAAGTCACGGACAGACATGCGCTAAAGATACAAGACCGTTAATTAAAAAACTGCAACAGTGTTATTTTTACCACGTAAACTATTTTGTAGTCAAACATCGCTTGCATTTAACAGAAGAATTCAAAAACATGTTTTTTGATGAGAAATGCTAAACAAACTAACTAAATATTGTAAATTGCTCGTCATAAATCATGAATTTTTTATGATTTATGACACATTAAAAATCATAAATTTACGACGAAATCATAAATTTCTTAGAACGAACGGATATGTTTTTAAACAAAACGAAGTTGCCGGCACCCAGCACTTTGGGCCGTAGATCTGTGAAGACTCCGATTGGTGTATCATGCAATTGAATTTAATGTTTCCATTTATATCTCATTGACATAGAAAAAACATGAACAGTAAAGTTTAGATATAGGGACCGTTGATACAATGGATATTTGAGCCGCAGCTCCACCGAATTCGGCAGCTGTGGCCAAATTCCGTCCCAATAAAAATATTTGGGTTCCACCAATCTTAATAATAATATAATATAATAATATAGCGGTTTCAGCGTTATTAGGCCGTAGGCCTGTCGCCGATTCTTAACATCGCAGAACATTCACAGCATTTTGCGGTCTCGAACTCGCAACTCGCTGCTACAATTCTGCTGTGCTTAACCGCCCGGCCTCCTCGCCGATTCTGACCAGAAACTGGCGCACAGAGCTGGGATCGAATCCGCGCCTCTCTGCGCCAATCTTGGTACTCTGAACTTTAACCACTGGGCCACCCTGCCCAGTGGTTATAATATAATATATGCATAATATAATATATAATAATATATGCAATAATATACAATATAGATGATTCCTGAGTCCCTATCTCCATCTTTTCATTCGGGGACCAATCGGCGAGATAGCCAATCGCTTAAAATCATTTTAATTGTGAATTGGGAACCTGCAGCTATCTGTGAATATTCTGCTGAGTCGAAAATTACAGGAGCGCGGCCGCGAGACCGGCCGTGAGACAGGCCGCGTTTTTGTCCGAGACGTAAAATTACTGATAGGTCCTAAAAACTGAAGCCACTATATTTACTTAGATAACAAACATCTCGACACAACAGTCATTCCTAGTCACGACCTCAAATATCATCGAAATATTCAAAAAGCTACGATTCAAAAAATCTAGAATATGAAATAAAAAATTAAATAAATCTAACAATCTAGACTTTACAATAAAATTCGTTCTCATGGCAAGATTCTTCGCGAGCATATTAATTACCAGTACATGCTTATATCTTCGTTTACCGTTATTACCATGGAAGAGGAGTTTGTAAGGCGATATGTCAGAATAATTCCTATCGCGGTAATGAAACTCGTATGCAAGTCAAATGTATTATTTCGTTAATACTTAGTAAGTCTGTGGAAGAGTGTATCTTTAAGGTCTTCTGCCTTTATCACCATCCAGGTGAAAATACTTCCCATTCAGAAAATGTTGAAATTAAATCATTGTTCAGTAATCAAAATGAACAAAGACTGAAAGAGTGAAAGACAGTACTCCATAATTAACGTTAAGTCGTGGAAATATTCAAATATTGTCTCAATTCGTTTAATCCATTACAAGTGTTTAATCGGATCAAAGTTTTAGGGAAAGGCTCGTCATGCTTCAAAATTATTTTGAGTTGTTAACTTATTATTCATGATAGGATAACTATGGACGAGGGATAACAAGACGAGGGAATCTGTAAACGTTGCAACGAGCCAACGACATTGGCTCAGTGGTTTGACAGCTTCCTTTTTTTCCCGCTGGCGTTACCGCCACGAAGCTTCCACTTCCATTGAGGCGGCCATGCGTTTGAACTCCTAGACAGAATAGGTATCTGTCACGGTAAAGTAGCAAGAGTGTGTGTGCCTAAACATGGCTATTGATTCAATGATTCTTCATAACTTGAATTGCAATGTTTTGACCGTCAATTGGACGAAACCTACCGGGAGCTCTACCGGGAGCAGATATTCTCCAAAGGGTAACTTTCTCAACGCCTGCTGTGCAAAGTTTAAATCTATCCAAATCTCATTCATTCGATACCACAATCAAATTTTTCGGTCTGGAGGAATTTTGAAGAATGCGCACCGGTATCTAAGTAGATTTTTACACTTTTAATTGTCATGACCAAAGATAACTTAAAAAAATTTTTCGAGACTGGAGAGTCTATAATACCTACCTAATTAGATTCGATAGGTACTTTTTTTCTCGTTGATTTCTTATAATTTTGACATTAGGTCCGATTAGGAATACCCGAAGTCAAACTCCCATTACCTAATCAATAATCATAATCATTATCGAATGATAGCGACTGTCGAGTGTTGACTGTTGAGTACAAAAAAATTGACATTAAGTGATTAGGCTAACTGGTAGTTACATTTCACTTTCAGTATGAGCAATGGCCATTGCCAATTTGCCATTTGACGATTGGTGGTAGCCTGGTAGGTAGGTAGTACTGAAGAGTGAGCCTGTGAGGAGGTTTGTAGCCTTAAATAATTTCTTACCCAGGGTACTGACTAAAACCCGGACCCGGACCGGTCCGCCGGACCCGGACCGAGTGACTTTGCGGTACTGACTAAAACCCGGACCCGGACCGGTCCGCCGGACCCGGACCGAGTGACTAAAACCCGGACCCGGACCGGTCCGGCGGACCAGGTTCAAAAAAATAAAAGGCTGCAAATCATCTGAAACGTCGAGAAAACTTTTAATTTCACATATAAAATTTTTATATTTACTTAGAAAAATTTCGTCACACCAACATATTCGGGTCACAGAAAAGTTCATTTCTCGATCAAACTAATCGATAGAGAATCTTCTGAAACGTCCAGAAAACATAAAAAGTTGGTATCGAATTTTCGAAAATTTACTTAGAAAAATTTCGCTTCAGGTCCGGGAAGATTTTGTACCTACCATCTCATGCCACACCTCGATAACACTTTGATATTTTCACGACAGATTCCGAAACTTCATCTAAATCCTCAGCCTTCGAAGTTCAGATACGCTCACCAGAAAAGAGCGATAGTAGCAGTCTGCCCAGTGAGTATTATGTGTAATTAGTTAATATCTCAAAATGAAGACATTACGGTAATTCTATTGTACGAGAATTGCTATTGGCCCGGCGGAATGATATCGCATTTTATAATTCATAGAATATAACCATTGCAATGTTCGCTTTGTATAGTCACTCTTATAGTCCGAATAAATGTGATTCAGCTTTCACAAATTAAACTTACCTAGATCAGTGATTGTATTTCATCTAGTGCATAAGATGTCAGAACAAGCTGAATTATGTTGTGAAAATACTTACGTAGATTGAATTAGGAAAACACTTATATCATCTTGATATCATCAACTGCTAGTTTTTAATTTTACAGAAGTACACTGTATAAACGCAGCCGATCTTATGAATTATTACGAAATGTGAGCACAGCAATCTGCCTATAGTTGCCTCAAAAAGCGTTTGTTTCCCTTATTTGATACACATTGTTTTCAGAAAATTTTCCATTGGCCATGATTGTTTGATTATTCTTAAAACCATTGTATACACTAATATTTTTCAATAAATCCTTCCTAACAGATAAAGCGGGCCTGATAGCAAACACAAAGGAACCGCTGCATATCGATCAAATTATAGAATATATAGCAAATGCCCAAGTGAGCGCGGCTTCGGAATGGCCACACTTCAGCCCCAAGAATGGAGATGCCTTTCTCTTCAGAGGTGTGGAGGAAAAATCCAAAGATTTCGTTTCTGATGGCATGCGGTGGATAAACCAAGGAATAAAAGTACTCCCGAAGCGTGAACCGAAAATTAGGAAGAGGTATTATCAGCGACTTATTAAGGGGAAAAAAGTGAAATTTTGCAGGTATTCACACGAATTGCTGGGCGATGAGCGAGGTTATGTGCTTATTCACTACCTTGGTAAAGACGACTTTGGCGCCCATGAGATGCCGCATGGTAATACGAGAAAGAAATGCGAGCGAGAATTCTTTCGTACGACACCCTCAACTTTGAAGAAAATGAGAAAGGAAGCCGACGCTTCAAGCGTAATTTATAAGAAAATGGTTGCAAGTTCTGCGGCGGTGCCCATTGCAAACTTGAATGTCGTTGCACCTCGAAACATGAAACAAGTGGCGAATCAAAAATACCACGAAAAGCAATCAAAAAAAATTGACAAGTGTGAAATTTATTCCATCGTTGAAATGAATGAAGAATTAAATTTTTTTGTTACCGATTTGAAAATTGTTCCTAGCTGCTCCATTGTAACCGCCAACAAAGAGACAATTTCCCAGTTCAAACGTCAATTTTCTCCGAAGGAAATCAATATACTTTCATATGACACAACATACAACATGGGCAATTTCTACGTCTCTCCTCTAATCGCCCGTAACTGTCACTTTGATGGGGAGCCTGCTTTCATTATCGGCACTCTCATCCATGCACTGCGTGACACGGAGTCACATGAATTATTTCTTTCGCCGTCTAGTGAGCTTGTTGCCTAAAATTAACAGCCCTGCTACTGTCATCGTGACAGACCGTGAAAAGGGGATTAGAAATGCCATTAAAAATGTCATCCCCGATTGTCACAACCTTTTATGCTGGAACCATATAATAAAGGATGTGGAACATTGGGTAAAAAAACACAAAGGCAGCAAAGAAGACGAGAAATGTTACACAGCATACATTCGAGAACTTTTGAAGTGTACATCTACAGTCGAATTCGAGACTGTGTTGGCACAATCGTCCCTGGAATGGTCTCAACCATTTTCAAGTTACTTCAATAATAACTTAAAAGCTGACGTAGAATCAAATATTCAAGGAGCCCGAGAACTACTTGGCATTGCTCAATCAATCACAACAAATGTCTCTGAAGGCGTCAACACCGTTTTAAAACGGTTCAACCAGTGGGAAGAAAAATCTATGGACGCTATGGTTCTGGCTCTCTTCCATTTGACGAACTACTTCCACATGGAAATGGAGCGCGGATACGCTAATTTGGGCGAATGGCACCTAAAAGAGAAGCACAGGGATAAAGCAAAAAAGAAAAAGGACTTAAAATTCCCCTTATCAATTCGCGATCCCTCAAAAATTGTGGATGAAATCCAAAGTAAAAAATTAACGAATTTCCCTAAAACAAAATCTCCAGAAAACTTGAGAACAAAGGAAGCCCGTGCAATCCATCTTGCTGATTTAGGCCGAGTAAATCTGGAGTCCAAGACCGGAACGTTTATTGTGCACGGTTACAATGATGTTCCTAATGCAGTCAATCTGAAAAAATGTTTATGTTCATGTAAAGGAGGTAAGAACTGCGTTCATATTTTGGCTGCTTCATATGCTGCTAGAATCAAGGCTCCCAATGTCACTCGGCCGCAGTTCTCGCTGTCTGATCTCTCCAGAAAAATGCACGGCAAAAAGAAGAGAGGGAAAAAGGGACCGCTAACAAGAGAGGAAATGGACATCACACCAGCCCCAGATTCCTTCCTGAACACATTCAACGCATCACAGCCTGAGACCGAAGCTGAAAATAATGACCGTTCTTCCAGTCAGTTGCAATTATCACCAATAAAAAACACCAGTACCCCCTATCAAAAGAAAAGGGATCGAAAAGGCGAGCCAGTCAAAATAGAATCTTTCAAAGAAAATGTGCTTCATTCAGATGTTGCAAACCCCCACTTCTGTCATCCAGCAGAAACATGCAAAGGAACAGATGGCATCAATATAGGCAAGTTCAAATTAACTGCTCGAAATTTTGCAACATTGGATCCCAACGAATGGCTCGACGATATGGTCGTAAATTCTTTTCTGTTTTTACAATCGAAAAACCCATTCATACACAGAAATTTTGTTAAATTGATAGCTCTCGATTCACTGTTTTTCACGGCTCTTGAAATTCACGGTCCTGGGAGTGAGACCATGCTTCAGAGAGGAGTAAACCTCCGCCTCCTAAAGTACGACATTTGGCTCATTCCCATCATCAAACATCAACATTGGATGCTCCTGGTTGTCGACTTAACTAAGCGGTTCATCTTGTTGCTAGACAGTTTGCAAACCAGGTCTGAGAAGCCCATACAAGAAATGGCATTATTTTTGGCTGGATTACATGAGGCTCATTCCCACCACAGATTCGACTTGAACGTCTGGAGAGGCTATAAGCCTGATGACTTGCCTCGCCAATCTAATAGTGACGACTGACGACTGCGGTGTGTACGTCTGCGAATATGGCAGAATCATTTGCAGTGGCAGAGGAAATCTACTGGTGGACACTGAACGATGCAGAAACAAAATTAGAAGAGCTGGAGAATGCTAAAGACCAAGTATTTGACCACAAAGAGGAACGATCAAACCGAAAAGTGCATAAGTCTTTTAAAGGCAACGGCAAAGTTGTCGTGAGTAGAACACCTCCAGGGTCTTTCAGCTGTACGCTTATGTACCTACAAATAGCCGTCAGCTCGGCACACGGTACATCGTTTTTGAAGTGCGCTCTGGACGAGTGCATCAATCCCAAAAAAGACGATCAAAACATGATCAATTGTGACAGTTGTCGCAAATGGTATCACCATGTGTGTATAAACATGTCGCCTATTTTGATAAAAATGACGAAAGCATCTCTTACTTTTGTCCATCGTGCGTTTAAATAATTTGTCACCTATAATCAACCCGACCAATGAAAAATGTATATATTTGCCTATTCTGTGACTTAGGACATGGCCGCACCATTAAACAGTTCAAATTATTTTTTGTAACATAACAAATGAATGAATTTCGGAAAGGTAATTTACATGCGCCTTATGGCCTTAATAAATATTTATCATTGTTCAAATTATGTTTCTAATTTTTATTCGTTAATTATTCCATAATAGCAATAAGCCCTGAATCGAACGCCGTGGATGTCTCCGGACACCCACCAATCAGCCGTGAACCACTCTGCTTTGTCTTCCTCCAGCCTCGTATAGAACCTGCCGTGCACTACCAGGCCGCGCATCGAATCTGACTTCCGGGCATCGTTAAATTACGTAATTTTACGTTCATCGCATCTGAGGTTAGGTTTCAGATAGCATAGTTCTGTTCCAAAATTTATCGTCCTTCGACATGTGGCCGTTCGACCGAGGGCTGGTTCGACCCACTGCCTAGATACGGACGGCTTGAAGTGTTGAAGGCTACGTTCCGGAAGGCAGGAATCATGATGGTCCATTACATCCAGGGCGTGGTGGTCTTCGGCAGGCGACCCCGTTCGATGCACGGCAGTTGTAGTCTTCGACGCAGGCGTCCCAAAACTCACTAAGTAGCGTAGCGGCCCAAATACACGTAGCAGCCGGTTTCATGTTGTTGATTGGCGTTTTTAGAGCAGTCAGTGAGTGGATGAAGGAGTTAAGAGCTCGTAACAATTTTATCATTAAAGCTCCTGGGCATCCTTGATTGCGTCTGAAATATTCCTGTTACATGTTCTATTGTAGATTGGACCGTCAAAAGTTGAAAGGAAATTAGGTAACCGAATATTTTTGGCGTGGTTGCCCACACCAAGCATGGATGGGCCACGGTGGGACATCAAGTGTGGTTGGTCCTCAGATGTGGAATGACCCCCACTACAGCCAGCACACCCATCGTGTGACGGGCCTCACAACCATGGCGTGATGTGCCTCCAGGTATGGTTTTCGCCAAGGGATAGTTGGCTGCCTAATGTGGTTAACCTTCTGGTGTGTTTGGTTCCCAGAAGTGCTTCACATTATGACCTCTAACTGCTGCGGCATTTTTCCTGGCGTAGCCTCCACCCAGGCATACCAGTTTCGTCTCCACACTCATGTGGTTCCTATACATGCGTGGACAGACGTTTATGCCAGCTGGCGGGGTTATTAATCTTTATTTAAGGCTCTGGTTGAGAACCGCGCGCCTTCTAACAGGCTCTGATCTTCCCCATGAGTTTCTTCACAAACTAGGCTGGATTTTACTCAACTCGTAAATGAGATTGAGATATAAATTATTCTCTGCTTACCCATCAACGTATTTACAAACGGTGTACAGTTACAAAAATATGTAAACTTTGTATTAAAAGAGTTAGAATGAAGGAAATTTCCAGAAACTTTGAATATTAATGTTTACCAAGTCTGCGACTTCTACACTTTTCGATATGTCAACAGGTTATAATTTGTATTCTTCACTGAATGGTATACTCGGCATTTCTTGATCAGCCTCTTTGTTGTGGATATTACCTACCAAAAACTAGTTATGAACGAACATGCTCATACATGACGTGAAAATCCTGAATATTGATTAGAAGTTGTGGAACGTTTGAGGGGAAGCCATAGTCGTAAATCTCACCTGTCAGTCCACGACGAGTGGTACGGAGATTGGGGTAATTCAATGAGGAGCGAGGAACAATACGTGGCCAGTGGTCGGCCGAGACCAATCAATTCTAGCCGACCGCTGGCCATTACTCGGTCACCTGAAAGCCGCCCATTGCCCCAGAAAGGGTGCTGGTTCGGATATCATATATTACAAGGACTACAAGCTTATGAGTATATAGAAACTGGCCAAGCTAAGGACAGAACGAGGATTTCACCCCGTTGTCGCGAATACTTCGCTCTCAGACTTCGCTGTAGTCTGACTACCAGCCTTAAAAGGAACAAATTCACGCTCTGCCTGGATGAGGTCAGAAAATAGGGGTGCATCCAATGTTCAATGGGAGCCTAATGCATATGATAACTAAATGCAATAGTTTTCAACTATTAACATTCTGAACTGTGCAGCAGGCAACAACAACCTGTGCTGTAGATGTAAGAAGTACAACCTTATAGGAATGAATAAGAGAGATTGATTGATAGAATAGAAGTGTCGGCGTTGAAGAAATAGGCCCATGGCCTGTTGCCGATTCTTGAACTTTTCGTGACTTGATTCACAAGGGATCCGGCCTTTGGAACCCGATCTTTCCATAGCTGACGATTGAGGGTGCGCAGCCGTAGACCAGCAAATTAACGCTCAAAACAGCCCTGGAGCCAACATCAACCATCTAAATGCTATAGATATTGTCATCCGGGCACCTAAGCAGCTGTAGTCAATTGACCTATCTCACCACACGAACTTTAAACCAACACTGCTTCAGCACACAAGCTGCTACTCCACATAGTTAACGGTCAATACGTTGTTCTCCATTGCTTTATAACCCATACCATCACTTCTTACACATGCTGTTAAGCGTCACTGTTTCCCTGCCTTACTATCCCCCAGCATCTTCTTCCCCCCCCCACACTTACCCCGACTCTCCACCATTATCGCATGGCTAACTGGAGGCTTTTCTCGCAGACCTTTGATGCTTATCCGAATTAGGTTAGGTTAGGTTACAACTCGTATAGATCTCTTTTCATAGCGTAATGCAGTAAAGTAAGCAGAAACTAAGAAAAGCCTCCGGCCGTCGGTGAAAAAAGGCGGGGAGACGGGGTAAGCGTGGAGGTAGAGTTATGCTGGGGGAAAACAGCTACGACGAACGGACGGGCTGGAGTGCTGGCTGTGTATCAACAGCGGTATGGCGTAGGAAGTTGCCTACCGAAAATCGTGATGAGGTTAGACGGCATGGGATAGAGCTGTTGGGCGATTTTAAATACGGCGTAGAGCATTTGTATTGTGGCTTACTTCTCATTAGCTCGCTGGTTAATTTCCATGAAGGGGATTTGTACCTTTGGCTTTTAACATTTAATCCCTTAGTCTACTCTGCCCTTTAGCAGGCTTACGCACGGAAAGGAGGATGAAAGATATGCTGGTCTTGGGCAATGCTGGCCTCCGGCATGCATCCCACGATTGATTGAGATAGCTGCTGGACTTATTGCCTGGTCAGTATTTTGCTAGGCATTTTAAGACTGTACACATGCTCCTGCATAGCTTCGTCTAGTCTGTTTTTGAAGATGTTCATACTCGGAGCGTCAACGATGCTATCGGGGAGGCTGTTCCACATGTCAGTGACTCGAAGCGAGAAGAAATGTTGTCGCATGGATGTGTTCCAACGCTGTTTTTTAGTTTATAGCCGTGGCCCCTGGTGTTGGTTCCTGATTCAAATTCTAGTAATCCTTCTGGGACCTTGTATAAGTAATGAGTATACTTGTCCCCACGCAGACGTCGATAACTGAGGCTTGGAAGCATCATAATCTTTTATCTTTCCTCATAGGACTTGCCTTTCAAGCCCGGAACTATTCTTGTTGCGCGTCTTTGAACACTCTCTACTAAATTTCTGTCCTTTTCAAATTTCGGTGATCATACCGCATACGACGTTTCAAACTCTAGGTTCGGGCGCACGACAGCAACAAACAACTGCTTCATCGTTAGCAGTCAAATGATCTATCAATCGATCTCTCACAACAGATTCCATTACCTTGCAAACGACACTTGTCAAACTGGCAGGGCGATAGTTGCCCGGGCAGCTTTTGTCACCTTTTTTGAACAATGGTGTCACTTGAGTTTCTTTCCAGTCAGCCGGCAAAATTCCTTCGTTCAAAGTTTTTCGAAAAAGTGGCGTCAGAGGGCTGGCTAGGACAGTTGCTAACTCTTTGAGTAATCTGGGGTGGAAGCCGTCTGGTCCACATGACTTGATCGATCGATCAGACTGTGGAAATTTATGCACTCAAAGGCTTTTAATTGCAGCTGGCAAGTTTTGGATTCACCATTGCATACATTTTTGTGCAAATTTCACTGATTTAGAGCTGCTGTATAATTTTTATTCTGATAGACGACTACAGGGAATTAATTTTACCCACAAAAGTCACCTGGTATCCTTAGTATCCTAAGTATTTGTTTGGGACATAGCAGTCCCAGGCCACGATGGATCGCCGCCTCTGGTTATCGTTCATCCGTCCTCATTTGGGCCACGGGCCACCTGATGCACGATGCTGTTGCTTGCTTCTCGCCGCTGGTAGTGTTGCAGGGGAGGTCGATCTGGGATTGTGCCAGGAACACGTCTAGTTGTCTCTTGAAGGTCTCCAGGGTGAACTACCCCTCTCTCAGATCCCTTGGTAGGGCGTTGAACAGCCTTGGCCCTGCCACGGAAAGTGATCCTTCCCGCAGGGATTGAAATCTGACCGCGGATCTGTTACGTAGTGGGGGGAGCTTGCACAGTCTCCCCCTTCTCTCGTTGTGATATCCTGGTGAAAACTGCGATTTTGTTATTTCTACTCTTTCGTCTGACAGTGAGTCTTGCACAACATGTGATGTAACCAATTAAATTAGAAGATACAAATTCATACTTTTTTCTCACCTGAGCGTTATCAACGATATAGCACCACATCACTGCGTTCAGTTAAACTATAGTAAATTGCGCAACTCGGTTCGGCAATAAAAGTTATGCATATCTTTTTTTTTATTTAATGTGCAGACATCATTGAGACCAGAAGATATAAAAGAAACTCAAAAACTACTAAAGCCGTCGTTCAGTAGGCCGCATTCTGACCGCCATGACAACTGAAACCTTCAAACCCTGTTACATAATAACAGCGTAAAAATGAGGAATAGTTATTCTAGGAGGAGCAGACGTCATCCGTCGTCGTTTACCCGAAGAACCAAACGAAGGTAATGGTGGTACCGGTAGGGATGGTGAGGGTGGTAGTAAAGCAAGTGTAAAACAAGAAGAACCTCCAGAGTAAGCATTTCTTGAAGGTGAAAGTGATGGCTCTATCTTCTTGTTCGAAGGGAACCACACGTGTGCCCTCGTTGTCTGTACCAACTTTGAACACTGGGAAGTCGCCGCAGAAGTTGGCAATACGTTGGCCGAATTCAGATGCGGGCTCATCCTCAGGAACCTTGATGAGGTTCAGATTGCCTGTGGTCTGGACAGTTTGCGTGGACTGCGAACGCAAAACTGCAGCCTGCTCCTCCAGGGTTGACGCCTGCAGCTTGTGCACCAAACACTCTTCCTTCTCACTATCTCTGGTTGCACCAAAACCCTGAGGCAGTCGAGAAATGATATTGTTTTCTTTCATTTGAGGTTATGTGATTGTAAATTATTTTCAGATTTGATTAAGAAATAATGGATTTCGTAAACTGCTAGAGTTTGCTATTGCAGCAAGCCTATTTCATAGTTAATGAAAACTACAAATTCTACTGTGTCGAGCGAGTAGTTATCTGCTCTTGTGAACTCAGATTAACATGGAAGACAATTGAATTCATGACACCATACACCAAAGTCATCTTAATATCAACCGATACAGAACTCAAATTTCTGAGGAGAACCATGATTGAATTTACTATACAATATCACTTTTACGGAAAGCAGGTTACTCACCACATCGTAGTCTTCGTAAGCGGTGGCGGTCTGGAATATTTCAGTACCGACCACTTTTGAAGTGATTACGTTGGCATCAGGGCAGATGGAGTAGACGACGCTGGTGTTGTAGTCAGTCCCAGGCAACTCGAGCGTTGTCGTCACCTCCTGGAAAATTGAACACCGAGGTTTTCTACTTCTGCTAATGAATGGACACTAAAGACATGAGGTGAGGTCGTGTGACGACGAATAAATTGGAGACTAGTTTCATCTTTGGAAATAAGGTATTACGGTTACATCGACAGAATTTATTTAAATTATTTCACAAAGTAATATTGACATTGACCACGGCTGTCGGGACGATAATATTTTTGTTCTCATCACATGTAATTCTAATTTCAAACTCACAACGCGACTTTTATCGGAAAATACTGTTTCTACACACAATAATTCAACCATGTATATTTTTAAAATAATTTTGTTACAATGGCGAACAAGAGGCTTACTTCGCAACTGGCAGCGAAGGCTGCAGATATCAAAGCGGAGATGGTGAGAAGACGAATCATGACTGCAGTCTACCGCGAAAAGGTACTCTTTTTTTTCCTGTGTAAAACATCTCTTGTTAAAAAACGCAATTCTACAAACAAAAATTAACACTGCAATAATTTAAACTGCAATATAAATGTCTCAGTGTCGTACTTAACTATTTGTATCAATACAGTTCCTAAAACGCGGATGTGTCAGTGATGAAGAGAAATGAAGCATTGTGAACTAAATTTCGAATAATCAATGAAAATTTGTCTTAGGTCTAGAATAATAATAAGTATCGACATCCCTGATTCAATAGTGTTTCCCTCCTGGAGATTTTTACTGCAACTTTATACATTTCACTAAATTACTTGTAAAGCTGGAATTTGTTACGCATGGCAGGAACTGTGCTTACCTGGGCTCAGAACTGCAGCGAAGAAATGCTACTGAAAGTTCTGCCGCACGCCTTTTATGTTTAAGACAACATCGTCTGGACATTGGCACATGATCAAGCGTCACGCTTTATCATCACTTTTAAAGCGGTTTATTAATGTATTCATATCCATTCTACATGGCAGAAAATATGAAGTGAATAGCCTGAAAGACCCCATGATGTGTTCAATCGTGATTCTGTCAGAATCTGAGCTTTGCTATAGTGGCGACTTTACTTGAGCTGTCACGACTCAACAGCTCTGATATGGAATGTCGTTATAGCCGAGTTTGAAAGCTTTAGTTAATCCATGCTTGAGTCAGCACTATGTTGTTTATAATCTTACGTCCAAGTGTTAGTTGGGCTGGACAACATTGCAGATGAAATTTGGTTTCAGTGATCTTTACTCGGAAAAAATTTGTAAGCTAACAGTCAGATTTTTAATGAAAGTTTACGTCTATTAATCTTTTTATCGTCAAATTAAAATTCTTGTATCTAAACGCGGCAAAAATAGCCGGTATGAAGTATGAATAAGCATGAAGTATCAAAATTTTCAATATGACACCTATATCCATGTTAAGTATGAATTGCTTTACCCATCAATTTTCCTTCTTTTCCAGCAGTCATGTAGTAGGTATGTAGTTATTGTTGTATATCTTTTTTACAACAAGATGCAAAACACTCCGAAATTGCTTTCTTAGCTTGAACCCTTCAAAAAGTACGTTGTGTTGCTCCTCGTTGAATAATAATTGTAGGTGATCGTAATGCACTAGGAACGAATTTTCGTTTCTACATTCCTAAAAAAAGGTCAACTTCTGGTAGAAAAATTACAATAATCAAAACGACTGTCGTAAAAGTTATTTCTAACCAACACCAGGTCAGCAATATTCTGGAAATCAAATGTTCAGTATTGAATTGAACTTCTGTAATCTTTTTGCGCAGGAAATGCATTGTGAAGCTTCAACCATAAGCTTAGTACGTAATACCAAATGCACAATTACCAGGCAATAACTTGTTTAAAATTATTTTGTTAACCTGCAGTGACATTCTGAAATGAGTTTTGATATTGATTAGAGGAAAACTATTTATTAAAACTTTGCATATCCATAGAGTTGGGTTTTTAAGCATGACATGTTTTCCGAATGTTAATTTGCTGACAAATAAGTTCAGAATGTGTTCCTTCTTCAGGCAGAAGAATGGCATCCCTGCACGAATGTGGTCCTCTCTGGGTTATGTGTGTGTCCTCTCTGGGTTATGGATAGTTGTGCGCAGCCCGCATCAACGTACGAGGAAACTGCTACATCTGGGGTCGTTAAATCAAGAATATTTACGTGTTCGTAATTCCGTCCCCCAATTACCGACGGATTTCAAAGGTAAACCCGCCAATCACCGACGAGAAATTAGCCGCTACGAGTACTAGGCGAGTTTTGATGGTACGTCCATGGCAGCGAGTTATTGTTAACTCCCTGGCACTCGATTTCGTTCATGAGTTCTGGCGCTGCTCAATAGAATTTTTTTTCTTGGCCTCTTATTTGGAATTTAGGTCTTAGTCTCTTTTGTGAGTATAGTTTTTTTCTTTTATTTTAAATCATAATCCATAATTTTTTAACGAATGATGGACCTGGTCTCCGGAATGTTTTTGATGAAACTTCTGTCAATTTACTAGGCGTTTCATTGTTTTAAAATTCTTTGCAATTGACAATGTTATCAAGTAATGCTTTTACCGCTTTTCATTGAGGATTCATGTACAAATCAGTTCGACATGCAATTTCATCGCTCGCCTAATTTTCCTCATCAATTAGATCGAATTAATTTTAAAAACTGTTGTATATGTAATACTAATTTAAATTAGGATACTTCGTTGACCAACTTAGCATCAATTATTAGACTTTTCAATTAATTCAATGAATACCGTTTTCCTTTATAAGTTGGTGTTGAAAATTTTTATTTCGTTGTAGCCGGGTGGCAGTCATGATGCTCTTTTCATTATAACTGCATCGGGTTGCCGTGCCATCGCATCGCTGTGAAGTGAGCCATTGTTTTTGCATTTTAGGGCATCAACTATAAAAATAATAAGATTTTTCTTGGACGCGGATGATAATTATCATATAAAAGTGTAAATTATCTGTCCATGCTAGATGTGTTGCTGCTTGTCAGATTTCAGCTTGTAAAGTCTAATTCGGCCACGTGTCCTCATCGAAAATACGATTTTCATGCATTGAGTGTTTCAGGACCGCGTTCTTCGTTTTTAAGTTTGTCAATATACAATATCTCTTTTCGGGGAGGAGGAGGGCTTCTTGATGCTCCTAAAATAAATGGACGTATATGGGAATGATTCAAGGGGACGAAGAAGTCTTGGTATGGAACATCACTGATTTTTTCTCTGCTAGTCTTGTTCTGTTTCATTATAGATCGGATGTGTTACCGTCACAACTGTTTTCCTCGTCGATTGTGGATTGTGTCAGGCTTAGCGAGGATTGTCGTGAATTACGGTAACCCTTTGATATGAGATCTATATCGGTTCTCACATCAAATTTGCCAGTTTAAGTATGAGCCGCGTAAGAATTGTAGAATATTATTTGGAGTGGCGTTCTAGATTGGTGTTGTCTTCAAGGGAAGGGTGTGATGATCAGAATCGGCGACAGGCCTACGGCCTAATAAACGCTGAAACAGCTATTATTATTATTATTATTACTATTATTATTATTAACACGTTGACTACGATTGCTTCGTCTTGTACTATTATTTCATATTTTGTACTTTTTTTAAGCAGGGTTGCCAGACGGTCATTTTTTCCGGACAAATTCCGTGATTTAGTTTTTCTCAATTGCGTTGGCCGGCTAAAATTTACGATAGGGGTACTTCCTAATTAAATTTCAAATACTGCAAAAAGTAAATAAATGGAATTTTTATAGCGCAACCTACAAATAAACTAGAATACATTGAATAATCGGCCTTTTTTGTTCTCGGATTTGGCCGATTTTAGGCAACCTGAATTATGTACCACTACCTCCTGGAGAAATACATTTCGTGGTACGCATATGTACCAATACGTAGTCAACGTGTTAAGTGACCTAGAAATTATATAGCTGAAGCCCAGTCCCGGTGAAAGTCACTTGGCCACTAAGAATGGAAACCTTCCACATCACTTGCCACGGGAGAATTGAGTGATGGTTTAAAACATTGAGTGTATTTCCCCTAGGTGTCAAAGTAACTATCTAAAATGTCAATCGCTGGTGCACATAATTTCATCTGTTGTGTGTGCATCAACAAATTCAACAGAGGAAGGAAATAAAATTATGGACAAAAAATTTAAAAAATAAACTTTTTATGTATATAAATTCTTATACATATCATGAATGAGCGCAAGTTCGTATCTAAGAAAGTAGTCTCCATCCGCTGGTATACTCGCATATCTTGGGTCTTTATAAAGGCGAAATGGAAAAAAATAACCACCTCAATGTTAAATTGCAAGCCCATCAAACCATTGAACTGCCGCTCTACAAGAGGGCAGAATGGGGAGTTTGAATTAGCCTTCATTAGGTTTGACCGCGCAACAATTGAATTAAGCAGCAAGTAAATTAAGTAACAAGTAAATTAAGGAACAAGTAAATTAAGGAACAAGTAAATTAAGGAACAAGTAAATTAAACAAAGCCAAACCGAAAATTCGAGAGCACGTTTATTTCAGATGGCTTCATGTATTATGACGGGCTTCTGGATATGAAAAAATTCCATGAAACTTAAAATGATTCAATAGTTTATCAACTAATTCTAATAATTAAAATGAGTAAAATAAAATGAACTAAAACTGAAATGCGAAAACGGGCCATTTTGTGGAGGCAAAAATTCATAAAAAAATATGCACGAAAATTAGAACGATCTCATATTTTACCTATCTATACTTGTGTCTAGAACCAGAGTTAATTAAGCCAGGCTACAAAAACGAAAAAGCTAAAGCCAACGTACGTCCTTTCCTCATCAGGACTAAAGTGCGCAGTAAAAAAAGCATGCAAGCATGTGACGGACTCATCCAATCAAATAACATATTTTAATTTGTGATATATTATCATTTGTAATAAATATAATGATTTAACACATATGATAAATATAATGACTAATCATATTAGTAGAACACAACTTTGGGTGTGCATAAACTTGGGAAAATACATTAGGGAGCAAAAGTTATAAGCAGTGGGGCCTCTGAAGAATAACGACCAGGGCATGTGCGAACTGCTAGGAGCGCAGTTTGAAAAAGTTTGCAGCAAACCCCGATACTCAAGACAGAAGAAAAAACTTTTGTCATTCAAGAATTACCAGGGTGGTGAGTGATGATGAACATTTATTTTGAAACACCAGATCTACCGAGGAGTATCCAAGAATTATCGACTTATTCGGCTCACAGACCAGATGGGGTCTCTGCAGTGTTATTGAAAAGATGTGCTGGTGTACTAAAGGTCATTTTGAATTTGCACTGGAAAACATCGTTGAGAGAAGGAAACGTTCCTAGTTATCTAAAATTAGGGCTAATAACCCCTGTCTGCAAAGGAGTTGCGAGAGACAAACCTCAAAATTACGGGGCGCGTTTCGGAGGCCAGCTTTGCCAAACATCACACTTAGTTCCTATTCTCATCTATTTACTGTTAGTGATGCCGCTCATCGAGCGGCATCACTATCAGTAACAGGTACCGCCAAGCATGAATTTGACGTGCCGTCAAACTTGGTAATAAGGGACGGCTATGAGCGTTTTTTCTCAATAACTTCTTACCATGAAACATTTCATAAACGAGTTTAGAGTTAGTTACCGTTACGAGTCAAGAACAGGAAGGAGTTAGGTCGTTTGAACTGCGACCAAGGTAAGACGTGTTCCATTATCTTCCTTGCGTTCTCAGTGCAACAATAAGTCAAGTCATATGGCTGGAAATCCTGAGTTAGCCGATCTTATACTTGTATATGTGGCAGTGGCGCCACTGTAACAGGCTGTATAGTGTATATTAACTACAAACTATGGTACTAGTTCATCGGGTTCGTTGACTAACGTAGTGATTGTAAGTAAGACTCATCTGTG